TCTCTCTCTGTCTCTCTCCCTTCCTCTCTCTAGAAATCAATAAAAAATCTAAAAAAAAATTATATATATATATGTGTATATATATATATATATATATATGTAATCCTGTATGCTTTAGCTATCACCCACTTATTTGCCCCAACTCTCTTCCCCACACCAGCCCTAGGAAACCAGTCATTTGTTTTCTGTCTCTATAGAATTCCTTGTTTTGGATATTTCACATAAATGGAATCATATAATACAATCTTTTTAAACTGGTTTCTTTTACTTAATATTTTCAAGTTTTATCCATGTTAATCTACCAATACTCCCCCCCCCCACACACACACACTTTTTTAAAGAGCAATTTTATAGGATCACAGCAAAATTGAATGGGAAATCCAGAGTTCCCACTTACTCCTTTTCCTCAACCACAGCCTCCCTCTCATCCCACACACCCCATGCCAGTAAGGTACAGTGTGATGCCAAATTGTTACCATCAACAAACCAACACTGACACATCATTATCAACCAAAGTCTATAGTTTACGTTAAGGTTCATTAATTTTGGCTGAAAAATGTTCCATTGTATGGATAAGTGATTGCATTTTTTACTTATTTGTTTTTAGTTCTCACCCAAGGATATGCTTTCATTGATTTTTTTAGAGGAAGAAGAAGGGGGGAGGTGAGAGACAAGCATTGATCAGTTGCCTCCTGTACACCCCTCAAATGGGGATTGAACCTGCAGCCTTGGTATGTGCCCTGACCAGGAATTGAACCCACAACTTTTTGGTGCATGGGATGATGCTCCAACAGACTGAGCCATCCAGCCAGAGCTATGATTGAGTTTAAATCTACCACTTTGCCATTTGATTTTCATTTCTCCCACCTGTCCATTGTTCCACCTTTATTGCCTTCTGTTGGATCAGTTGAGGATTTTCTTTTTATCCTCACTCAAGGATATGTTTACTGATTTGAGAGAGAGAGAGAGAGAGAGAGAGAGAGATCGATGTGCAAGAAACATCGGTCAGTTGCCTCCTACACACTCCCCAGCTGGAGTTGGAACCCGAAACCCAGGCATGTGCCCCAACCATCAAACCCGAAACCCTTTGGTGTGTGGGCTGATGCTCCATCCAGCTGTGCCACACCTGCCAGGCCTCAGTTGAGGATTTTATTAGTATTCTATTTTATCAATCTAATTGGCATTTTACTTATACCTTTTTATTTCATAGGTTTAATGGATTACATTGTATATTCTTAATTTACCCCAGTCTACCATGAATTAGTACTAAACATCTTTGTATGTAATGTAAGAACTTTACCCCTTTCTATCATTTGAACCAATAAGACGATGATTTCCTTCATGAGGCCTAGCCACTCTGCATCACATGGCCTGAGAAGTGCCCACAGGTGCAAAGATGTGTGAGTGTGAGTCTCACTCATATGGTTCCCTTGACTCAAGAGCTGAATTGCCTCCAGTTCCTATCTGCTTTTGGTGGCTCTTTAATGTCTTCAAAATTGTTTTTATATTTTACCCAGTGTTTTGTATTGCTCTTTGTGGGACCGTTTGTCCAATAAAATCTATTCCACTATTATCAAAAGTGGAATTCCCGTTTTGTCATTTTTTAATACCTAACTGGAAAACTTGACAAGAACCTTCATTTACCTTTTCAGTCTGTTCTCCTATGTCCCTGGCTTGAGGTAGCCATCATTCTGAATTTCATCTTATCATTCCCGTTTTTTCTTTGTGTATACTTATATTGAGGCTATATGTGTTTCATATATATATTAGTATTTAATTATTTTGAACTTTATAAAAAGTCTTGCTGAATTTACCAGAGACTTACTTTTTTTTTTATTTGCTATTATATTACATAGATTTATCCATACTATACATATGTTGCTTTATTTTTGACAACTATATGTAACTCCATTTTGTGAGTACACCAGTTTATTCATCTCTTCTTGTGTTGATAGACATTTGGGCTGTTCCCGCACTTTTGTCCTTGTGAAGAGTCCTACTTTGAACATTTGTGTGTTGTTCCTAGTTATGTACCTTGTTGTTGCTAGATTGAAAATGAATGTAAATGTTTAATTTTAGCCCATTTTGCATTCCCACTACCATTCTCGAAGAGATTCTGTGAATCCACATTTTCTCCTAATACCTAATAATGTTAATTTTTTTTTTTTGCCAACTGATGAGATATAAAATGGTATCACATTGTCTTAAATTTCTTGGTACATTAAGCACCTCTTTGTATTTTTATTAGTTAAAAGTGTTAAAGGTCTGTTAATGCTACCACCCCTTCCATTTTTATTGATTTGTAGGAATTCTGTATTTGGAGCACCACTGAACTTGACCACCTACCTATACCTTAACTACTTTAATTTATTAAAGAGATCTTTGACCTTTGAATCTGTCATTCTCCTTGACCACCCTATTAATTTGCAAAGCCCTCCATACTCCTGACTCCCTTACCTGCTCCATTGTTAGCCCTTAGCACCTACTACCTTTTCCATATTATCTACATACTTATTGTGTTTACTGTCTGTCCTCTTATTACTGTTACATGTAGGGGGTGTTATGTGATAAGCAGAGAGATCAAGAGAAACACTTATATGTTTTTTTTAACAGATAAATATTATCATCATAGTTTTATGATATTAAACAAAGGATTGGTCTCTAAAGAATTGGAGTTTGTTTTTTTTTGTTTTTTTAATTGGTCTTCACCACTTTGAAAAGCATGGCCTGGATTCTTTCTTTTTTTTTTTATCCTCACCCGAGGACATTTTTCCATTTTTTGTTCAGATAGAGTAGGAGAGAGAGAGAGGAAGAGAGAGAGAGAGAGAGAAACATCGACGTGAAAGAGACACATCAAGTGGCTGCCACCCACACAACCCAACCAGGGCTGGGGACAAACTGCAACTAAGGTACATGCCCTTAGCGGGAACCGAACCCGGGTCTCTCTGGACCGCAGGCTGACGCTCTAACCGCTGAGCCAAACTGGCCAGGGCTGGCCTGGATTCTCAGGCCTCCATGTCATAGCATTTGAAAGGCTCTGAACAGAACAGAAAAGAAGTAGATAACTACCTGTCATACTTGGAAATGTTCATGCTTTACACAAAATATAGTTGCTAACAAAGATGAATATCTGTTTTTCTGATTTGGTGAGGCCGTGAGAGTTTTTTCAATGTGAGCATTACTTTTTTTTTTTTATTAGCATTTCCCATGTTTACAGCTGAGCCTGACATGTGTCCCTTTATATATATATATCTCATAGTGTCTAGAGCACTTTGAAGTGTAACTTTTAAAATGAAAGGGAATGCAAGCCACTTAATTATATGGAAGTAAAGGACTGAAGGCTGTTTGGCTTGATCCTTTATGTTCTCAGTTTTCACGTTTTAAGTTTTCCAGCCTGAAGTGTGATTATTAAATGTGCAAGTACGTGTTTGAGAACCACCTAGCTTCATAACCTGGCGTGTTAACCCCCTGATTTCTGGGTAACTGTTAATGCACGCCTTGGGTATTTTGTGCTATAATATTCCACGTAACATGGTAGTGATATTTTATACCCTCTGAGGTGGAAGTTCTTAGATGAGATCTATAAAAACTATAAAATTGGCCCAGCTGGTGTGGCTCAGGGGTTGAGTGTCAACCCATGCACCAAGAGGTCGCTGGTTCAATTCCCAGTTAGAGCACATGCCCAGGTTGTGGGCCAAATTTCCAGTGGGGGGCATGCAGGAGGCGGCCAATCAATGTGAGAACATTGATGTTTCTATCTCTCTCTCCCTCTTCCTTCCTCTCTCTCTAAAATCAATAAAGAAAAAAAAATTTTTTTAACTATAAAATCAAAGCAATATTTCACAATGATTAAATTGCATATTTTTAAAATGAATGTACATAAAGAACTTATCCAACAAGCTCTTTATCAGAACTGTAAATATATTTGTAAAAATAAAGTCGTAATTGATATCTGGTTGCTTGGAAACAAAGGGCAAAGGTTTCTGTTAAACAGCGTATCCTTTATTTCCCAGGTGTTTGTTACACCACATATCTGCAAAGTTTCAAGAGCCTTATTTAGGCCTGTTAGGAGAATTTGTATAGGTACTTAGTCTGGTACCTGAAATTCATTAATATTGAAAGTCACATAACTTGACTTTTTCCTGCTATGACTACATTTCTTGCAAGGCTAATTTCAGTCTTTTTTTTTAATAGGTAAAAGAGTGAGTAGATTGTGACAATTTCAGCATAAACTTATCTTTCAGATAGAGTCAGATAAGCAAATTCAGTATTGTAGTGGAAATCAGACCTAGGTTAAAAACTGGTCTTTGCTGTATCTTGGCATGATTCCTTCCAAAAATCAACAAATATTTTTTATTTTATTTATAAAATGGAAATGAATTTACCCGTTTTGTAGGATTGTTGTCATGATTAAGGATTATGGGTAATTTATGTAAATCTATAGGGACCACTGTAGACAATGCATGGGAGCTATTGTTACATTAAAAAATAGCAGCAGACTTGTGTGTTTAGGATATACGCACACAATGAGAACTATTTCCTCAGACAAGTCTTATGGTACTCCTTATACAGAAAAAAAGGGGCAAAATTAAGAGAGTAGAGATCAGGTGGGGCTGGAACAGGGAGGGAGAAAGGGCTTATCTACCCAGCATTCCTCGGGGCCCCAGCAAGGTTCCACAGCCACCCTGATTCCCCTCACCGAGACCTAGAGCTGTAGAGTGTAACATGGAAAGCATAATACTGGATGTTAAACACCTTGCGGGCAAGAACTGAATCTTACTTGTTTATTAACTGACACAGGTAGAGCATGTGGTCTTGCAGTACAGTTAGTGATGATTGGCTGCAGCTTGTTAAATGGTTCAGTTAATTCAGCTCTACCACTTCAGAAATTCTCCATATTTGCCTGCTAGGTGGAGTTATAATTCGAAGTTGAATGATCAAACCTGGCAGGAAGCATGCGTCATTGAAAGGATGTAATGATCACATCATTATTTTTTCAGACCTAGGTTGGAATTTGCCCTTGACAAATAACAAAATGATGAGCGATGCGAGTGACATGTTGGCTGCGGCGTTGGAGCAGATGGATGGCATTATAGCAGGTAATATGCATCCTCCAAAATGTGGAATTGTGCCATTTATTCTGCTCCCTTGGCTTTTTCATTTCAACTGTTTTATTATCTTTCCACTCTCTTCACGTATTGGCTCTCTCCAATGCCTTTAGATTCCCCATGGTTTCATCCTTTCCCTTCTTTTCCATTTTCTTCCAGAATTTTCCTTTTGTAAGAAAATTTTAATTACAGTTAACATTCAACATTATTTTTTTTTTTATTAGTTTCAGGTGCATAGCCTAGTGGTGAGACAATTATATAATTTATAAAGTGATCCCCCAATAATTCTAGTAACCACCTGGTGCCATACGTAGTTATTACAATATTATTTTTATTTTTAATCCTAACCCGAGGATATTTTTATATTTATCTTCAGACAGAGTGGGAGGGAGGGAGAGAGAGAGAGGAAGAGAGAGAGAGAGAGAGAGAGAGAGAAAGAGAGAGAGAGAGAGAGGCATCGATGTGAGAGAGACACATCAATTGGTTGCCACCCATGCAACTCCAACCGGGGCCAGAGATGAACTGCAACCAAGGTAGTGCCCTTAGTGGGAAACGAACCCAGGACTCCCCAGTCTGCAGGCTGACGCTCTAACCACTAGCCAGGGCCAATTTGTATTTCTTAATCCCTTTACCTTTTTCATCCCTTTCCCCATCCCCCTTCCCATCTGGCAACTGTCAAAATGTTCTCTGTATCTGTGAGTCTGTTTCTGTTCTGTTTGTTTGTTAATTTTGTTTTTTAGAACCAATTGTTGATAGATATGTATTCATTGCCATTTTATTGTTCATATTTTTTTTTATCTTTTCTTCTTCTTCTTAAAGAAGACTCTTTAACATTTCATATAATTCTGGTTTCATGATGATGAACTCCTTCAGCTTTTTTTTTGTCTGGGAATCTCTTTATCTCTCCTTCAATTTTAAAAATGATAATCTTGCTGGGTAGAGTAGTCTGATTGTAGGCCCTTGCTTTTCATCACTTTGAATATTTCTAGCCAACCACTTCTGGCATACCATATTTTTGTTGAGAAATTGTCTGACAGTCTTATGGTAACTGTCTTTCCTTTGTTACTTTTAGGATTGTCTTTGTCTTAACCTTTGCCATTTTAATTATAATGTGTCTTGGTATGTGCCTCTTTGCATTCATCTCGTTTAGGACTCTCTGCGCTTCCTTGACCTATATGTCTATTTTATTAAGTTTGGGAAGTTTTCAGTCATTTTTTCAAATAGTTTCTCAATCCTTTGCTCTCTCTATCTTCTTTCTGGCACCCTTATGACGCAAATGTTTTTATGCTTGACATTGTCCCAGAGGTGCCTTAAACTATTTTTATTTTAAGAATTCTTTTCTCCTTTTCCTGTTCTGATTGGATGTGTTCTGCTGCTTTGACTTCTAAATTGCTGATTTGATCCTCTGCTTCATCTGATCTGTTGTTGATTCCTTCTAGTGTATTCTTATTTTCTGACTGGTTCTCTTTTATGCGGTTTATATTCTTTTTCATGCTTACTATCTCTTTGTTGAAGTTCTCACTTAAGTTCCTCGAGCATCCTTATAACCAGTGTTTTAAACTCCATATGTGGTAGATTGCTTGCCTCCATTTTGTTTAGTTCTTTTTGTGGAGATTTCTCCTATTCTTTTATTTGTGCCATGTTTCTTAGTCTTCCCATTCTGGCTGCCTTTCTGTGTTTGTCTCTGTGTATTATGTACATCCAGTCTTGGCAGGGTGGCATATGCAGTATGTGTTCTGTGGGGCCCAGTTGTGCAGTCTCCCTGATCCCAGTGCCCCAGGAGCATCCCTGGTGTGGGTCTTGTGTGCCTTCCTATTGTAGTTGAGGCTTGATTGCTCTTGGGACTTGAGTGGGTGCAATTGACTCCCTGGTTGACTGGTGTGAGGATTGGCCATGAACACATTGTACAAGCTGCTGTGCAGGGTTGGCCCCAAGGAGCAGGATTTGCCCCAGTGGTGTCTGGTGCTTGCTGAGACTACTCTTTGGACACGCCGCTTTGGCAGCTAGTCGGGTGGTGCTCTGTTGTAATCTGATGCTAGCCACTAGGTGTGTTGGTTCTGAAACCTCTTGTGAGGGTCTCCAGTGTAGATCAATGTTAACGCTACTTATAACTTGTCCGGGGCTACCTGTGGTTGGTAGCTGCCTGTGTTGGATCTGGATGCACATGTAAGAGGCCACACTCTGAACCAAGGCTAGCTGCCACCAGTATCGGGCCTGGGGCAGGTCAGCAAAAGGCCCAAGGCACCCTGAGACCTGTTGCTGCCTGCCAACTACCTTTAAGGCTTAGCTGCTGAAAGAACTTTCAGTGATACATGAATTTGGTGAGTCAGGGTCTCAGGGAATCACCAGGGTAGGGTGAGTGGTATTCTCCAGGTTAATACAGATTTAGATTTGGTACCAGTGCTAAGCCTGAGGACACTCAGCACAAGTCTCAGGGTACACTGGAGCTAGCTACCACCTCCCTGAGGCCTGTGGACCTTTGTGGGGGTGAAGGTTGGGGGGCATCTTAGGAAGTTGTCAGAGTGGAGCTGGTGGAGTTCACCAGGCTAATACAGATTCAGATTTGGCCAAGGTGTGGGGAGGGCTCAACATAGGGACAGTGGTAGCTGTCCCTTTAGCCTTCCCCCTGAAGCCACAGAGCTCGGTTCTCCCTGTATGTCTCGGCACCCCGGAGCTTGACTGGAACTCCTCGAGAATGTTTAAAGAAAGACTGCAATGCAGGCTCAGACTGGCTGCTGCCTAAAGGGCCTCAGGCCTTGTGCAAGTTGGGCAGGGCAGGGTCTCAGGAGTTGTCAGGGTGGATAAATTGGGCTTCACCAGGTTAACGCAGATTCAGATTTCGCCTTGTGGGAGGAGGCCTCAACCCAGGGACAGTGGCGCAGTCCCTCTAGCCCTCACCCTGAAGCCACACAACTCAGTTTCTCCCCGTATGTCTCGGCACCCCCGGAGCTGCTGTCTCCACTGGATCCCGAGGTGAGTGCCTGCCAGCAAGAATTGTTTGCATGGGCCCTTTGAAAGGAAGCCTGGGTTTCCAGCAGCCTTCCATCTCCACCCAACAGATGGATCCCCGCTGATTTTCACAGCCAGCTGTTACGGGACTCCTCTTCCCAGAACTGGTGTTTCATGCTGGGAAGCCTGGTGTGGGCTGAGACCCCTCACTCCTCAGGGGGTCCCTCTGCAGCTGAGATATCCCTCCGGATTCTCATCTGCCACGTGTGGATGTGGGGCCGGCCTGTTTCACATCCCTGCCCCTTCTATCGGTCTCGACGTGCTGCTTCTTCATATCCTTAGTGGTAGGACTGCTGTGTAGCTAGTTTTCAAGTGGCTGATTGTTCTGTAATTTAGCTGTAATTTTTATATAAAAATTACATCTAATAGTATAGATTAGACCATACTATAGTAGGTGCTCCCTTATAGTTTCTCAGGTGCAGTGGCTACCTGAGGTCTCATGTCACATTTTGTATTTTGTCTCAGGAGAAGTACTCTTATGTATTTGGGAACCCATTACAATGAGGAGAAGGTTGAATGGGCTACTGGGTGAGATGGTCATACGCACACCTGGTGGTCAGGGTCAGGATACAGTTGGCCTCTACTGTTCCTGGATTTGAGGTTTCCCCAGATGCTTGTCTTTTCTGATCGTAAACTTGACCCTACTCTGTTTTGGTGGTTTGTAGAAATCAAAGGTGTCTTCCTTTTCAGAAAGTTCTTCTCTTAAGCGACATAGCATGTCATGGTTTGACCTTCTTTGATATACTTTGTGACCTCCTTTGCAGGTTAGACCATACTATAGAGTACTGTATTCAGTTCTTGGAATATCATTTTTACAGGAGCATTGGCAAACTAAAACTTATCTAGAGGAGGCTAGCATGAAGGTGAAGCTTTAATAGCCATATCTGATAGGGAATTTGTTACGTTTAATCTAGAAAGTGTATTGTTGCTCAGGGTGTGATGTATGCTTTCCAGTAGTTGAAGGATAGAGACTGGATTTGCTCAGAATTTCAGAAAATGTAACTAGGACAATTCTAGGCTGTTACCAGAGGTCATAACCTTACACTCGTGGTGAAAGTCTAGGTGAGAAAAGGGACATTTCTGGAGCAGCAGTTGCGGGATTTGTATTTTATATATCCCACCAGATCAGTGTGCTTGTCCCTTAGCTCCAGCAGGGCTTTAGGATCAACGTGAAAGTTATTATATAGAACCCAGGCTGGCCCAGCGGTTAGAGTGTCTGCCCACAGACCAAAGAGTCGCAGGCTCGATTCCGGTCAAGGGCACGCACCTCGGTTGCAGTTCGGTTCCTGGCTCTGGTTGGGGTTGTGCGGGAGGCAGCCAGTCAGTGTGTCTCTCTCACATCGATGTTTCTCTCTCCCCTCTCCCTCTTCTTCCTTCCCACTCTATCTGATGATAAACAGAAAAATGTCTTTGGGTGAGGATTAAAAAAAAAGTTATTAAATAGAAATTCACGATTTCTTAGGTCCCACTTCAAACAAAGGCAGTAGCTTTGTGGGAAGGACCTGGATTTGTTTTCAAATTAATATCCGAGGTAAGAGGGAAAGGAGGGGAAATGACTACATACATTTGGAGAATTTTTCTAAATATACTCCCCTAGCCCAACTTTTCTTTTTGTAAAAGATGTAACAGATGCAGCAGTTCTCAACCTGTGGGTCGTGACCCCTTTGAGGGTTGAATGACCCTTTACTGTCATGCCTAAGACATGACAGTAGCAAAATTACAGTTATGAAGTAGCAACAGAAATAATTTTATGGTTGGAGGTCACCACAACATGAGGAACTAACTGTATTAAAGGGTCTCAGCGTTAGGAAGGTTGAGAACCACTGGATTAGAGAGTTGTCATGGGCTCATGTATTTTTAATAATATCAGGTGATTCTAATGCTTAAAACTGCTGGAAAAGAACATTAGAGCTTGGCTGCTTTTTAATGCTCTTCTGTGCCTCCCTTCCCCTGACATACCCTCCTCCACTTACGTTTCCTGAGTGCTCATCTCAGCTTTACAGGGTTCCTGAGGGGACGGGTAGGGAGGGTTATGTGAAGCATTTAGCACTGAGCCTAGCTTATCTGTAGTAACCGTCATTCGAGTTCGGCAGATCATCTGGTCCCGTATTAGGAGGCTCTGTGGGCTGGACTAGCAGAAAGACGCCCCTTGTTGGAATTGACCGAGCCAGATGGCCAACTGGAGAGGCCACTAGCATGTTGGTTCACAGGTCTCATCAAGTTGTAAGACCTTCAGACTTATGAGATGATAGCCTAAATATAATAATTATTGATATTTAAGTATAAAGTTAGTATTTATATTTGACAGTATGTATATTTAACAGACTAGAAAATAAAAATCAAATTGATGAAGAGGTATATCCAAGTGCTTTCGGAATGGGCTGTGGGGCAGTTGTGTGGATTTGAGGAGTGGAATGTTTTCTCTTATAGGTAATGAAAAACAAAAATGGCTGTAAGACTATTTTTTAAAGCTAATAGCAAGAGTCTGGCCGGTGTGGCTCAGTGGTTGAGCGTCGACCCATGCACCAAGAGGTTGCTGGTTCAATTCCCGGTCAGGACACATGCCCAGGTTGTGGGCCCATCCCCAGTGGGGAGCATGCAAGAGGCAGCCAGCTGATGTTCTCTCTCATCGATGCTTCTATCTCTCTTTCCCTCTCTCTCTAAAATCAATAAAGGGAAAAAAATTAAATAAATAAAGGTAATAGCAAGAGCATTTGATGCTAGGTGGAGATGTTCATACAACTCCCCCACACATCCACATACAAATGTACACATATCATTCATTGCACTTCTTCAGAGATAAAATTCTAGCATGTTACCTAGGAGCTGGCCCTCTTACCCTTGAAATTATGCTATGCAATTTCCACCTCAAAGTGTAACTTATTTATAGGAAAGCTAAAGACTTTATGGTCCCTTAAATGTGAGTGTTTTTTTTTAATACGTCACTCCACCTGAACTATCCACTACCTTCTTGCCTGAGTCTGTGAAGTGAGCACATCTCACACCAAAGCCCACCAGACTCTTACTGTACCACACAGTTGGCGGATCGCCTGTGAGGTTTTGACCATTGATACTTACCATCAGTTATATGGGGTTATTTTGCATCTAATAACTATGCCTTGAAGACACGATCGAATTTTCATTTCCCTGTTTCTTGTTTCAGTTGTTCGTCACTGTGCCGGGACTTGCTTGTCACCTTCGGCTTTGGTGTGTATCTAATATAAACCTGTTGTTTTCTCTGTGGTTTTTCCTTTTCCTAACCTAGGTTCTAAGGCCCTGGAGTATTCCAATGGGATTTTTGATTGCCAGTCCCCCACGTCCCCGTTCATGGGAAGCTTGCGGGCGCTGCACCTGGTGGAAGACCTGCGTGGCCTGCTGGAGATGATGGAAACAGACGAGAAGGAAGGCCTGAGATGTCAGATCCCAGACTCAACCGCAGAAACACTCATCGAATGGCTTCAGAGTCAAATGGTAGATGTCTCCGTGTTACACATGCCACGCAGTGAATCTTTTGTTGCTTATTCCGAAATTTAGAACATGGAATAGCCAATTAGAACAAGAAAAAAAATATGATAGGGCAACAGGTTTGCCCTAAAGAGATCCCAGTTCCCTTTGACTCTTAAGGATTCTTTTTACAAAGTGCCATTTGTGTACATTTCCTGAGGTCCAGCAAGTCACCTGATTAGTCTTATAAAAGTGGACTAATTTAGATGGTAACCGAATGACCCACTGTGGCTTCGAACAAATAGTCCTGTAAGAGAAAGAACCTTGCACGTGATAGATGCTCTCTCAGTCTCTTGGGCGGTTCACTGGGAAAGGACCCAATGGCAGTTCTGAGTAGGCAGTGCAGGGGCAAGGACACTCCAAAAGCAAGAGGTTTGCCGCAGTCTTTGATATGAAGTGCCATCTAGTGGTTTGCGGTGGTCATTTCAACTCCAGTGTGCGAATTGAGCTGTGTAGTTGGGCTTTACATGATACTCATATTCACTGTCTCTTCTAGACATCCTTCTCAAAAATTGATGACATAACTGCAGTTTTAATATGTGTCAAACACATAAAATCTAAAGACTGTCTCAAGCACACATTCAAGGGAAAAAAAAGGAAAGGTGTTATTTTGTAAGTATTTAAAGGATACTCAGTTTTCAGGAATATACAGTAATACACTTATGGGTTAACTGTGTTTGTATGAAAGCTAATGAACACAGTATGAAAGAATTAAGATCGATTTTTGGATATGTGATAGAAATGAAAGCTGTTTGCTTTGGGAACCTTAGTACTACATCCTGCTGTTAAAAGTTGTTCACCTAATGTGACTCAAATACTTGTGTTCCCAGCCAGTCCCGTGCTGAGTGTGCTGATGTTCCCAGCCAACATGCCTCCCCATTTCTGCCCATTTTTTAGTGGTGATGCAGCTACACTAACTTAAGAGTTGGAGATATTTTATTTTTTAAAATACATGATGCCGTATTATTATACTTTATATTTGCTCTGCAAGTTTTTTCTCTAGAGATCGAAGTATCCAGGTTTGCTGATTTCCCTGGGGAATTGCTTTGTGCTCTAAAATTAGATGTTATTCCTAGCTCACACCCAGAGGCTGCCAGGGGCAGCCATAGCTTAAGGGTAGCTGTGGGTGAATTTTTAACTCGTGTCCAAAAACAAGTGTTGTCCAAAACAAAATCGTATGCCCACAAACCTTTCCAGTAACACGTGCTCAATCCGTTCTGTTAAAGTCTTTCTGAAAAAGAGTAAAGATGATGATGATGATATCTGAATATAAATCAGATCATGTCCTTCACTTCTTTTTCAGAAACTTCCTAATGGTAGTCACATCTCACTCAGACTAAAAGCCCAATGCTAACTCTGGGTTGCAAGGCCTTTTAGGAGTTACTCCTTAATACGTTTTTAAAAATTTCACATCTCGTTATACTTCCCCTCTTTCACTTCATTTTAGGCACATTGGCTTCCTCACTGATTCTCAAATGTGCTGGGCAAATTGCCTCAGGGCCTTTGCACTGGCTGCTCCTCTGCCTGGAAAGCTCTTTCCCCAGATATCTGTGGGGTTAGTTTTCTTACAGTCTCTGATACTTATTTGCAAGTTGTGATCTCAGCGAGGCTTTCCCTGGCCACCCTATCTACAATTTTACGTATTCATTCTTTTTATTACATCTCCCTGCTTTATTTTTCCTTAGCACTTACCACTTATGTACTATGGATTTGCCATGTTTATATCATTTAGTTCCTGTCTCTCCAACTGGAATGTAAATATCAAGAATCAGAGAATTTTGCCTCGGAGTTAGGTTGCAAATTACTCACACACAGTTCACTTTTTTGACCAAACAGTATTGGCATTTTTCAGACTGTGAAGAAGCTTCCACAATATTATAGAAAAAAACTTATTAATAATACTAGTTACATAATTAAGATTTCATTCATGTTGAATGGTAACCAGGTTGAGAGTCCATGACTTAGGACTGATACTAATGTTCTCATCAGTGCAACTGGGTATTTGCCGTTCTAATTATTATTTGCCTGGGCCAGGGAGATGCCCTGGTTTTCTGTAGGATACAGGCCCATTAATGGTTTCCGAGGGTCAGAAACTGGATAGGAAAAAGAAAACGGTAGCACTAGATGCCTCTTACGAAGGGATACTAAATCTACAAAGACGCATTTGTGTGGAGAGGGCGCCTATAGCTGGAGCCTTCTAGGAATGAATAAGTATTTCTTATTTTATTTTTATTTTTTTCCCTCACCCAAGGACACCTTTCCATCCTTTGTTCAGGTAGAGTGGGAGGGAGAGAGAGGAACAGAGAGAGAGAGAGAGAAACATCGACGTGAAGGGACACATCGAGTGGCTGCCACCCGCACAACCGACCAGGGCCGGGGACAAACTGCAACCGAGGTACGCGCCCTTAGCGGGAATCGAACCCGGGTCTCTCGGGACCGCAGGCCGACACTCTAACCGCTGAGCCAAACCGGCCAGGGCGAATAAGTATTTCTTAAGACTCAGAAGCTTAACACAAATGTTAATAATGTTTAAGAAAACTCCAAGTCTAAGAGGGCAAATAGAAAAATATGCTTGTTTGAGCCAAGCAAGTGGTTTCTGCTTACTTTACGTCTAACTTGATGAGTCGCCTTAATGCTTTTTTTCAATAGATGAAGCTGAGAGGTTCATGACCTTGATCAGGTCATGAAATCCCAAAAGTGTCTGAATATTTGGCCATTTTAATTATGAGGCAATCTCAAAACCAGCAGAAATTACAAAAGTACAGTTTTCAACTGAGTGAGTGAAAATGCTGATGGTAGTAACTCAGGACCAGGCGTCATAACCCATGACATAAGAAGAGTATAGATGGAGTGTCCTCCACTGGCTCCTGACCTGTTAAATCACCACAGCAATGTCTTTCTTATTTCTACGTTAAAAAATAAGTTTCATTCAAAGTGTACCTTTTAAAAAAGTTTTTGTAAAAATAAAAACACTGATACTATGAAGAGTTCAAACGTGGGGCATGTTCTCGCCAGGGCTGCTGGCTGCTCTCCCCAGTCCTTGACTCTCATTCCAGTCCCACCGTCCTCCGATCCCCGCTGCTCTCTGCCCAGCTTCTCTTTTCATGTGTGCCTCCAGGGGATGTTTTTCCAAGCCTTGGCAAACAAGGTACATCTCAAGATTGTATCCCATATGTGGTCACAATGATCTGAGTTATGCAGCATCTCACTGAGACATCTGGCAAAAGCCGAAGCTGTTTTCCCCTTAGGCTTCTGGTAAACATCCGTGAAAAATGTCCACAGGCACAGGAAAACAAATGGACCGAGGTGTCAGCAGAATTCTCAACTGAGAGGGGCTGGTGCAGTGTGATAAGTCAGAGGTGCGTTTTCCGTGAAATCCCAGCTACCCGTGTTTGTATTCAATAGAAGGAGATGTCTCTGGTCTTTCACGAAAGTGAGTTAAGAAAGAATAAGTGGCAATACAAATAGAGACAGCGTTTTTTCTTGATTTCATGTTATCCTTCCCAAAGTAGAAGAGGGATTCTTTTGCTGGATCTGCATCCTGTCGATAAATATTGAATGAATGAATATGGGACACAGCTGCAATAGAAGTTGGGCTTTAGCTTTGAGGGACCTTCTATTTTCTGTCCTTCTGTAATTCATGGAACTTTGGAGTGCACCTGTGACTAGGATAATGTGGTCTCAACATGTACCCCGCTCCCCAGTGCAGAAGCTCTGGGGCACATGGTGATGTACATGAAAATAGGTGAGAAGGAGTTAAAGCCCATCTTCCCTAATTAAACTGCCTAAAAGAACCTTTTAGAACAGTAAGTGCTGGCAAGGGTGTGGAGAAAGGGGAACTCTAGCACACTGCTGGTGGGAATGCAGACTCGTGTAGCCACTATGGAAGACTGTGTGGTGTTTCCTCAAAAAGTTAAAAATAGAACTGCCATCTGACACAGTGATACCACTACTAGAAATATATCCTAAGAAGCCTGAAATGCCAATCAGAAAGAATATATGCACCCCTATGTTCATAGCAGCACTATTTACAATTGCTAAAATCTGGAAACAGCTCAAGTGTCTATCAATATATGAGTGGATAAAAAAGCTGTGGTACATATACACAATGGAATACTATGCAGCTGTAAGAAAGAAAAAGCTCACCCTGGCCAATTTGGCTCAGCGGTTGAGCGTCCACCTGCGGACCAGAGAGTCCCGGGTTCAGTTCCTGCTAGGGGCACCTACGACAAAACAAAAAAGAAAGAAAGAGAGAGAGAGAGAGAGAGAGAGAGAGAGAGAGAGAGAGAGAGAAAGAAAGAAAGAGAGAAAGAGAGAAAGAGAGAAAGAGAGAAAGAGAAAGAAAGAGCTCTTACCCTTTGAGACGACATGGAGGGACCTGGAAAGCATTATGCTTGTGAAATAAGCCAGTCAGAGAAAGACAAGTACCACATGATCTCACTTGTTTGTGGTATATAATGAACAAAATAAGCTGTCAAACAAAATAGATCCAGAGACATAGAAGTAGGGAACAGACTGACAAACCTCAGAGGAAAGGGGGTTGTGGGGGGCAGGAAGGGATAAACCAAAGGGATAAATGTCTATGCATATATGTATAACCAATGGGCACAGACAACAGGGTGGTTAAAGTGGTGGGAGGAGGAGGGAGGGGGATGGCAATGGGGGGAGGGACATCTGTAATCCTTTCAACAATAAAGATGTATCAGAAAATAAAATTAATTGAAATCTAGGGTTATGATTATTCACATAAAATGTTGATATTTTTAAACTACCAAATAAATAAATAAATAAATAAATAAATAAAAGAACCTTTCAGGAAACACTAAAGAAATCTATCAACTCGCCCTGCATGACCCAACCTTGCAGGCACCGGCCACGGATGCACAAATGAGGTGCTGCGTGTGCCCGTAGACAGGTAAACACTGTGTCTTGGCAGTTGGTATTTGGGCAACAGGTACCCATGTCCTCCAAGGGAAGCTCTCTCAAGATGTTCCTAATGAGTCTGGCAGACGGAAGCACTTGTCATGTGTTCCCTTGCCAGCATTTCAGGTGTAGTTCCTCCTTTCGCCCGGGCCAGCCGCAGGGCAGCCTGCTGCTGCGTCCTTCTCTCCAGCGCACTTGTTTTTGCTCCAGTTAGCTGTTTCAGTAGGAAGGTGCTTTCTGTCTCTGGAATACAGTCACTGGGCAGGTGCAAACTCAGAAAAACAAGGCCCAGAAATGAAAGCCACGGTCTGATTTTGACCACATCCGCACGCTTGACATGGCAAGTACAGAATATATTCGGGCTTATTCTGCGTTTCGGTCTTGGATGCTCTTCCTGACAACATGGGGTAAACTAATGTCTTTTCTCAGAGGGGGTGATGTTCGGGCTTTTGGGGAGTCATGAAGCATGTGTGAGATTTATTCCCCATCTGGTGTTCTTTTTGAGCAGAGACGATGAGATTGTGGAATAAACAGAGGGCTTCCTGAAGAGGAGTCCTTATTGCCTTGGCATCTTATCCCCTTGTCTGAACTGCGTTAGAAATCGAGGAGGGAAAAATAAGTGGGCTTTTTGCAAGACACCCAGAATCGAGGTGCTGTGGCGCCCAGGGCGGCGGCGCTGCGCTGAGATGGTTGTTTCCAGGCGGAGTCTCGCCGCCCGATTCCATCACAGCAAGTGGGAGCACAGGGCCTCTGCCTGGTGGCCTGGTTCCAGCATTGTTGGTGTCGGGTCCTTTGGTTCTGGACAGGAGAGTGTGAGGGGCCTTGTAGTGTAGGACACAAATGAACACGACTGCGATATTCATGGTTGAAGGATCCGGGTCTTATCAGTCTCCCCTGCTGGTGCAGTGCTTAGTGGAGAGCAGGCCACACATGTTAGCAGTGGGAGACACACTGCGTAGGACACCAGCGGCCCTTGTGTGAGATCGTTCCCCGCGGTAGCTAGAGACATTTAGTTAAAGGGACTTTAGTGGACTGAGCCTTACTCTTCCTTTCTTGATACAGAATTTTAAAAACTAGAACCATGCAATCAGGAGTGTATTGGTGTAAAGTACATGATTGTCTGACCACTATGCCTACATCTGAAACTAATACAGAATGATATTGAATGAATGTAAACTGTAATGGAAAAAGAAAATAAATAAAAAGTTAAGAAGATAGCAATAACTGGCAAATGGAATGAAAGAATATATTCATAATAAAACTAACTATACAGTGTTGACGTAAAAACTAGATGACAAACCCTATACCTCATAGTACAGGAAGGAGGTCAAGAGCGTAGGATTTGGAGTCAGACGAATGCCTTGTGAAACCTCGTACATGACGGACGTGAGGATGAGCGGAGATCATCCAAACCGTTTAGAACAGTGGCCTGGGTTATTAAACACGTAAGCACGTTATTTAAAAAGTGTTTTGGAAGAGAGGGACATGCATTTAGCAGATGTAACAGGTCCATCTGGACGCTGTGACTGGCATGGCGTGGGCATGTCATTCAAGGAAGACCTCACACAGATGCCCCACGGGGGCCTTAAGAAATGAGGAAAGGGGAGGAAGGGTGGGAAGTCCAGCCCTGCAGAAGGAATACAATCATGTGTGAGAGCGTGTTCCGGGTTCGGGGAGGTTTTGAGTGGTCTGGTAGGTACAGTACAGGAGTTGGGAAAAAAATAGAGGTGGCAGGGTATTTGCCTAATGGAACTGACCTCTCTCACATTTTTAAAGTGAAGGTAACACAATTCACAGAAATATAAATAAGGGTGTGAATAGGATAGACCTTGACCTACTTGAATAAGTCAACACTATGCTTTGAAAGTATGTAACTACTCCAGTGTTAGCTCTTAACTCTGGCTTTATGTACCTGTAGTACTTTCTGTGTTTAGCAGCAGGGGGTGGGGGTAGGGAGGAGGAGGGGGTCAGTGGGGAAGGGGGAGGGCATCTGTAATACTTTTAAAAAAAAACAACGACTTTTTGTGTTAAAAAAACTAAAATCCTCCTGGGCATTATGAGCACTTGTAAATATTAATAGAGTGTTGAGAAATGTGAGCATTCTCATTATGAGTCCTTTTTTTTTTTTTTTTTTAAGTATTTGTTTTTTCTTATAGGATAATTTTGTGGAACTGGTTTTGGAACATCTTATATTTCTGTACCATACGCAGCAGCTTCATGAAACACTTCTAGAACTTGCTATAGAAACACTTCAAATCTTGCTATAATTTCCTTCAGGCAGAAGAAAGACGACGTTTGCTTTGTATCCTCACTGAGCAGAACGCCTTTTTCCCTACTTACTGGAATATGAAATGTATTTGTTTATCAAACATTGCCTGTGTGGGGGTTTAAAAACAGGTGCCTGCGGATGTCCTTAATTAAAAGGAGGAATTGAAAGCGGCGGCGGGCCAGCGGGGCACTTGCTTAGGCTGAGCTTTTTCCCCAAAAAACTGTCCTCAAGAAGTTACATAAATTTCATTTCATGGTGATCCCCAAAGATGGAAGTTGTCCAGGCCTCTCTATCAGACTCCTCGTGATGCTTGTAATTTAATTCTGGGTCCATCGGTCGTCAGCATGAACAGACTTCGCTGGGTAGCGGGCACGGCAGCTGGCCAGGCAGCTGATGTCACGAGTTGCATCCATTCTAAATACCTATCTCACACTTGCTAAATTAGCTTCTGAGTTTTTGATGGCCTCTGGGAAATATATCCAGTGTGCATAGTTTTTAGAAGAAACACGCTGAAATTTTCTTTTTTGTTAAAGCTCCTTTTTGTGTGGTTGGGATTTCTGTTGTTGTTTTCTAACATATAACCTTTGTTATTCCCAGAATTTATGCTATTAATGCCAGTTAATTATGGAAAAATAATAGATGTCACATCAGATATATCCTGGGCAGTAAGGATGTACATTTATATTTATATTTTGATTCTAAATCTGAAGGTGTCATTTGCTTTTTTGACTGAACTCTGGATGGCATCATCTAACCATTTTGGACTCCACTGGCTTTTATTTCTTTTGTATTTGAATAGGAATCAGAAATCCTATTGGGATTACATATTATATGGTTGTGAACTATTTAAATGAGATAACAAGGGGCATATCACACATACTACCATATTTCAAAATGACATTTGTATGTTGTCTGCTCTCTGTAAGCCTTTTCATGAGCCTCCTTAACACCTTGTATTTATAAGATGACTGAGAAAAATCTCTCACTTGCTTTCCCAATCTATACTTCCTTGAGCATTTATACCATGCAAGACTATACTCAAAGCTGATAAAAAGTGGCAGGGAGGGGAAGGCAGAGGGAGCACGGGTCTAAGCAGAGCACAGGGCCAGATGTTGTGGACGTTACAAGGTGACGCCGGTTTATGGGCTCTGCTAGGGAGCTTGCATAATGTTATAGGAACAAGCAAGCTCACAAGAAGTTAGTGAATTCGGGGTGAGAAGTGATCAATCTCCAATCAGCATGGCTAGTCAGGGCTGCCAGGGCACATCCTTGTGTACTGAGAGTTTAAGCTTTTGGGGGGAGGAAGAAGGGCTTCAAAGAGGAAGGGAGACTGTCCCATGATTTGCAGACTTGAGCAGCAGGAGGAAGCCTGTACTGTAAGTTGCCTCTGTTGTCTCCCATTTAAAGGGAGGCAGTTGCATTCTTGGATTTGGGATTTGGGGAGAAATGAAAGGGCATCCCAGGTCATTTCCACTGTCTCCACTCAGAATTAGTGACACTGAGTGTTTGGGGGGGGGGGGGTAGGGGTTTTGTGCCCAATGCGCACTCGAAGAGCTGCCGGTGCCCGGGTGGGGACCCATGTCGGTGACTACCAGTAGCCACTGCTCTGTTTAGCTTGATGAGAAGTTGTTTGGTTCTGTGAAAACCTGCCTAACATGCCTATCTCACCTATTTTGAGATAAGTGAACCAAGTCGTATTCTTGTATTTTCTATTAATGGCAGTCAGTCACAGCTGTGCTAAATTCAATACAGGTTCTGTGGATTGAAAACAGATGCAGATTTTTATTTACCCACAGTAGTTCCATCTTAAAGAGGGTCAGCCTTACCCGTATGACTTCCTTTTTCAGACAAATGGACACCTCCCCGGGAACGGAGATGTGTATCAAGAAAGGCTCGCGCGGCTGGAAAATGATAAAGAATCCCTTGTTCTTCAGGCAAGTGATTTTTAAATGCTCTTCTTTCCTTGTGACACACTTACAAAGACCCTTTTAGATTGGGACGGCAAATGCAGTTGCTTACGGGAGCCAGGCTGCTAACAGACGTAAGTGCAGCAGGCCGTCCGTGCACAGGAGGGAGCGTGGACTGTGGCATAACGAGGGCGTGATCTCCAGTCCACTGTGAGCAGCCCTTAATCAGCCCGCTCTTCAAGGGCCGTCTGATGACAGGCGCAGTCATGTGATCTGATTTCCTAATCTGTTGTTTGATCTGATTTTTTTAATATGTAGCAGAAATTCTGATTTTATGCTATATATATATATATTCACAGTATATACTTATCAATTTGAATAAGTACTTCTGAATCTGGATATATATGTATATATGTTAACTATTTCAGTTTAAAAAAATGATACCATGGGCCAAACCAAACAAAGTGAGTGGTGAAGTGGTGCATTTGTAGGCTAAATTTGAGTTTTTTTCTTCAGAATGTTGTTTTTATTATTTTACTTTATTTTTTTAGTCCTCACCCAAGGATATGTTTATTGATTTTAGAGAGAGAGCAAAAGAGAGAAAAGAAAACCACCAGAAACATTAATCGGTTGCCTCTGGTATAGGCCCCAATGAGGAATCAAACGCACGACCTTTTGGTGTAGTGGCCGATGCTCCAACCAACTGAGCCACCTGACCAGGGCATTATGTCTTGTTAAAGTGTGGTTGACATACAATATTAAATTAGCTTCAGGTGTGCAATGTAATGATTCACTATTTATGTACCTTATGAAGTGATCACCATGGTGTTTAGTAACCATCTGTCACCATGCAATGCTATTACCATATCACTGACTGTATTCCCTATGCTGTACACCACATTGTCACGATTTATTTGTTTTATAACTGCACATTTGTACCTGCTAATCCCTTTCACCTTTTCACTCATCCCCTTCCCCTCTGGCAACCATCAGTGTGTTCTCTGTACCTGTGAATTTGTTTCTGTTTTGCTTGTTTGGTTTTCATAGATTCTACATAAAAGTGAAATCATATGGTATTTGTCTTTCTCTGTCTTCCTTATTTCACTTAGCGTAATACCCTCTAAGTCCATCCATGTTGTTTTAAATGCTCAACAAATATTTTTGCTTTGGTATTTGAGCTAAATGAGGTATGCTGACTAGGCTGGTGATCACTGGGGAAAAACTCAGAGATTTGCAGTAAGTGCTGAGGATGAAGGACTAACCCAGTGGCTCCTCATGGACCTCTAAGTTACACCCTGTCTTTGAACACATGGATAATGTGATTATGGAAGATCTCACAGAATTTGAATTCTCTGGATTCTTTTCTGTTTTCTTCATCAAGTATCAAACTTGGATAGTCCTTGATAACTTCTCCAAACATTAACTCAGTTTCCTCTCTCAGCCTCTAATACCACCTTCCACCCCACCCCACTCCACCCTCCAGAGAACGTAGTTCATATACATGCATCATAACTGGTTGAAGTGGAGTTAACCTATACAGCATTGCACATCCCCAGTCAGCCCTAACTGTCTTAAAAATGGAATCGGAGTCCTCAGATCAACAGGTACCCCACAAATAGGAGTGGGAGGGGCTGCTGTCTTATTACTTCTCTGATTTTCCCCCCTTTACATCCGAATGAGTGGTGATAGCATTCCAGTTTTTGTTCTATCTACAGAAATAAAGTTTGCAGTGGGACCCAAATTCTTCCTAATCCTAGTATTTTGCTCTAACTACAGGTAAGTGTGCTAACAGACCAGGTGGAGGCTCAGGGAGAGAAGATCCGAGACCTGGAGTTTTGTCTTGAAGAGCACAGAGAGAAGCTGAGCGCCACGGAAGAAATGCTTCAGCAGGTGCGCACGGAGCCGGCCCCCAGGGGCATTCTCCCGCCGAACCACTTGAGATGTTCCATTTGGGTGTCATGTTTGCTCTGATGAGCAGTAAATTTTGTGATTCACTAAGACTGGCATATTTTAAGTAAAAACTTAAGAGTAGCAGGGTTTCAAAACACATACACACAATAAAAAGTGCTCATGTAATTAGAATCTGAAAAAATATTAACAGGATTACAGGTAATTTTAATTTTCTTCTTATGCTTTCATATGGTGTCCTAACTCCCAAATATGAGCATATTTATATGATTAAGAAAAAAGATAAATACCATATATAACCTTTATTAGAAAAAACCTACACACACACACACACACACATAGTACTCATATATAAGAGGACCTTTAATATAGTGGATAGAGTATACACTGGAGCAAGGCTGGCTAGGTTTGAGTTCCTGCTCTGCCATCCTGCGGTGTGACTTTTGGCAAATTCTCAGCCTCTCTGTTCCTCAGCTTTCTCATATGTTGAATAAGGATAATTCATGAGTTATCCTTATGAGTTTCTACCTCATAAGGTTGTTTTGAGGTTCGAAGCACTAAATACATGTGAGAACAGTGCCTGGCACATGGCAAACATAACATCATCATCATCATCAGTGTTACCATCAGGCTTAATACTATATATAATGGTTATATATGTGTGTATCTAGACAGTATGTCTCCCCAATAAGCAGACACATATTTGGTTCCGCTTAATGAAGGTTAACTAAATTGTATCTGTTTAGTAATTAATCTTCATCCTCTATTTGATAGTTACTGCTTTGCAGTCTTAAGTGAGACTCATCCATATATGGCTGGTTATAATAAAATAACTTTTGAATGTATCTCTTAAATTCTATTAGGAGCTTCTGAGTAGGACATCCCTAGAAACTCAGAAGTTGGATCTGATGGCTGAGATATCTAACTTGAAGTTAAAACTGACGGCCGTAGAGAAGGACAGATTGGATTATGAAGATAGGTTCAGGGACACAGAGGTAAGTGGCACCCCCTTCTCTCCTTATGCATATATATGTATAATCTCACACATAAATTCCTAGAGCAAGCTGAAATTCCTCGGAGGTATGAGGGGGAGGCAATTTATTGCTATGTGTCCTCATTCATCTACGCTTCTTTTAAAAAATAATCTTTACATTGACTTTTTATCATTAAATGCTAAAGGCAGTTTTTATTTTCAGACTTTTGATATGAAGTAGTAATCCTTTCATTAGCCTTTAGAAGTACTTTTGACTCTGGGGCATTTGGACCTTCTGTCCTCCTTTCTGTCTATCTGTCTGTATGTCCGTCCATTCGTACTGGTTTTCTTCATTGTGGAAATAATGGATTTAAGTGCACGATTTTACTTTATTTAGCTATTATTTAGGCATACTGATTATTTACTGCATAATACGTAGGTGTTTAAGTATGTATAGAGAACATACTTTCATTATATTTTTCATAAAAATCACAGCTTTTTAGAGGTCATTTAATTTGACTTTCTACTTTTGGTCTATTCCACACATAAATCATTCCAGTTAAATAAAACTCACTATTATTTTTTGCAATTTATGGTAGATTCTACAATTTGAAGTACCCATTTTTGTGGCCAAACATACTTGTTTGTGCTATTTTATTCTTAATCCAGGTCTTCTAATTTGTTTATTTGCTCATTGCTTTGTTGGGAAGGAAACATTCCCATTTGAAATGTAATTATTTGAAAAGAAACATAAAAGGCTGCAGAAATTCCTTTTGTGCTGGGGCCATGTCTTCTGTTTTGTTTCTTCGGTTGGAATGTGGAGGGATGTCATACTGGATTGCCAAATGGGTGCCCAGAGGAGAGGAGAGTAGAAATCGTTTACTTCTTCTCCCTCCCATCTTCATTTCAAACATTTATTTCATTCCGACTACATGCCATCATTGTATGAGGTGCGCTATACATATTATCCACGGTATGAAAGCCCTTCATAGATTTGAATTGAATGAAGTCTACACCATTACTGTTTTCAAAATTAAAATGTCTGTCCAAGATCTAACTATAATGAAAATCTTGTTACATGGATTACTTCCTCAATAGCAAAAGGAAATTCTTAATTTCGGGCATATTTTTCATCAAAGAACTTTTTGTCAGTCACTGGTATGAGCATGTTTCTCATTTGAATGAGACTGAGGCTCTTAGAACTTAGGAAGTTACCCAATTTCTTTCAAATTTTGCTTTTGTGCTTTCTTTAAAAATATTTTTCCTACTGTCAGTCATAACACAATAGGTGTTATGTGATTCGGTCGAGAGGTGGGTGACATGACATGGAGCTAGCTAACTCTGATACAGGGAAAGAAGTTACAGTATTTGGGGATTGAGAGGTGGCCTATACATCACATATACAAAGTTTAGGGGATGTCTTAGTCTGTAGGACAGTGGGTAATTTAGATGCGAGATGTTAACCAAACACTGGGACTAAATTGAAATAGATGTTTTATGATTTTTTTGTAAGACCCCAGAGCAACATTTACATCTCTTGCATTTGCATTTTTCTAAAACTTTTTTTTCCTTTACTGCATTCTCAATCATATGCAAAGTGATCTTGTTATCAACTTCCAGTAAACTTGACCCCTGATAATTTTCTAATAAATATTTAAAACTATTGGTAAAATGTAAAATGAACATACCCAGAGATTATGAGATGTTTGATAAACTTTATATGGACACAATTAAAATAGTCTTCATAATTAAAACTGAATTGAATATGGTCCTTTTCCTATTATTGTTTCCCTGGCTGTTTTATGAATCCAAAATTCTTTAACTTTGTCTTAGAATTTTAGGTTATTTGGGGATTAAGTTCTAAGTATATATTGGGGTGGGAGAGAAGCGTAGGTACTTCCACAGACTGGGGGTAAAAGTCTTGAAGATTCAGGATTTGCTTGTCCCAGGAATTACTTCCAGATGTTAGCAGCGCCCCCTTCTGGTAAGAGCACAGAATTCAGAAATTGAGTTTCTGCAGAAGTCTGAAAGAATTTTCTCTAGAAGGGAAAAGGGAAAGGTAACAGGAATTTTCTTTTTAAAAAGATTGAACTTCTGGTAAAAACTTAGCTGGAAATAGTTTGTATTTTACTTTTAAAGTTTCATAGTAAGGAGCTCTTTTCAGATTTTCCACCGTGAGTTATCATGGAAAGATAGATAACTTCTTTCAGGTTGGAGATTTACATTCATATATACAGTATTGCCACAGGATAATTGGGTCGTTTTTTTTGTTTTTTTTTTTTTTAAATAGAAAAATGGTCTCAATTTATAATTCTATTTTCTTCAATTGTTTCTTCTTTGCAAATAGCTACTATTTCTAAAGGAAGTGGTAAAATGCAATAGTATCTCATAGGAATTCAAAGCTGAAATTTAACAGTGAGAACATGGGGAAATATATATTTAAAAGACCAGATGGATGATGGATTATCACTAAGAACTCATATTATGCAAGGATGATTAATGGGAAATAATAAATGGGAGAAACTATACTTGAATTCTAAACTTGCAGATAAAGAATCACAACTAAACTGTTATTAAAAAAATGTCAAATAGTTCTTGACTTCATTTGTATAAAGAGAAAATAGATACCCTCTTATTGAAACATCGTATTAATAAGTAATTATTGCATAATAATGCTAGATAATACGTTTCCCCACTTTACAAGGAACACTTTAAAATACGGACAATTTAAAAGCCTGTGAGTTTTCTGGAAAGTATATTTCATTGTAGCATCCCTTTTCCTAGCCTTCATGAGGTTGTACTTAGAAGTTTAGAATAATTCCTCGTTAACAAAGTTTTATTTCTTAGAGCATTGTTCTATTTCTTTTTTTTATGGCGTTCTTGTATAATTGTGTCCTGTCGTCCGTGAGCCTGTGGCCCAGGAATGCATGTCTTGTGAAAGAAAGAAACGAAAAGCACATGAACCACTGGCAGGGCCTTTAGGGCTTGAAATAAAAAAAAAAATTCTTCTCCTTCGTAGAGTATCGAGCCCTTTTGGGGGAAGAGTTGGTATTTAGCATTCTCATTTCATTTTCCTACTCTGGGCTCTGAACAAAAAAATATAACATTATTTCTCACAATATTTAGACAGATTTTATAAGCAAATGAGTTTTTTATAAATGTGGCAGTAGGAAAGGTATCTGATTTATTTGAACTATGAAAACATTAGGATTGCAATCTTTTTTAAATACAAAATTATATTATGACACTGAATATATTTTTAAATGACAGGGCCCTTATCCATCCTCAGTTTGAGAATCTTTGGTTTAAAAGACTTACATTTTATTTTTATTTTCCCAGATTGGGTTGATGAACAATCTGTATTTTATAGACAAATGAAGAAATTGTAAAAATATTTTTACAATTGTATAAACATCTACCATGTCACTGAAAACACCCTAAAAGTAATTGTTTTACTAAAGAAAATGTCTCTGGTTTATTTGAAAAGACAGCGTCTATATAGTACATTATAGTCTAGAAATATCTGATCAATGGTAGTAATTAGCTACCTTTCTTAATTCAAATTAGTCACCTTCATTTTCATAAGCCTGTCATTTTAAGGCAGAGGCATTAGGAACTTAAAGCACTGTTTTGTTTTTTTTTTAATCCTCACCCGAAGACATTTTTCCATTTTGTTTGTTTGTTTGTTTGTTTGTTTGTTTAGATAGAGTGGGAAGGAGAGAGAGGAAGAGAGAGAGAGAGAGAAACATTGACGTGAAAGGGACACATCGAGTGGCTGCCTCCTGCACAACCCAACCAGGGCAGGGGACAAGCCACAACCGAGGTACGTGCCTTTAGGGGAACCAAACCTGCATCTCTTTGGACCACAGGCCGATGCTCTAACCAGAGCAAACTGGCCAGGGCTTAAAGCAGTGTTGTAAGTGGAAAGTTAGTTCTCCAGAGGAGACATTTGTTTTTATTTGTCTGGTCTAATTTATACAACGTTAACCTGGATTTAAGAGTGTTGATTTAAGATTTCCAAGCTGCTATTTTGGTATATATAAGTGTATTACCACTTTCACAGTGTATTTCCCTGTTTCTCTTTGGACAGGGCCTAATGCAGGAGATCAGTGATTTGAGGTTAAGAGTCAGTGAAATGGACAGCGAAAGACTTCAGTATGAAAAAAAGCTGAAATCAACCAAAGTGAGTTTTCTCAATGACAAAAATTGTTAAACCTTTGGCTCCACTACTTATCTATGATCAATAACATAAATGCAATGTGTTTTCTACTCAGTGTCTGATAAAGAAGTTGTTTTACAAGTGAGTGAAATTTTTCTCTGAGTTGGAGACCTTGATTTTTAAGCACTATTCTGAGTAAAAGTCCAGGCTTATCTCATCTGATCGAACACAACCTGTCATTTCTCTTAATTATCTAACCTCCTGTGTAAACTGGAACCGTTTTCTTGATTATTTAGTTTATCTTTTCCTATCTGTAGCTTTCTTTCACCCCTCTGTCTCTCTACCAGTCTTTAATGGCCAAACTTTCTAGCATGAAAATCAAGGTGGGTCAGATGCAGTATGAGAAGCAGCGGATGGAACAAAAGTGGGAGTCCCTGAAGGTGCGGTAGACGCTGGGGAACGGGGTCCATGGCTTGTTGCTTTCTGGCTCGTGTTGTTTTGCTGTGATGGTGTTTTTAGTGGTGTGTGCATTCATTCTGTCTGTGTGTCACCTATTTGAGGGGAAAAAAAAATGTTTCAAGGGATAGTATGATCCTTAATTTGTTTCCAGAAACATGAAATAATTAGTGAAAAATAATAAACAGGTAAATGAAAGTATTCATTTATAAATTAAATCACAATCTCTTAGACTGAGACCCAGGCTTCGTAAAATAATTGCACTATGTTCACCTGTGAAAGAATTCTGTTTCGTACCCATAGTAGACATTGCTTTCTCCCCTTGGGACTTCCATGCTAGTTAGCTGTCATGGCAGTGAATGGAAATTATTGCTTAGAATAAGCACAGTTAAGAACGGGAAGTTCTTTCCAGTGACACTGAAAACTCCCTGTGCTTGGTGTTGACTCCTCCCATAGGTAATAATTCTTAGCTTCACTGGAGAGCTGCCTCTTCTCATAGTACTCAATGTAATTAATGACTTTAGAGACTAGAAATAAAATGTTTGAAAATAAAATTATTTTATGAGAATAAAATGATATTGTTGAACATGAAGATGCATTTATAACCATCACCTAGGATTATTTTCTGTGTTAAATACAGCCAGCAAACTTATATTTGCTGAAGCTCTTTATCAAAACGAAGCTGAAAGTTAAAACATTAGTAAATAGGTAGAACAATGGACGTGGGATCTTTAATAGTAGTGAACTTAAAAAAAAAAGACTTAAAATCTGTTTTCTAAGTATTTTTTCCCATTGTTGTAGGAGATTCTGTTCTGTTAATCTTAGTGATGAGGGTGAATTATTTTGTCCCAACATTTGGTTCAAGTTGTCCATCACCTGCTGCCTTAGCCACCAATTAAGCTGTACCTTGTCCAGGGAACCTAAGTGCCATCTTGAAATGCTAAATAAACGTCAAGCAAGTCTTAATATATATTTTCCAACTTGCATTTTATTTTGTTTTTATAACACTAAGCATCTAATTTGATTATCTTTTTTATTAACTTGGTCAGATTTTTTATTTAACATAACATATAAACCTTAGGCCTACATTAGTCCTACTTACACTTTAAAAGATTTCCTTTATAATTTGGTGACAAAGAAACTTGAAGTAATGATACCATAATTGGTATACATTGGACTTTAATACTCGTCTTGTTTATCATTGCCACTGTCTGGTTTCTGAAGTTTGCGTCTAAATTCTTGTAGTTTTTTTTTGTTTGTTTGTTTTCTTCACAAAAACTAATTATTGACTTAAGAGCATATTCTCTGAATTTTCTCTTTTATTCATAATCTACTCTTTTTAAATGAATGTTATCATTTGTAGGATGAACTGGCATCTTTAAAAGAACAACTGGAAGAGAAAGAGTCTGAAGTGAAAAGGCTACAAGAGAAGTTGTTTTGCAAGATGAAAGGAGAAGGGATCGAAATTTTCGACCGAGGTAGGAATGTATTTAACATTGATTATCTTATTTTGTTAAAACCCTCTAAGATCTACGAAAGAAGCTGATGTTAGCCGATGTGTAATTTTAGCAGCAGAGAAAAGGGTAGCAGAAGCCATGTAGCCCAGGAGCACAGGCCACCCTCCGAGACTCTCCCCTGCGCTCGGGAGCAGTAAACTTCATCAGCATCTGGAGAAGGGCTCGCTGTACTCTGTTGGGTGTTTATTTCAGAATACTAAATTGTGAATTACCACCATGAGAGAGTTCCTGTCCAAACTGCAGTATAAGGGAGTGTCAGAAAGAATGAGAAGGAACCATGACTGTGTCCCAAGATTTTTTTTCTCTAAACTGAACTTGAGGCAACAGAAAGACATTAGAAACCTTGTCTGCCCTGTTGAGAGAAGAGAAGAAGAAATGCTCTGTATCTTTGGAGGAACAAAATCCATGAGAACTTCTTATCATGCCTTGAGCCCTTAACCTTCCAGAAAGCAAAGTTTCTTTTTTGGAAAAGTGCATGAATTTATCCAAACATTGTTTTCATAATTTATATTTGGAAATATAAGTGCACATAACATTGACAACACTAGGTCAAATTTAACCTTTCTTTGTTTTACAAATGATGACTGGCAAAAGCAACTTCTGATTCATCAGAAACAGAACAAATTTCATTTAGTATAGCTTCGGTACATTTTTATCTGTTAGGTGAACATTGGTATCATTATTGTCTATTCAGTGAGGGGTTTGAATTAGATTACCTCTAAAGTGTTCTTGGCTCCAGGATACTCTGGCTTTATATGCCTGTAGGTATCACAATTCTCTATCCATCAGAAAACTTAATTCATCAAACATTGAGAAAAATTGATTCCCTCCCACTCTGCAAATTGTCATATGTAGAATTGTATGTTTATAAAGGACATTCACAAATAGGTCATGCTTTTAGGATTTTAAGAAAAAATTGAATTATAGGACTTGTAGGCTAGAGGGTATGGTGGAATAGTGCTACCCAAAGTCTGATCCAAGGACTGGTACCAGTGTGTGAGCTACTGTTCCCAGTGCACAACCAAATCAACGCAGGGATGGAGAGCAAGTGCTTGGAAACGTCACAGCAATCTGGCGTTGACAGGACATCTAACTGCTCGATCGGTGGGCTCATTGCATTGAACAGGAACCACACCGTTTCGGTGTTGTTGAACTTGGGTGGTGAGTTGAATGTGACAGAAGCAATGTGCCAGGCACTGTCAGGAGGCCAGAGAGCGCACTGCAGTGGGAGGGTAAGAAACACAGCCTGTGGAAGGAGCTCGTGTACTCCATGGGCCTGATTTCAGTGTGAGAAAATCAGGGATCGGAAAGATGAAGTGATTGAGGTAGCAACTCAAAGCAAGGTCTTCTGGATTAATTGCATTAGATTCTCTTTTAACTGCACGCAAAGTACTGTGTAGAGTAATACGTCCTGAAGCCACAAAATAGTGCTTCATATTCAGTCTGTATGAGGTTAGGGTCTCTTTACTTTAGGTAAAAGGGGACAAAGTAATAGTGCATTTAAAATATTACTTATTATTGTAATGTATGCTAACTTCCAATTCAATGGGTTTTCCTGCACAGATGGAAATTTTAAAAAGAAGCTCAAAGACAAAAGTAAGGTTTTTGGTGTATTTCCATCAGCCTTTACATTCACTGAAAGTAATACTTGGACTGTTCTTTGCATGTGTTTTTAAAACATTTCTCTCACCAAAAATGTAAAGTTGCTTCATCAATAAGCTCTCCATTTCTTCCAAGTGTACAAAATAGAGGGGAAACAATAAAAACCGGGAGTACAAGATCCCTTGGCGGATTTTACCTGATTCAGCCCTTTGGCTCCACAGGAGACAGCAGGCACCCAGAGGGGTGGAGGTGAGCAAGGAGAGACAGGGTCAGAGGAGGAAATAGTGTTCACTCTCCTATGAAACCTCGGAGGTTTATCACAGTTTTTGAGGTTTATCACAGTTGAAAGACCGTTTTGAACTTTGCTTTTGCTTTCCAGTGTTTTGTAGCCCACTTTTTCACCAAGATCTACTTTAAGAGCTTTTTTTTTTAAAAGACACACCTTTTTGGTGTTTCAAACGAGACTGTAATTAGCCCTGGTTGTTTTTGCTCAGTGGTTAGAGTTGGCCCACGGACCAGAGAGTCCTGGGTTCGGTTCCTGCTAAGGGCACCTACCTCAGTTGCAGTTTGTCCCTGGCCCCTGTTGGGGTCGTGTGGGTGGCAACCAGTAGATGTGTCTCTCTCACATCGATGGTTCTCTCTCTTCCTCTCTCTCTCCCGCTCTATCTGAAGATAAATGAAAAAAAAAAGAGAGAGAGACTGTAATTAATTGCATTAAGTAATCCAGGCTGTTTAATAGACCTGGATTATTTAAGGCAGCATAAAGATAAAACCTTAAAGGGCTCCCTTCTCCAGACATTGAATTCTTAAATCAAGGAAATGTGCCTTTAAAAAAAAAAGAAAGGCAATTCCTATAGAATATACCTTAATTGAAAATGGTTATAGCTGTACTGAATGATGTATCACTCTTTTAAAAATTATCGTTGGTAGTTTTTTTGTTTGTTTGTTTGTTTTTCTCAAAAGGAGGGAGTTTTAGCTGAATTTTTTTTTCTCTTTCAACTTTTTAAATTTGTGATTTCATTCCAGGTTGACCTTTGATCTTTAGAACATTTGCTTTTTATTATTAAAGTAACATGCTTTTGTATTTGGATATCAGATTTTAAGGGAAATCACATTCATCTTACTTTGGCCTTTCTGTTTTAAAATAGCATTTGGAAATGAAGTTTATAGATGAAGCAAAGTACTTAATATCCTACTGTATGGAACCTACAACCAGCTTCTTAGCATGACTACTCATGTAAACATCACATTCCATCGGGCTCTTACCATTTGTGTCTCTAGCTCAGTTATGACTGAGTATCATTTTGTCTGCTTTTGTCATTATGTGCACTTTGTTAACTGCTTTTGCCCACTGCTTTATAGGTTCCTTTTGTGAAAACACCGTGTTTTTATTGTTATAGCACCGACATTTCATCCTCAGTGTTCTCATGGAGATTGTGTTGTTGCTTTGAGAGAGGGTAGTTAGCTCTCACTTACCCTTTCTTTCTGGAATGATGAGTATTCAGGTGACCTAGAAGGTGTTCATTTCCCAGATTTTCCCTAAAAGAGAATATGGATGGTAAATGAGCCCTTTTAACAACCAAACAAACAAAACAAACCAGTAACATCTTTGCCTTAACACATTTCAGTCTGAAGAGTCAGTAGATTCTTGTTACTGTCACACGTTAACTAAACCGGCTTCTGATTTGATGTTGTGATATTTTCAGATATTGAAGTACAAAAAATGAAAAAGGCTGTGGAGTCTTTGATGGCAGCAAACGAAGAAAAGGTATCTCGATGAAATTTAAATACTTATTTGGATGTATTATTGCACCATTTTGATCAGTCCTTGTCTTGAGACATTGCAGTTTGGAAGGACACACCCTATACACTGCTGGCATTAGGGCCAAGCGTCCCCCCCTCCCTGCCCACGCGTGTCCACTGTCAGTGGTCACAGTTGTGTGGCCGTGCGTAGGAATGGAGACCAGCAGCACCGGCCCCACTGAGAATCCCCCTCCCCACCCCCATGAGCTCAGAAAATGTCTGGGCTGTCACATCAGTTCTTTACGTTCAGGTGACTGGATATAAGGGATGGAAGTTCTGGGCTACTGTATGGACCCCGAAGGAGGGAGCCCATGACAACTTGAGCTTCGTGGTCATGTTTATTTTCTTTCTTCGTATGTATTATTTCCTTCATACTCCTCACCTCTTTCCCATCGGAGATTGTCTCTGCTCTCCTGAGTGGTGAGATACTGGGAGAGAGGGGCCCGGGCACCATGGAGGTGGCCCAGTGCCATGTCTGCAGGGGTTGGTTCCTCGGGTTGTTTCTCCTCACTTCCTCCTGCTGGGAGCACCAAGAGCAGGGTCGCAGGTACTGCACGAGGAAAGGTGTTCTTCCCAGCTCTCCTGCCCAGCCATTCAGCTCCTGTCGTCAGAACTGCTCTCCCCTCGTGTCCCTAAGTGAATACAATAAGGAGGGATTTTCCCAAGAAAAGAGTAATTTCAAGGAGGTAAAAATCAAGCAGTGCCAAAGAACTTTGTTTTCTCCCATCATAAATTTCTTTTTCTAATTCTTGCCTACTCTGCTTTACTTGTCGATATGTTTTTGCCTTTCATTCTCTTTGTTTCTTATTCCATGAAAGTAAAACTCATTGTCTTACCCAACCAACCAGATATATATATATATATTCTTTTTGCTAGTCTTTCCTACTATTGAATACAAATAAAAGTCCTTAGTAAGCTGCCCACAGAGATTTTATTGGAAAAAACAAATTACTGAAATGCATTTTGTTTTCATTTCTCTCCCTCAAGAAGCAACAGTAACAAACAACTCGCAGTGTTGAATGGGGGCTTGCTGGATGCTCAGCCTGCTGTAGGTGCTCCATGAGTGGCATAGCTTCTTGGTGGTTTCAGGCTCAGAGAGGACCTATTTGAGCAAATTCTGAGGAACAGCAAGAGTTGTTCACCAGGAAAATGAGGGCTTTTAGTCAAAGGATCCATGAGTGAAAGCACGTTTCAAAACCACGGCTTCAAACAGCCCAGTGCATGCTGGGAAGGTTCTAGAACACGAGATACGTGCGGAGTGGTGTATGAGGCTAACAACAGAGCTGCAGTGAATGTCAGGCAACCTCGTATGCTGGGCTGATGCTCGGGGGTCTGAGGCTGTAGGCGTTGGGCAATGACAGAATTAAGTCACTGTTTGGAAAGCTAACTCTAGCAGCAGAGTGGAAGCAAGGGTAAGGGAGGGAGAGTAACGACAGAACAATTGAGAAGCTGTTAAAATGATGTAGGTGAGAAATGAAAAGGGGTTGAAATAAGGTAATGGCAGGGCTGTGTTAAGGAGGGAAGATATTTTACAGAAATTTAAAGGTTGAGAAGATTTTAAAATTTTTGGATTTGAGAGTAAGTTTCTGGTTTGGTCAGTAGGTAAATGATGGTACCCTCCAAGAATTAAGTATAGCCAAGCCAAGGCAAATAAGGAGCTTCATTTAGATACATTTAATTTGCCCTGGCTGGTCTGGCTCAGCGGTTAGAGCATCGGCCCATGGACCAAAGAGCCGTGGGTTCAATTCTGGCTAAGGGCATGTACGTTGGTTACGGTTCAGTCCCTGGCCCTGGTCAGGGTCATGCGGCAGGCAACCAGTCAATGTATCTCCTTCCATTGATCTCCCTCCCTCCCTCCCTTCTTCCTTCCCACTCTCTCTAAAGATAAATGGGAAAAAAATTTTTATACACACACACACACACACACACACACACACACACACGTATCTCCTTGGGTGAGGACTAAAAAAATAGATACATTAAATTTGATGTGTTCATGGGACATCCAAAAGGAGATTTCTCATAGAAAGTTGAAAATAAATCTAAATTTTAGGATTAATATAGAATTATAGATTGATGAGGAGTGAATCTTGTCAATTTTAGGACAAATATATAGTTAATTGTAGATTTGTGGAGGCTACACTATAGTTGATGTATCAGTTAGCTTTTGCTCCATGACAGATCACCTTTATTATTTCTCATGCTCCTGTGGGTTGGCTAGGTGGCTCTTCCGGTCCGGGCTGGCTTAGCTGATCCCTACAGTTAGCCCATGGCTGGGATGGGGCTGGATGGTGTAGGATGGTGTGACTCACATGTCTGGTGATTGACAGACTGGTCTAGGTTGGCCCCAGCTGAGATGTCTCTTCTCTAAATGGTCTCTCATCTTCTAGTAAACTAGCCTATGCCTCTTCACATAGTGGCCTTTGAGCAGCAAGAGAGGGCAAGCCCCAGTGTGCAAATACTTTTCCAGCCTTTGCTAAAACCACATTTCTTGATATCTTATTGGCCAAAGAGGGTCACATGGTCAAGCCCTCCACAATGAGGGAGGAGGAGCTAGGGGGCTCGTTTTGTATAATCCACCACAGTGAGAGCATGGGAGAAGAGAAGAGGGCAAAACTGTAATGCTCTATGTTTTATAGTCTGGGTTGGGTCGATAGTGGGGTCATAGAAGTAGAATATTTAGCTGGACAAAGGATTTATAAATGAAAATGGAAGAAAAGAAAGAGTCGAAAGGAAAGTAAAAAAGGAAGGGATGAGTGGAGTCAATCAAGTGTAAAATAGAGGTCGAATTAGAAAAAGGATAACAGTGCTCATTGTTTTTAGTAAATAGGTCTCTGGTGAGTAATTGAAGGGAGTGTTTTGAGAGGGGAAAAGCCGATGGTGATGAATGACAGCTGATAGAGACAGCAGTTGTAGATCTGTTTTTCAAGATTAGACATATAAGTTAGAGAAGAGAATAATTAAAGTGATCTTTTTTCTTTCTTAGTATCTTATTTCTTTATTTTGTTTTTATTTTTTAAAGATGGCAACCGAAGGATAGGATCTTTAAATTTAGGGATGCACGTAGAAAAATTGTTCTAGATATTCACAGTTTTACTGAAGTTTAGAAGTATTCTTTGAATAATGTAGATAACTCACAGCTACTTACTTTCGTGTTGCAATTACTTTTACCATTTTAAAATCATAGTATTAAAGATGATCCTTTATTTTATTAACAGGATCGGAAAATAGAAGATCTTCGACAGTGCCTGAACAGGTACAAGAAAACGCAAGATACGGCGCAACTGGCCCAAGGTAAAAAAGGTAGCGTAGCTCTTAATGTTTTTCTTCTTAACTTGATTTTAAGTGAGTATGATCCTTTACATTTGGCCTCAATTTCTTTTACGGCACGTACTCATCATCCCAAATTAGATAGCTCACTCATCCATCCAATGATGTGGTCGGCATCTGTTCCCACCTGCACGCCTGTAGGCTGAAGAGCGCGCTGTCGATTGGTTGTCAGGAGGAGCCTCCCCGAGGAGTCCCGGAGACAGCATTCCAGAGACAGAGCCCAGCAGTGGGGTGGGGAGGAATCGGTGTGTGTTGACGCAGTAAAAGCCCAGTGTGACTGGAGGGTAGTGATCAGGGGAGAGAGTGAGATGGGATGATAGAGGTGAGTACCGACAGGTCATGCCGGTGAGGAGTTTCGCTCTTACTTGGCTCCAGCGATTCACTGAAGGGTCTTAACAAGTGGAAGACATGGTCTTTGTAACAAATAGGCCACGGTGGGAGGGAGCAGTGCTGGAAGGAGGGAAAACTCTTTAAGAGACTCTTGCAGTACTCCAAGAGGAAAGTCTGATGGTACTGACTGGAAGTGTGTTTTGGTGTTAGAATCAGCATGATGATGCATTGAATTAGATGAGGAAAGTAAAGAAGAGACAGAATCAAGAAAGATCTCTGTCTAGAGCAACTAGGTGGAGGATAGTTCCATTTACCAAGATAGAGAAGAAATGTTGGAATGGTTAAGGGGGATTGTGTTCAGCTTTGAATGTATTAAATTTTTTTTAAAAAGCCTGTAAAACATCTAAGTAAAGAGAGTTATACAGTTTGTTGTATTTATTATTTTACCTATAGATGTGCCAGTTAGTTGTCCTTGAACGTGGAAAAGCTTTGGGAGTCATTCAAAACGTATAAAAATGTTATAGACTTTAAAAGTTCTCTTGTTCATTAGCAATGCATAGATGGGGTTATTTGCTGTAAAAGTAAGCACTGGAAATTAACAAGTCTTTCGGCCAATACTCGTTCATTTTGAGATTTTAATTTTAGTGAGTTTACAAAGAAAATCGTGTTTTGGACCAGAATATTTTTGGGGGGAGGGAGGGTCTTCTTTTTGTCCATGGTACCTGGCATATATTAAGACTTTATAAATATCTGAATGAGCAAGTATGCTTCAAGTAGGCTTCTAATTATCATTGACTTATGGCAATTCTCATCACTCTGCATTTCTATATCTTCAAATAAGTCTCTCTTAAGGAATATTGCAAACTTGTAAGTAGTTAGGTTTTTTTTTTGTTTTTTATCCTCACCCGAGGACATTCTTGCATTTATCTGCAGATAGAGCGGGAGGGAGAGAGGGAGGAAGAGAGAGAGAGAAACACCCATGTGAGAGAAACACATCAACTGGTTGCCACCTACACAACCCCAACCGGGGCCTGGGACAAACTGCAACCAAGGTACGTGCCCTTAGCGGGAACTGAACCCGGGTCTCTGGTCCATGAGCCGACGCTGTAACTGCTGAGCCAAACTGGCCAGGGCGCAAGTAGTTAGTTTTTACATAGGTACAGCATGTAAAATATTGTTTAATTTTATGAAATCTCAACACTGTAATTTTTATGTTTAAAAAACAAGGAAGAACAGATTATAAAATATTGCAAAAGTGGAGTTATAATTGCAGTTATAATTACACTGCATGATCACCATGGACATTTTCATGCATTTCTTTCTAGTGTTTCTTCTAGGCATATACATGTGTAGCTAAAAGAGGTAGTTCTAAACCATATGCAATAGGATTTTTATCAACCATTCAAAATGATGTCCTGGTCTGACAAAGAGTTATTATGTAAACTGATTTCTCACTAGGATTTATATTTATTCAGTTAATTCTCATACAATTCTAACACTCAGATTCTAATAAAATTAGAACACAAGTTTAATAACACCTAATTTAAGAAGCTATCTCTAGTTTAATACCTTTAAACAAGTATATGATGTATCATTTCTCTTCAGAGATTAGAGTTTTAAGCATCATTCTTCTGTTTTTAAAAAAGGAGTGTCTGGCATGGTTGTTCAACCCTTAGTCCTCATTGCTGGGGATGTGTAAGCATCTGATTGTTGCTGCTTTGCTGGATCTGTGGTTGCTTTTCCCCATTACGTTGTTCTTTCTGCTTTAAAATTGAGGAAGCAGGAAAAAAGATCCCTCTGAGGGATCAAAGGTCGTTCTCCGTTTTCTTTCCCTTCTGTTTTTCAGGAGGACAGTGGTGATGGTGACGGAGTTGTTTAAGTGGTGACCCTGTTGCTGCCCAGAAGCAGCTCCTTGTCCCACTGGTATTCCTCAGCCTGGTTATTTCTGAACTGAAATTTGTGTAAAGCCCCAAATTTTGAAACAAAATTACAGGAAGTTTGTTGAACTGAATTAATTTTTTATTTCAATCTTGTGAGTCTATGATTGCCCCTATTTTGTTGTTGTTGTCATTAATCCTCACCTGAGGATATTTTTCCATTAATTTTTAGATAAGTGGAAGGGATGGAGGGGGACACACACACACACACACACACACACACTGATTGGTTGCCTCCCACATGACCCCGACCAGGGCTGGACATCAAACCTGCAACCCTTGACTGGGAATCGAACCCTTCAGTCCGAAGGCCGATGCTTTAACCACTGAGCCAAACCCGCCAGGGCTTATTGACCCTATTAACACCAGTATCACTAAACACCCCGATCAGTACCACTCTGGACACTACGTGGCCCCGACGCCCCTGCACCGCAGGCGCTCGCGGTTTAAGGAATCGTTCCCTGGGGCCCGTGTTGTTGGTTTTCAAGCGATGTCAGAAGTTGACTTTGATTTTTTGAGGATCAGAAAAATGTTTATATTTACTATATTTGTGATCCTTCTTCCAAAAGGGAAATATAAGTGAAAATGTGTATTTTCCCCCAGGCCCAGAGGCTGACTATGACGAGCTGCTCACTTCCAGTTCCATCTCCACTTTGCTGGACGCGCAGGGATTCAGCGAACTGGAGAAAAACCTGTCATCCACGCCAGTGACGGGCTCTCCCAGTCGTGACCCCTTTAACACAAGTGTTCCCGAAGAGGTATTTATAGACTCTCAATCTTTTCCTGCGGGGGAGACCGTGTCACTGAAAGTGAGAGTGCCGTGGACAGCATGCGAGATGCGGGCTTTCTGTCTCGGCTCCATCACCGACTTGGTTTGTTCTGGCAGCTTTTGTGTCCTGCGGGTTTTTGTATGAAATGGGTGTTGCTGTTTTTTCCTTCCCTTTAACAAATAAATGCCCAGGGCCATGTCAAAATTGCTTATATAATTCAGGAAAAACATAAGAAACCCTTGGAGATAGATGTCATCTTAAATATGGAATTACAATCTGCATGTTAAATAATGAGTAGGGAATAAATGAAGTGGAGACGAAGTAAGATTGTATAAAGCACCTGAGTTTGGTTTTTTTTTAATCCTCACCCGAGGACATTTTTCCATTTTTTGTTCAGATAGAGTGGGAGGGAGAGAGAGGACGAGAGAGAGAGAAACATCGATGTGAAAGGGACACATCGAGTGGCTGCCACCCGCATGACCAACCAGGGCCGGGGACAAACTGCAACCGAGGTACATTCCCCTAGCGGGAACCGAACCCGGGTCTCTCTGGACCGCAGGCCAACGCTCTAACCACTGAGCCAAACCGGCCAGGGCTCCTCTGACTTCTTTACCTTTGGAAGAAGCCACTGGAGGGGAACAAAGTCTCAAACTTATTTACTTCACTCTCACATCAAATTGCTACTAATACCTTTTTCTGTTATCTGTTGTACCCCCAAACTGTGTCCTGAATGACAACAGTTATCTTGCTGATGAACCTGCCGTTTGGATAGTGCTCAGCAGGACCGTCTGGTCTCTGCCCCACTTGGCAGCAGCTGGATTGGCGTGGAGGCTGGGGGCTCGAGCCATCTGAAGGCTGCTCGTTCCTCTGCTGCTAGTTGAGGCTGGTGGTTGGCGGGGACCTCAGTGGAGGCCCTGGCTGCAACCACCGCATGTGACTGCTTGGCGTCCTCACAGTATGGTGGCTGCGTCCTGAGGATGAGCATCCCAAGGGAGGACTAGGCAAATTTGTATCACCTTCTATGACATGTCTCAGAAGTCACTTAGCATCTCTTCTCCTGTAGTCACTGGCTCACCCAGATTCATGGAAAGGGAACGTCCATCACCTCTTGATGGACATGTGGCAATATCACATTGTAAGGACATGTGAGATGGGATATATTGGTGCAGCCATTATTTGGCAAATAAATCTGCCCCTCCACTCTCTAGCTACAGCAGTTTACTTCCCTCTCCCATGCACAGTGTACCCAGCCCCTCTCCAAAGAGCACTTGGTTTCATTCCAGTTCAGCATCAGCATCCCAGGAACTGGTCCAGATCGGGTCAAGACGTAGGTGAAGCTCCTCAGGTGCATCTCCTCAGGTGCATCTCCTTGGGCACAGCCTCTCGGGTACCATTCTTTTCGACTTTAAGAACTGGGAACTTGCCCTGGCTGGTTTAGCTCCGAGGTTAGAACACCGACCCGTGGACCAAAGAGTTGCGGGTTCAGTTCTGGCCAAGGGCACGTACCTCGGTTGCAGTTTGTTCCCAGCCCTGGGCAGGGTCGGGAGGCAGCCAGACAATGTGTCTCTTTCACGTCGATGTTCTTCTCCCCCTCCCCCCTGTCAGTCTGTCTAAAGATAAATTGAAAAAATTGTCCTTGGGTGAGGATTTTAAAAAATTTTTAATAAAAAAAAAAGAACTGGGAACTTAGGGGACGAGCAATTTTTAATAAAAAAAAAAGAACTGGGAACTTAGGGAACGAGCTATCTGTCCCCACACACCTGACGTGCAGTAGCGGGGTAGGTATAACATGACCGTACAGGCACACTCACTGGAAAGGGGGGAAACAGGGCACATGGGTGTCAGTAGTCCATAGCAATTCCAAAATCCAACCAGGTACGTGGTGTCAGCTCCCCTATTAGGACTGAGTCCTCCGGGTTCCTGGTTCCTTCTTCTGAGTCGTCCTTGCTTTTCCACGAGACGGAGGCTGTATTTGCAGACAGTAGTTTTCTGTAGAAATGTCCATAGGGGTCCAAAGCCTTTAATTTTCTCCTGCCTCTGTTCCTTTTAGTCTAATTCGGTACGATATTTTAAACACTTGAGATTTCTTATGAATCGATTTGTTATCCACTCCATTAGATAAAAGCATATCCACAAATATCTTCACAATAAGCCCTTCTCTACCTTAGGTTCCCTGTAAAGCAGCCGTGGGATTTCCTTTATTTTCAGAGTTTTAGATCTCTTTTTTTATCCTCACCCAAGGATACATATTTATTGATTTAAGACAGAGAGAGACAGAGAGAGACAGAGAGAGAGAGAGGCGTTGATTGGTTACCTCCTGTGAATGCCCATGGGCGTCAAACCCGCACCCGGACGACGCTCCGACCAGCTGACCCACCTGCCAGGGCACCTTTTAGATCTTTGTTAAGAGTTCGGTGAAACAGCACCACCTTAGGTCTTCCTGGGGTCTTAACAAAGCCACACACATGTCTTCATTTTAAAACTGTTTTCCTGACAGCACCCTGAAACCATTTCTTAATTTTAATGGAATGTGCTGTCTGGAGAGACTGGGCATGGGAAACAGTTTTATTTTTTAACCAAACAACCTCGGCTTCCTTACATTTAACAGTTTCTTCTTTGGTCCTCTCTCCTCTACCATTTTCTTATCAGTAATGAAAAGAAACCAAATGGTATCTTTACTTTTTATATCTATTGCTGGTAATTATATAATGAGAAAATGAAATTTGAATCGAATGAAATAAATTCAAGGAGAAAACAGTGAACACTTCTCTTTTAAATATAAGCGAGGGATAAAATGTGTCACTAACGCGGAATGAGCAGGCGGGGAATGGGTACAGGGGAGGTACCGCACAACCAGATGGCTGTAATGAACACTCTGTGTGGTACATTTGAAAGTGCTAAGAGAGTACTTCCTAAAAGTTTTCATCGTGCCCTGGTCAGGTGGCTCGGTGGATTAGAGCATCAACCAAAAGATTGTGGGTTTGATTCCCTGTCAGGGCACATACCCAGGTTGTAGGTTTGATCCCCAGTCAGGGCTCCTGTGGGAGGCAACCAATGGATGTTTCTCACATCGATGTTTCTCTCCCTTGCTCTCTCTCTAAAAATCAATTTAACAAAAAATAAACATCTTCAGGTAAGGATTTTTTTTTTTTTTTTTTCAGTTTTAAGTGTAAAGGAAAACCACTTTCTTGTTTTTTAGTTTCTGAGGTGATGGGCATTGACTAAACTTATTGTGGTAATCATTTTGCAGTATAACTCAAGTCATTATGTAAACCTGGAACTTATACAGTGCTGCATGTCTATTACATAGCAATAAAATTAAAAAAGAAAGGAGTTAGTTATAGAATAAGAAATGCTTTAGAGGGAAGAATTCCCTAATTGTTCAATATGTTTATGCTGAAGGGAAAAGTCACTCCCGCCAGGTACTGAGAGCTATGTCTACAGAGAGAGGCTGCAGTCGCGTGCAGGATACGCTCAGATAACCTCCATCCTTAAAAACATCTTTGCTAGTACATTGGAGTTTTTTGTTTTTTTTTTTATCCTCACCCGAGGACATTTTTCCATTTTTTGTTCAGACAGAGCGGGAGGGAGAGAGAGGAAGAGAGAGGGGGAGAAACATCGATGTGAAGGGATCGAGTGGCTGCTACCCGCATGACCAACCAGGGCCGGGGACAAACTGCAACCGAGGTTCGTGCCCTCAGCGGGAACCGAACCCAGGCCTCTCTGTACCGCAGGTCGACGCTCCAACCGCTGAGCCAAACCGGCCAGGGCGTACATTGTAGTTTTAATGAGAGCTTTTTTGTTTGTTTTTTGTTTTTTTTTTTTATCCTCACCTGAGGACATTTTTCCATTTTTTGTTCAGATACAGTGGGAGGGAGAGAGAGGAAGAGAGAGAGAGAGAGAGAGAGAGAGAGAGAAACATCGACATGAAAGGGACACATCGAGTGGCTGCCAAACTGCCGGGGACAGTCTGCAACCGAGGTACAAGCCACTAGTGGGAACCTAACCCGGGTCTCTCTGGACCGCAGGCTGATGCTCTAACCGCTGAGCCAAACCGGCCAGGGCTTTTTAATTTGTAACAAGAACGATTTAACGAGGATTGAGCGTGTTCAGCCACATTGTTAAAGAAAAGCCAGGAGGGAGATTTAAGTTTGGATTTAAAGCCCTGAAGTTTGAAAGGAAATAAAGAAAATCAGTCTGCTAGTAGAGCTATGTATTTTTTTTTCAAGATTAGGAACCCAAGGCGATAAGAACTTCAGGAAGCAGGGATGATGGCTAAATAAGTTGCCCATTATAAATCATAAAGTTTTGAGCTGAAAAAAAAAAAGATAGTGAAATAATCTATTTTATAATAACATGACTTGTTAAAGAACAAAATTTGACTGAGTAAATTTAAAAGATCCTGTTGGTTTAACTTAGCAATTCATGGATCCAGCAGCATCCAGTCTGGGAGATAGAAGGTCCAAGGAGCTTCTAGAATGACAGGCTTTCTGTAGAAGGGAGCACTTGCTGATTGGTTAGAGCAGGGTTCCGTTCCTTCCACGGAGCGAAGGGACATCTCGGAGCCGGCTAGGTGAGTTGTGGGAGCAAGCAAGTACTGACTGGGGACCTAGGCCTTTCCTTTCTGGGAGAGCGGAGCACAAGTTTGCGGACCTGGGGCTTGGCGTGAGCCACGCCATCTCGGGCCCAATCTGGTTACTTTAACAGACGTCACATTTTATAACTTTTTATAGTGTCAAAGGATGAAACCACCACTCAGTAACTGCAACAAAAATCTCAAAGCTGAATTTATTGATTTAAGTAAGTGAACTTCGTTGGCCAAGGACATTCTCTCCAAGCTGATGGTATGTAGGGTTTTTAGGATGCTTGGAGCTCAGGGATTGGTGGACTTTCAGAGACAGGAATGAGTTGGCTGCAGCCGTATGTGGTTATGAAGGTGAGACTGTTGTTGAGTGGGTGGTATTTAGAGGTGTGTTTGCTGGTGTGATACCTGACTGGCTGACTTTCAGAGGTGAGTCACAGATTGGTTGACTTGCAGAAGTGAGCCATTTCACTGAGGGCGAGTTTTGTTCATTGTTTGTTTTTACTGAAATATTCTTTAAATATTTGTTTGTTCAGGATGTGTCTACAATCTAACTGTTCTATGGTTGTCAGAAATTATTGAAGACCAGAATATACAAATGCTTTCACAGAATCCATCCTTAGGATACACAAGTCATTTGTTTGGGAAAATGTATTGTGCATTTTTTTTTATTTTTGCTGCTGTAATATTGTTACTGTTAAGCCAAGTGTTTTAAGTGGTGTAACCACAAAGTACATTATAAGTTGTTTTAATGATGCTTTTCATCAATTCTGTTCATTGAAGTTAGCTTGTTCACACATAGAATAATAACTGGTGGGACCAACATCCTATTTTAGACTAGTAGTAGAAACTGAAGTGAAAATAGTGCTTTGTTTACAAAACATTTTTACCCAAATCTCATCGTAAATCAATGCAGCCCTGTTACATAGCCTCGTCATTCTCATTTTACAGAAGAAACTGATGCCCAGTGAGGTGACTTGCTTAGGCGAGGGTGTCAGAGCCAAGATCTCAACCAGGGCTCAAAGCCGTTATTATTTACTGTTAACTTATTTAACGGTATTTATTATGTCTTACTCATAATATTCAGTGTCTTATTCAGGACCAAGTTAAAAAATTACCTTCCTGCAGAATCTTTTCTCTGATTTGCACTTCTAGGTGTTTATAACCTGAATGGTGGTTACTCTGTGGCTTTTGTTTTGTTGGATGGATTGACTTTCACTTTATGTTTACAGTTCTACAGCTTGCAGGTTTCCAGCCCTGTGTCAGGACCGTCACCGAAAGGCTTGGAAACTTCCGAAAATGCGAAGTTGCCTCCTAAGCCAGAGACTTCATTTGAGGAGAAGTATGTCATTTATGTCCCAACATTGCAAATATACATGTTTGGAAAAGTAGATCAAGCAAAAGCAAGGGTGCTTTGCATTTCTTGTCAGACACGACATTTTACCCAGAGAAGCAAGAAACAGCAAGACGTACACTGGGGACCCACACTCTGTTTTGGGTCATTGAGATAAAAGTGGTGAAGCCAGAAGTGATTGGAGATGAGACTGAGGACATGTGGTGGTCAGGTTAGGGAGGAAGTCTAGGGAACTTGAATTTTGTGTCCGTGGCCATGGGTGGCCATCAGAGGGTTGCCAGCCGACAGCAGTCCTGTGCCTGCGGCTGTTGGGACAATGGCTGTGAAGGAAATAGGACATGGGTACAATAGCTTTTGCACAGGCAGATAGGATTCTGGGAGAACATATTTCCAAATTAATTGCCTAATCTTACAATTAGACAAAAAAAATCAAAAGAAAGAAAAAAATAGCTTCCCATGCACAGTTGTTGGTTTTTGACAATTCTGTTCACTTAGCATATATATGGTCTTTTTCTTTATGAAGTGCATAAATACTTTTTTTTCTTTTTTTTTTTTAATTTTAGTGATGGAAAAAGGATCCTTGGCGCTGCTGTTGAAATCCAATCGTGTGATAATCTTCTGTAAGTTTTAAGTTATTGAATGTGAAAGATGTGATTGGTCCTTGGGAGAGAGGAAGCTCCTGTTACACTAACAAGAACCAACGTTGGAAGCGAATGACTCTGAGGCCGGAATTAATTAGTGCAGCTGTGATGATTAAGTGGGGGTGAGGTGAAGGTGGGGGGCTCGAAGTTAACACAGACACGCTTGCTCATTTGTCGCTGCCTCATGCCACGCGCCTGTAGATCTTCAGCCTTCTCCTCCAGTTGTCGTCTGAAGCCCAGTGCCTGCCGTTTTGTTTTCATGCTGACACTTTAAATCTTGCAGAAAAGAATCGCAGAGAATGATGCGATGGCTCGGAAGGCTGCGTTGGGTTTCATGCACTTTCAAATCGATAAACTGACCTAATATCCATGTTTATCCAAGTTAAAGTCTGGATTAAATTAGGGAAATCTGTTTTTCGAGCAGTACTCAAAGATGAGATCTTCGTTCACCATTATCTTTTACTTTATTTGATAGCAGACATGTCTAGAAACTTATTTACACAGAAGTACATGACACATGCCCTTTTAAAAGTGTGTTTGTATATTTATATTGTTCTGTTTCTGAGAGCAAAAGTATAACTTTTCTCTCTCTCTTTTTAAACTGGTCACATATCCTTGCCTTCCGTTTTAAGCAGGACCAGTTCCGTAGAACTGAATGCTAACTGTGTGAAAGAGAAAGTCTGTGGATGTTTACCACGTCCCTTTGCCTTCACCAGGATCGCAAATGGATACATGGACAGCAGCAGGGAGTCCTCTGCTGTGCTTTGATCAGAACTGTAAAATGTAGTGCTCTCAGACACAGAAAATCGATTCCTTTGTGCATTGAAAAGTAAAATGTTCATCCTTTATTTTAATTAGAAGGATTATATATAAATAGTACACGAGCACTTAAAAAGTTCCCTACGTCGATGTGTCCATGCAAAGGATCGAGCATGAGGCCATGGAAAACACTGGTTTAAATGTTCAAATATTGACATCACAGGGATAGTCCTAAGTGTTTTTCCAGCTACTCAAACATGTGCAGGACATTTACAGTTATTGGCAGGACAGCTAACCACCCCTGCTTTTAAAAGAACTAAATGTTATAATTTACTTAAGCACATAAGTGACTGCCGGAATCCAGATTTTCCTTTATTACCAGGATTCAACCCACACACGATTTGAGTTTCTTTCCAAGATATTCTACTTAAAAACAGTGGCACCAGAGCCACTTATTATTAATTCTAATTATTATTATTGTTATTTTTAGAACCTCAAGTCTGCAGAAGTCTAGCAGCCTGGGCAATCTGAAAAAGGAGTCATCAGACGGGGTTGGTTCTGTGTTTTTTCTGTCTGTTACCCTGAGGAGAAAATATTTAGGGATCTTCATCTCTTCCCACTTTGCAAGTAAAACTCTTCCGAAGAGCTTGTGGTTTCTCTGACGGAAAATTATTAGATACCACGGTTAAGAATAAGTATGATAGGAGGGATTGAAAGTACATAAAACCAAAAATAGAGACTTGAATAATAAAGCATTGTTGGAAATAAATGAAACTAAGATTTTAGAGCTAGGAGATATATATATTAATTTATGGAATTGTATGTGACAAATTATGAATATATAAGGGATTCCTATAACAATCTTAACTGTTATTGTTTTGAACAGGAAAAGGAGTCTATTCAGAAGCCTTCAGAGGTAATCTTTATGTCCAGGTTACAATGTAAACATGTTACAGACTTCTAACGCTTGTATGATTGCTTAAGTGCCTCTAGTCAGCAATAACTCTCAGAAACACGCTCAATGAAAGAAGCCAGACGCAAAAGATCGCATGATATGATTCCATTTATGTGACATATCCAGAAATTCATGGAGACAGCACGTGGATTGGTGGTTGCCAGGGGTGGAGGGGAGGGAACAGGGAGAAGCTGCTTAATGGTAAGGGGTTTTACCTGAGAGTGATGGAGGTGTTTGGGGACCAGATAGAGGTGTTGGTTGCACAACATTGTGAATGTACTAAATGCCACTGAATTGTTTCCTTTAGAATAGTTGTTTTCATGTTATATGAATTTCACCTCCATAAGTTATTGGAGAAACAAAAAGAAAATGCCAACTCTCAGTCACGCAGTTTAACGTTCTTAGTGATTGTAGGTGGGCTTACCTAGACCTCACAGAAAGCCCTTCTTAGATCACCAGCGATGTACTCTCTACAACCACTGTCCATCCACAGCAAACATTTTGCTATTTGAAAGACATTACCGAGCCCAGCCAGTGTGGCTCAGTGGTGGGGTGTCAACCCATGCACGAAGAGGTCACCGATTCGATTCCCGGTCAGGGCACATGCCCAGGTTGTGGGCCTGACCCCCAGTGGGGGGCATGCAGGAGGCGGCCAGTTGATGTTCTCTCTCGTCGATGTTTCTATCTCTCTCTCCCTCTCCTTTCCTCTCTCTTTAAAATCAATAAAGAAAAAAAGAAAGACATTGCCAAGATGGGCTCCGGTTCTTCTTTCCTCTGATTTTTGGTCATTAGTTTCATAAAGGTTACCATCTGGGAGACAGGCTGCTTCCAGATGCAGGCTCTTGACTGTTGGCTCTCAGCGCCCAGAGTCGTAATGTAGCCACAACTGATGAAGCACAGACCATGGACACGGCTGTAATTAAAGTCATCCTCTGTTCTTTGTGCCTTGCCAAGTCAACAGTTGAATAATTTTGACATCAGTGTTAAGACAGATATTAGTGCCATTAAATTGTGGCATCTGTAGACTTCTAGTTACTATGACAGTGGATATGTAGGATAAAAGAACCTACCACCTTAAAAGCTTTTATCTATCCCCTTGCTCTGTTCTATACCTATGAAAAAAAGAAAAAGAAAAAAAAAAACAGAGGGCAATAGATGTTAGAGGAATGAGAACATCCAAACAAAAGCATTGTTGTAGAATACTGCGGCAATATAAAAGACCATGTTACTAAAATTGCTGATTAAAAGAACCAGAAAGCTAAAAAATAAACAACATTGAAAAGCATAATTTAATCACAATTTAAGTTCTGAAATATGGTAGAAATCTGAAGTGGCTTCTGAATCAGCCAAGAAACGTTGAATTATAGTGAGTTTCATTTTTGTTAAGTGTATCTGACTGTATTGCGGTCTTTGAAAATTGTTGATCGAAATTTGGTAACTCCCAGGCAAGATGTGAATATATCCCAGAATCCAATTTCAAAAATACATTTTAAACAGTAGCTGCTTATGCCTTCATTTTATTATTAATACTTGGAAAAGAATATTTTAAATTATTGGAGTACAATCTCCTTATATTGCCTGTCTAGAAGCTTGGGAATAATGCCTACTTTATAGAATAATTATATTATGTTGTATTGGGCTTCAACTGATGCAGTTATAATGTAAAGAATGTGAACTGTATTTTAGCCAAGTCTGTGTCATAATTGTTGGAAAAGTAAGAAGTCTATCACTGTTCTAGTTTTTTATCTTCATGTCTTTTGGGGGAATGAGGCAAATAACATTTGAGAATTTCATATCTATCCTAATATTTAAGTCCCTAATATTTAAATACATGGATTATAGGTTAGTGACGAACATGCTTTTGTGGTGGTTTCTTAAGTAGCTTCCAGGTTCGACTTTTTAAACTTCTACTGTGGCACTTGATATTCACAGTCAATGTATTAGTTTAGTTATCCTTTTAAATAAAATCACGTATGTAACATATTCAGTATTGTGCCCGGCAGGTACTAATAATTATATGCATCAGTGTTGTTTCATTTGTTTTTACTTCTCTCTCAGGATAAATCTCCGGTAGAAAGCAGCCCATTTGGAAGCCTCCCTCCCAAAGCCCCAGGACACGATGCCTCCGTGGACGACAGCCCCTTTGGCACTCGGAAAGGCAGATCTTCCTTTGGCCGTGGCTTTTTTAAAATAAAAAGTAACAAGAGGACAGCAAGTGCACCCAACTTGGGTACGTCTGGCCGGAATGCCTTCGCCTGCATTCCACCAGAACAAGGAAGAGATCAATCTCTTCTCTTCCCTTATTCATCTATTTATACATTTCTCTTTCTCAGAAATGAAGGTGAATGGCTTAGAGAAAAAAATTGGCAAATATGCTTCCATGGATTTAATTCAGTGGTATGAAGTTAGTTCTGTGTAGACTCACCCTGCTCTCTGTTCTGGGGTGTAAACAGAAGAAAGACCTAAGACCATGATTCTCTTTGACTTCATTATAAACAGCTTCCCGTCTGTTTTTGAAGGTGGACACGTTAACCCCATGTCATCACTGCTGTGGGGTCGGCGTGTCACGCAGGAAGCACAGGGTGGTGCCTGCCTTCCCTCCGCCGTGTGTATGTTGGGAGAAGGAGTCTGATCTGTGTTTCATTTTGTCATTCCCCTGTGTTCTCTCCATTGGGCTGCGTGTGATTGTGTGCGTTGTTGGGATATCTGAAGATCGTAAACGAAGTGCCAGTGCACCCACCTTAGGTATCGTACCCCTGCATGCCAGCCTTGGCCAGCCCTGCACTCCAAACTGAGCTAATCCCTGCTCTTGGCATCTGTGATCACTAGAAAGCAAGCTGGCCGCAATGAAAAATGTAGTTCTCTACTCCAGAGTGTTCTTTCCACCTTCTGCTAAAAAGGACTCTCTAGAACCTTTGCTTCCAAGCAGAAATGCTGTTTTAAGCAATGCTCAGGACACCTGCGAGAGGCGTGGGCAGGGGACCCGGAGTCGTGCAGGGTCCCCGTGCAGCAGACAGTGTGTCCTGGGCCGTCAGCTCCGGCTTTCACCCCTAAAACACAGTTCCTCTCACACTAACCCCCAGGTCCTCGCAGTTCCTTCTCCGTGTTTCCATTTCCCCCAGCCTCCAAAAAGAAATGTTTTTAGCCAAATAGTTCTGTGGAAGACACTGAAAATGGTGTTTTCACACTTACTTCTCTTGGGGGAACGTTCTGACTTTTTATAGGTTTGACAATAGAGGTAACATATAGTGAGGACACAGGTAAATTTATGTGTTATTTGAGGAGTTGCCCCCAAAGTGATATTAGGAAGGGGAAGCTCCATTTTACTCTTTAAAGGGCAGAGTTCCAGGAGGGAAAAAATTCTAAACATAAAAATGAGATGTTTTTAAAATGAGGGTGGGGTAGGCAACGTTTCAGGGACTCCAATTCCCATCATGGTTGTAGGGTTTCTGTTACCTAGGATCATCTAAGGTGACTCCTCTCTCTCTGTAGCCTTAAATGTCTAGAATGAGCACTGGATGAATAAAATAAACTGATCCAGTCAGACAACTATTTTCAAATGTTTTGATACCTTTCTTAGAAGAAAGGTATTGTCAATGCCAAGAGGCAAGTGCTGCTTACTATAACCTATAACCACAGCTCTGCTTCCTAGAAAAGTCATCCTCTGCAACCTTTACAGCTTTCTAAGACACTGCTCCTGTGATTTTTGTATGACTTTTACTTTCCTCTATAAAAGTGTGAAATCTCACATTGAAGAAACAGTGGCCCTAGTGTTTGCTAGTGTGGGATCACCCGTTAAGAAACAGCTACAAGAACTAAAATAGTTAATGCCTGGAGATCTGGGAGTAGCAAATTTGGACATTATTTTTGTAAGGCAAAATCAACATACACTAATTTTATGTCAAAAGAAAAAATTATTCCCATTCAATTCATTCTCCCCTCAGTGCCTAGCATATACTAGGTTATAAACAGAAATAAAATTCTTAAATAATGAATTGCCAGAACTTGGTAACGGATTTGAAATAAATGCCAAAGGTAAAGAAGGAATGAAAAGAAAATGACAGAGATTGAACTGGAATGCAAGGAACAAAGGAATATTTGTGAAATATTAAATAAGGAAATTAAGAGAAGACTCAGGAAAATTTGCTGAGTCCAAGATGTCCCTGACACACCAAATTGGGACTATGTAGAGCATTCAGGTACTGAGGCTGGGGAGAAAGATGAGGCCCAGAGATTTTGATGCCAACTGCTTATCAATGAGAGAAGCCATCATTTAGTGTTGAGCATAAAGTGTGTGAGCTTGTCAAGAGATCCTGCAGAGGGAACTTAGAGCAGAGTCGTGGAGTGGAGTGAAGGAGGAAGAGAAACAGGGTGCTGTAGCAAAGAAGGAACTGTCAGATGACAGATCTGGGAGAGTGTCATGACAAGAAAGAAGCTAAAGGAGATGATGAGTTTGAAGGGCGTGGAAGATAGTCAGCAATACCAAATGGAATAGCAGGATTGAGAATACTTTCATTATGAGTTAAATCACTGAAGGAAAGAATATGGCAAGCCTGTCACACCTCTGAATCTCAAAGAGGTTGTAATTCTTAAGTTAATTGACTTTATACATAGCTGATATAGAGTAGAGTATACATTTGAGTTCCATTTTTAATATTTGCAGGGTGCCCTTTGTAAATCATTGGTTTATAGACCAACAGAAGAATTCTTACTAGTTGTTAAAGCCAAGAAAGTTAACATTTAGTCATATTCATTTTATATCTTAAGAGGAGGGACAAGGGCAACTCATTTATATATTAAAATTCATTGAGTTTGTATTCTCTTCTTGGAATAGCTGAAACAGAAAAGGAGACAACTGAGCACCTAGACCTGGCTGGTGTGTCTCCTCGGCCAAAAGATTCTCAGGGGAGCAGCCCCTTCCAGATGTCCCCATCATCTCCAGATCCCAAAAAGAAATCCCGAGGCATCATGAAACTCTTTGGAAAGTAAGTAACAGAATGAACAAGTGGAATGGGCTTTGTCTTACATGTTGTTCAAATGTAGGAAGAAATGGAAAATTGGCTGAAAATGAATATGAAATTGTAAAGCTTTTGTGTTCCTCTTCTGGAGGGAAGATTGTGATTTGGGATTCATTAACTCATTGGGTCAAAAAATTTAAATCCAAATGTCTATTCTAATGATATACAAAGAGGAGTAGCTTAAATGTATGCATCAATTACAAATGTTCTGATTAACTTTAAAGGCCAAGGTCTCCTCAGGTCAAATACAAGGCAATGTGTGTTGTATCTTCTCTTCAGACTTAGGAGAAGTCAGTCTACTACATTCAACCCAGATGACATGTCTGAAACTGAATTCAAAAGAGGAGGGACAAGGGCAACTGCTGGGCCCCGATTGGGTTGGTCTCGAGATTTGGGACAATCTAACAGGTAAGAACAGCCAAACCAATGGGCCTCATGAGCACCTGCAATGTTAGTATTGCCCATGGGTTACACAGTCAGATCCATTGCTTACTGCCATGCTCAGTGGAAGGGTCCGCCATCTTTAGAGGAATGTAACATGACAATGGTTGGTGAACAACTGTGCAGAAGATGTGGGCTGCGTGAGGAGCCACAGCTAAAGTATCCACAACATCTGTACTAGAATGACTATTGAACTTACATTTTCAAGGAAAATAATTATAAGTACTCTAAAGCATAGCCTTGCAAACATAGGATAATGTAGAGTTTAAGAGTAGGTTCCAGCCCCAGCAGGGTTTTCTCAGTAGTTAGAGCATTGGCCCACGGGCCAAAGAGTCACAGGTTGGATTCCCAGTCAAGGGCATGTACCTCGGTTGCTGGTTCAATCCTCAGCCTTGGTCAGGGTCATGCGGGAGGCAACCGATCAATGTCTCTCTCTCTCTCTCTCTCTCTCTCTCTCTCTCTCTCTCTCTCTCTCTCCCCCCCCCTCCCTTCTCTCCCTCTCTATCTGAAAATAAATGGAAAAATAACCTTGGGTGAGGATTTAAAAAAATAATAATAAGAGTAGGTTCTAGAGGCAGACTGCTTGGATCTGATTTTTGGCCTTCCCACTTCCTGTAAGCTGGGCAGCCTTGAGTCACGGCTTGCACACTCTGTGGCTCTGTTTCTCATAGCACCTACTAGTACCTATCCCAAAAAATGGTTGTGATGATTAAATGAGTTTATATGCTAAGTATCTGGCAAATAATAACTGTTTAATAAGGATTAGTGACTAATGGAGTCTGTGAAAGCACCTAGAGACACAAATTGCATGAGAAATCTTAAACTTATTAGGACTATGTAATATTTCCTTTATCACAGCTCTAAGAACGCTCCTGCACCTTTCTCACAGTTCAGGGCTGGTTTGGAGCCACTGTATTGACCTACTGAGCATAAAAAGGGTGGGGTTGGCAAACATATAGCACAAACCATTGATACTAAATCTTATGAAGGTGATAATGGGCTAGAGATTTTGTAAAACGTGGTCCCTCCCACTCGGGTGGAAGGCTGAGTTTCATCAACAAGGAAACACTCTTTAGCCTTCTTCAAATACTGAGCAGTCTCACTTGCCATATGTTCTCCTTGTACACAGTAGAGGACTTCCTTGTGCTGATTAAAAAAAAAGTCTTGTTTATCACCACATTTTTTTTTTTCAAACAGGAATACTATTTGAGTGTCAAAGTAAAAGAAAACAAAAATTTGCTTTGATTATACTTCTTATAATCAGTGATGACATATTTCCCTCTTCTTATTGATTACCTTCTGGAGAGAAACCATAATTCTGCTGATGTTATTTCAAGTTTGACTTGAGTTTCTTTTCATCTGACCTAGTGTTTCCTGTTTGTGAATTCAGTCTTCAAACAACATTGGTTGAAACTAGTACAATGACTTGACTTGTTGGTTTAGCTCAGTATTCTACAGAGCATGTTTTTGCTAAACCACGTTGACTCTTGTGGTTTCATTTGAAATGAAGACTGTGGTCTCACAGGGTCACTTTCAACTCCAGTGCCACGTCCTCTTCCAAATATGTACTGATAATTAAGCTTTGCATAGTCAAATGTGATTCACCAGGAAATTCCCACATCTATTGAATATACAGTTGTTTAACCTTGATGATAAGTCACCAGACTGGCTTTGAATTGTTTTTCATGCAATTGTTCATTTTCCTATAGTGACTTGGATATGCCATTTGCCAAATGGACCAAGGAGCAGGTTTGCAATTGGCTTGTGGAACAGGGCTTGGGGTCCTACCTGAATTCTGGCAAGCACTGGATTGCATCTGGCCAGACGCTCTTGCAGGCTTCTCAACAAGATCTAGAGAAGGTGAATGCTTCTCTGTTTTGTTTACATAATGAATTCTGAGAGAGAGATAGAGAATATGAATGTAGGATTGTTTTCTACACCTAAGAGGGGGATGGGGGAACCAGTAAGTGCTCTTGGAAAAGTCTGGGTTTCCTGCTTCATGCTTATTTTATAACATGGACTAAAAACAAAGGACCTGGTTATAATGATTCCTTATGGAATACTTAAGCCATTGGGCATTTTAATGAAAAATAATTACCCTGGCCGATTTTGCTCAATGGTTAGAGCATCAGCCTACGAGTTCAATTTCCAGTCAAGGGCATGTACCTGGTTTGCAGGTTTGATCCCTGGCCCTGGTCAGTGCCATTTGTGAGGCAACCAATTTATGTGTCTCCTCTCTCTGTCTCACTCTTCCTCCCTTACTCTCTTCCACTCGATCTAAAAAAATCAATGAAAAAATATCCTTGGGTGAGGACTAACTAATAATAATAGTAATAATAATAATTGCATGGCCATAATAATAAACCCTAAGCTTATGCTTCTCAAAATAATTTTGTAGTTTTATCATTAGCCCATCTCCCTAGTATAATAGATGCAATTCAACTTCACTTTGCAAAAGGCCAAAAAAAAAAAAAGGAGCCCATTTTATGTTCCATTATTTAACATTTCTTCCCGATTATTTTACACAAAGTAAGAGAATTCCTGTTATGCATCCACAGTTCCAGTCTTGCATAGGAAGGAGCCTACTCGTGCTGTCTCACACACCACTAACTAACTGCAGTGCTCTTGGCTTTCTGGGGCCTTTTGTTCGGCGACGTTTTACTAGCCCGAGTTAGGATTCTGACTTAATGTAATTGTTGGCTCTCTGATGCTCGCTTCATTTTGAAGGAATTCACATCCTTTGCCAGTGGCATCCGGCCCATATTGACAGAATGGTAAAGCCAGTGTTTCTGTTTGTTATTTCAGGAACTTGGAATCAAGCATTCACTTCATCGAAAGAAGCTCCAGCTGGCATTGCAGGCCCTGGGGTCCGAGGAAGAAACCAATCACGGAAAGCTGGATTTCAACTGGGTCACAAGTAAGAGATTTTTAAAGTCTTAAATTCATGAATAAGTGAGTAAGCAAATAAATAAATACTGCTTTTTTTTTTTTTTTCTCTTCTTTTTTCTTTTTAAGAACAGGTTTTCTGTGACATGTTAACGACACAGATTTCTCCCCTTTAGGATGGTTGGATGACATTGGTCTCCCCCAGTACAAGACCCAGTTTGATGAAGGACGGGTAGATGGTCGAATGCTCCATTACATGACCATTGTAAGCGATTCATTCCTGAGGTTTGGGGGTTTTCACAGCGATTCCACCGGCGTTTGAATGTGTTGCTTTAACTTGAGGAGAGGGCAGGAATATTTCCTGTTAAGTTGAAGTACGACTTGGTGGTTGCAACAGCCTTGGAAAGTTGGAAACCTAATTTAAATGAAACTGTCCAGAAGGTTGATTTTATTCATGTTCAACACTGTAGATATTGAAGTGCACACTTTGAATGGGTGAATTTTATGCGGAGTGAATTATATCTTATCATGATGTTTTAAAAATACAATGTGGAGTTTTGAATCCCTGGCAGTTTCTAAATTATATATTCCTGTGTGCGGTGACCGCTCAGGAAAGGCTACTCTGCTGAGCTGCAGTCCGCAGGGACTGGTCTTCTCCCTTACCTCTCAGCTTCTCACTTCTGCCCAGTTCTGCTAGTGCGGGAGTCAGCGGGGTAAAGAAGTAGGGAGAGGATTTTCACTCTGACTCCTTCATTAGGGTTCATGTGTGTAGCCTTTTGTCCCGTGGGGAGAAGGGCTTTCCAGCAGTGGAGAGAGATGGATTCCAGGAGCACGTGTTCTAGATGCCACAGTCCCATTGGGGTTCCACCTGACATGCTTTTATTAAATGTCGTGTGTGTGTGTGTGAGTGAGAGAGCTAGGCCATGGATTCAACCACCGCATCTCCTTAAATAAATTGGAAGTTCCAAACAGCTAACTTAAATGGGAATTTTTCAGAATTAAAGAAACTTGGAGATCAGCTCGTGGGATTTGTTTTCTTCTCTATCATTGAACCAAAGTCCTGTTCTTGGTGGGCACATCGCATAGTACTTACAGGTGGTATGTTGTGCATTTACTGTGTGCCAGGCACCTTGCTCGGATTAATACCCAAGTCAGTCTCGGCAGTCCTGAGTTAGCATTCTTCTTATCCTTAGCGTGTAGGTGAGGAAACGAAGGAATAGAGAGGTCAAGTAACTTTTTTTTTTTTTTTTTATCCTTTTTTATTTTTTTATTTTTTTCCACATCTTTATTGTTGGATGTAAAATGTATTACAGATGTTCCACATTTTCCCCCATTGACCCCCTCCTCCCCACTCCCGCCCCCCTCCCACCTTTTCCCAAACTATTGTCCGTGTCCATTGGTTATGCATATAAGTTCTTTGGTTTATTTCTTCCCACCCCCCCAACCCCTTTCCCTTTGAGGTTTGTCAGTCTAGCAATGAATTTGTGCTTCTTAATCCCTTCACCTTTTTCATCCATTCCCCCAACCCCTTTCCCAACTGGCAACCAACAAAATGTTCTCTGTATCTATGAGAATGTTCCTGTTCTTCCTGTTCATTTTGTCTGTAGATTCCATTGTTGATAGATATGTATTCATTGCCATTTTGTTTGTTCATACATTTTATCTTTTTCTTTAAAAAGACCCTTCATCATTTCATATAATAACGGTTTGGTAGTGATGAACTCCTTTAACTTTTTCTTGTCTGGGAAAGTTTTTATATGTCCTTCGATTCTAAATGACAGCTTTGCAGGATAGAGTAATCTTGGTTGTAGGTTCTTGGTTTTCATCACTCTGAATATTTCTTGCCACTCCCTTCTGGCCTGCAAAGTTTCTTTTGAGAAATCAGCTGACAGCCTAATGGGAACTCCCTTGTAGGTAACTAGCTGCCTTTCTCTTGCTGCTTTTAGGATTCTCTCTTTGTCTTGAACCTTTTGCATTTTGATGATGATGTGTCTTGGTGTGGGCCTCTTGGGGTTCATCTTGTTTGGGACTCTCTGTGCTTCCTGGACTTGTATGTCTGTTTCCTTCACCAAGTTAGGAAAGTTTTCTGCCATTATTGTTTCAAACAGGTTTTCGATTTCTTGTTCTCTCTCTTCTCCTTCGGGCACCCCCAAGATGCGAATGTTGGCACGCTTGAAGTTGTCCCAGAGGCTCCTTACACTATCCTCATTTTTTTGGATTCTTTTTTCTTTTTGCTGTTCTGGTTGGGCGTTTTTTGCTTCCTTATATTCCAAATCGATGGTTTGCTCCTTGGATTTACGTACTCTATTATTGAAGCTATGTAAATTATTCTTTATTTCAGTTAAAGCCTCCTTCGTTTCTAACTGTGCAGTGATCATTTCTGACTGGTACTTTTTTTTTTTTTTTTTTTTTTTTTTTTTTTTTTTTATCCTCACCCGAGGATATTTTTCCATTTTTTGTACAGATAGAGTGGGAGGGAGAGAGAGGAAGGGAGAGAGAGAGAGAAACATCGACGTGAAGGGACACATCGAGTGGCTGCCACCCACACGACCAACCAGGGCCGGGGACAAACTGCAACCGAAGTACGTGCCCTTAGCGGGAACCGAACCCGGGTCTCTCGGGACCACAGGCCGACGCTCTAACCGCTGAGCCAAACTGGCCAGGGCTCTGACTGGTACTTTTTTATGCTCTTGAGGCCCTCACTGAGTTCATTGAGCATCCTTATAAGCAGTATTTTGAACTCAGCATCTGTTAGGTTGCTTATCTCCATTTCGCTTAGTTCTTTTCTTGGGGTTTTGTTCTGTTCTTTCATTTGGGACCTGTTTCTTTGTCTCCTCATTTTGGCTGCCTCCCTGTGTTTGTTTCTGTGTATTACTTAATGAGAGGTATGGGGCTCGCTGAGACCCGATGCTGCTCGTTTGAAAGAATTTAGGAAAAACCTGAAGCAGGATCCAAGACAGGCCAATCCTATGGTTAAGCAAGTAGCAACAGCTTGGGTGGGCTTGAAAGTTGTGTGGGGCGGGGTGGGGCGGGGCCTCAGGGAGTCAGCAGGGCGGGGCTACCAGTGTGAGCCAGGTTGCTGGAGTCCCAGATATGGCGACTGTCTGCCGCCCCAGGGAAGGGCTCACCAAAGGAACAAAGGCCTCTGACAGCACGTTTGTCCCCGAGAAAGCCCCCTCTCCAGCCCTCGCTCCAGTGCCAAACAGCTCAGTTCTTCCCTGTATTTCTCTGGTGCCCCTCGAGCTGCCTCCCCTCCGAGCTTAGAGGGAGAGAGTCCGATAAGTCAGTGCGCGGGCCCTTTAGGGAGCTGCCTGTGGCTCCAGCCAGGTCAGCTTCCCTGAGCCTCAGTTTCTGCTGGTTTTTCCAGCCAGAAGTTATGGGGACTTCTCTTCCTGGCACTGGAAACCTGAGCGGGGCACCTGGTGTGGGACGGGGACCCCTCAGTCCTCAGGAAGGACCTTCCCAGCCGCGGGAGCCTCCTGATTTTTATCCGCCACACTTGGGTGTGGGACCAGCCCGTTGCACCACACCGCTGCGCCGCTGCCGCCACCCCTCGCGCTGCCGCCCCTCCTACCGGTCTGGATGTAGCTGCTTTTTTTTTTTTTTAATTACGTAGCTGTAGGACTTCCATTCAGCTTGATTTCAGGCGGTTTTGGATGATGGTTGTTCTGTAGTTTTGTTGTAACTTGGATGTGGTTGTGGGAGAACGCGATATTGCGTTTCCCTACGCCGCCATCTTGACCGGAAGTGAGAGGTCAAGTAACTTGACCAAGCTTCCACAGTGTTTGAACCTACGCTATTTCCAGATCCCTGCCCTTAGTAGTCCACAGCTCTGCCTGGGGCAAGTTCAGTCAATATTTGCCTGCCTATCTAGGTCTGAGTATGTTCCCCTGGGAATGTGAGCAGATGCAGGCTTAGAATCATAAAAAGCACACGTGTAACTTTTCATGGCTCTAAAAGAATAAGTTACCTTAGAAGATTTGACCCCAGAAGTTCTAAGTCATAAAAAATCAGTTTTCATGGGGTATCCTGGATTGGATTCTGGTGCAGAAAAGTAACCTTCATGGAAGAATCGTTGAAATCTGAATGAAGTCTGTAGTTTAGTTAATTTTATTATTATCTGTATTAATGTCTTGGTTTTAGTGACTGTAGCATAGTTATATATTAACACCGGGGGAAGCTTGGTGAAGGGCGTATGGAACTCTGTACTGTTATTGGTGACTCTTCTATGAACCTAAGAGGACTTAAAAATAAAAGATTTTTAAAAATCCAAAAAAGTGTTTTTGATGGAAAAAGAAAATGGCCCCTACTTTTAAAGTCCCTTAAGTTAAAATAATTAATACTTTACATTATAAACATTATGTATTTAGATTAAAAAAAAAAAAGATAGATTTCAAGTTGAAAACAGCCCACTTGGGAATGTTTTGAATGGGTACCTCAATCTTAGATTAAAATATGGTAAATGTCCTTTCTAATTCATCAGGCACTACCTTTACAAAATTAGTCCGGAAAAAAATTTAGGAAAGGATTTCTGCTCAGTTAGTAGCCTTTCAGGATAATGATTGCCTAATATCAAAAATATTTTTATAATAGATTAAATTTTTTTTTTTCCTCACAAGAAACGTGTTATCAGTAAGGTGTCCCTGCCATGGGTGTTTTCCTTGTTTATTTTCTGGGTGTGTTTGGAAGAAGACCAGTGCTTATCTTGACACTGCCCCCCAAGTCACCTTCTAAAGTAATTTGTTCTGGGGTGTGTGGAATGTTTGAAGTGTGCCCAATAACCACAGACTGGTGAAAGTTATTCCTTGGAGGAAATGATTGGTGATGTGTGCTGATATTTATAATTCCTTAATTTCTTTACACTCAACTCTCAACAAGATCTTTGCTTTGGTTGACATAGGCTTTCCAAAAATTTCCACCAAGTCTGCTAGATAAAGCATAAAAATCAGGAACTGGAGATTTCTTGAGGCTGTGGAGGAATGGTATAATGTGACCACACTCCTGGTTTTCCCCCAGACTGATGTGTCTCAGCTCAGAAAAGCAGCCTTGATCGGCAGTGAGCATCACTCGCAGGTCACTTTCTGCGTTGCTTTTCGGACTGTGTGTTTCAGGGCCTTGGGGGTCCCACGGTCCCGTCTTGGAATGTCTGGAAGAGAGAAATAGGTGGAAGTCAGTTTCAGTGGGAACAACAACAATTTTGGTTTTTGTGTATATTGGGGTCCTAGAGATATTGATTGGAACAAAAAAAGGGTCCTGTATTTAATAGACTTTGAACACAGGGACAGCCCCTTGGGGTCTGTGGCGGAGCTCTTCCACTTCCATGTGCGTTTTCTGAGACGTCCCGAGGAGGTCGTCCTGCCCAGCGAGCCCCGTGCCTTGTTCTTTTCTGCAGGATGACTTGCTGTCTTTGAAGGTTGTGAGTGTGCTGCATCATCTCAGTATCAAAAGGGCCATCCAGGTCCTGAGGATCAACAACTTCGAACCCAACTGTCTACGGAGGCGGCCTTCGGACGAGGTAGCATCTGAGTGGAGGGTTACGCAGCATGCACTTTCCATGCGTGTGACTGTCCGTGTGTGCAAAACTAAGACCCATTACTTCTTGGAGGCTGCGGGGAGGGCTGCTGGCTTCCTCAGAGCCTCCCGTCCAGCCTCACTCACTTCTTAGGTTCTGTCTTCTTGTATTCCTTCCATTCCTCCCATGACAGTTCTGCCCGCGTCCCAGAAGCTAAGGATTGTTTTCATTTCCCTTCCTCCTTTCCTCGCATGTATTTTATGTCCCTGCCTCTTAAACTAGAGAGTTAAGACTTCCTTTCCTAAAGCACTGCTCTAATAGTATGTAAAAAAAACCCGAAACTTTGTGACAATTTTTTTCAAAGAGAATTCTAATTAGCAAATACTTTTTAAAACCCTTTCTCTAAGTGTTCTCTAAATGTCAAATAACTCTGTTCTGGGGGGCAGGCTTTTAGACAGAACATACAGGAGTGGTACTTGGAATCCCATAGTCAGTGACAGCCCGTTGGTGGTTCTCTGTTCCTGTAGAACAGCGTCACCCCGTCTGAGGTGCAGCAGTGGACCAATCACCGAGTGATGGAGTGGCTGCGCTCCGTGGACTTGGCGGAATACGCCCCCAATCTCAGGGGCAGTGGTGTCCATGGTGGGCTCATGGTAAAACTATTTTAATTTCAACTTGACTTCTTATCGTTTTGTCTCCTGTAGTCTAATGAGTAGGAGAGTATCCGTTTACTTTTTCTAATTCTAACATTGTCTAACCCAACCCTCCTGCACTATTTCTAGTGAATGTTTACTTTCAGCGTGTTTTTTTTCTTTTCTTACTTCTTACCATCCTATAACTCTAGACCAGATTTCAACCCATCTCTTTCATTGTCCTCTTTTATGTTGGATAACATCTGGCTGCTGGCTCTCATGTGATCGTGTTTTAAAACCTCTTCAAAGATACAGATCATATTTCTGCGCACAGATGTTGCAAAGAAGTTGGCTTCCAAAGGCACCACAAATGTCACCCTGGCTGGAGATGCTCCGTTGGTTATAGTATAGTCCCAATATGCCAAGGTTGTGGGTTCAATCCCCGACCAGGGCACCTACAAGAATCAAACAATAAGTGGAACAAGTCAATATTTCTCTCAAATCAATTTTTTAAAAAACCAAAAAAGAAAAAAATATATTCAAAGCCATCCCAAATGCAGTACTTCAGAGAGGTAGAAGCTCTGACTTAGTAATGCCTGGATGTCAGGACCAGCTCTACCTCTCACTAGTTTAGGCAAAATAAAGATACGTAAATTAAAGATTAAAGTCCATACTTTGTGTATCTCACTGGGAGCGTCACTGGAGATAGCTAAATGAAAGAGCTTTGCAAATTATAAAGCACAATGCAGCACGTGTGATACATGGTACCTTACACAATATTTTTCTTATAGGTTCTAGAACCTCGGTTTAATGTAGAAACCATGGCTCAGCTACTGAACATCCCACCAAGTAAGACCCTGTTGCGAAGACATTTGGCCACTCACTTCAACCTTCTGATTGGTGCTGAGGCCCAACGCCAGAAGCGCGACGCCATGGAGTTACCGGATTACGTACTCCTAACAGCCACTGCCAAAGTGAAGGTCAGTTCAGGCTCGTATCATTTAATAATCGGTTACACCAAACACTAAAGCAAAGGCTCAGGTGTGTTACCTGGCTATCTCATTTTCTGGAATGTACTAAGTTTTGTGGATGGATTGAAGGTATATGCATCTTTAAGAGTAATCAGTAAAATGTAATTTTGAAGGTTTCCTTCTGGGGGAGTTTTTGCTGAAATCATGTATTTTATTAGAGTTAATAATAATAAAGAACATGATGTTGGCTTCTATAATTGACACATTGCCAAGGCAGAGAGCCCATGACTTTGGCCCAGATATTGACTATAGTTATCCTATTTTTGCTGCAGATAAATCAAGCAATAAGAGTTGCATTTCTCCTCAAGCAGATTTAGCTTGTCTGGCCTGTAATTGACCAACCCTACAAGTTAGGCAAAGGTAGACCAGCAGAGAATGGATATTCCTAGTTTGCCTGGATTCATAGATCATACGAAGTTCAGACTGCTTTTTCTTCTTTTCAGTCATTCCTGTGCTAACTCTTCTGAGTTTTATCTCAACCAACTTAATGTGGAGATAGGGTTGATTGGCTCCTTCACAAATCTGTATCAGGTTCTTTTCTGTTTTTTAACCTTCTCTACCTACTTGACACTTTCTCTTCAGCTCCCTTTCTCCCTTAAAAGATGTGCCGGATTTGAAACCTCTGAGAGATTATGTTCTATATAAATTCTCAGCATCAGCCAATCACTATCTTCTTAACGGGCTCAGTGGCTGCCCAGTGACTGAGATGGAGTTTCTCTTCTAAGTATCACTGGGTTTTTTTTCCTCCAAAAGAGCGGGGACCAGCCTGCTATGGAAGCATAACAGGCATAGAAGAGAATCACAGCCTCAGCCAAAAGGGAAATACAGTAAGGGCCATTTTCTTTTGCTGATTTTAGATTGGAAAACCTTACAAAATTGGATTTAGCACTGAGAAATCTCATTGCATTAAGTCCTGTTTAAACAAAATTAAGGCTCTTGGCATATTTTACTTTTATCACTGGGACTACCCAGCTAGTTGGTGTGAATAAGGGGAACAAGCATAATTTTCTGAGATTCTTCACAGGGATCATTGATCATGTTTGGATGCATCAATCATATGCCTAGGATGCCTTTGTTTTTGTTATACAAAGTTAATTATTCAATAGGTTTTCTCTATATGATGAAATGAATAATTAAACTCCTAGATTTTTTTTCTTTCCTCTTAAAGCCAAAGAAACTTGCCTTCAGCAATTTTGGGAATCTGAGAAAGAAGAAACAGGAAGATGGGGAAGAATATGTTTGTCCAATGGAATTGGGGCAGGCATCAGGAAGTATATCTAAGAAAGGACTTAAACCTGGTTTGGACATGCGCCTGTATGATGAAGATGATTTGGACCGGTTAGAGCAGGTAAATGCAACATCGTATACCTATTTTTAAGTTCTTCCAGCATTGGAACACTAAATGGAAACTTTTTGTGCTGTGTCTACTAAGCAAGGACGTTTTCTTCCAGTGCCCAAAGAGAAAGATAATAATAAAATAATGGTGAACATTTACAGATTGCTTACTATATCCCAGGCATTATCCTAAGCACTAAACATATATTAATGTTCATGGTAACCCTAAAACATAGAGAGTATCTTATCCTAATTTTAGAAGAAAGCGGAGGCACAGAGATTAAGTAACTTACCTAAGATAGAAGAACTGGGATTCCAGTTGCCAGGCTGGCTCCAAACCCTGGCCTTCCCTGTGTTAAACTATCTCTGTATTAAGGAAATCTAAGTACTAAAACACGTCGGGAGTGGACAGTTCGTACCACTCAGCCTTTTCAATATGAAGTCATGGGACCGAAAATTGCCCTTTAATTAGTACTCCTTCGGTGACTTTGTCAGCATCAGAGCATTTAGTCTAGATGTGCCGGTGAAGTGTTTCTTCTGAATTTTCCCGTCTGACTGCAGCAGTGCCAGGAGGACCATCAGAAGTGTGCGTTGCTCCCGTCCCACTCAGCTCAGCTTGCATGATTCTTCTTAGATGTTGGTTCATTTTGCCGCACTTTCCTTGAAATTGTGCCCATGACTTTGTCACGTTGTGGTGTGCTTTTTGCAGATGGAAGACTCAGAAGGGACAGTGAGGCAGATAGGTGCATTCTCTGAAGGCATCAACAACCTAACAGTAAGTTTGTAAAATGAATTTCAAATCTTATTCTAAAACTGTGCTTGAAGATAACCCCCAGGGTCTGCAGGTGTAGTGGAGAAGTTGTAGTTCTGAACTCTGGGCCCACAGTGAGTGCGACTCTCATCTCCTTGTCTTGCAGCACATGTTAAAGGAAGATGACATGTTCAAAGACTTTGCTGCCCGGTCCCCCAGCGCCAGCATCACTGATGAAGACTCGAACGTGTGACCGTAGCGCCTGGACAAGCATGAGGAGCCCTTGATCTCTTTCCACTTTATTCCTTAAACACTGACAGTCTATCCAACCAGCAGCAGATTGCATTTTGTTTATTGATCCAACTTCTGCTTATTTAGAAGTGGAAACGGGAAGCAGGGGATACGTGCCTATTTCGAAGCTGCCACGGAAAGTGAGACACTGGTGAACGAGAGTATAATTGTTTCTCCTCTATTTAATGTAAAAATCTGTGAAATATTATATTTAAAATGTTGCATTTACTACGAGAGTACTTTACCATAGTGTTTCCGTCCCATTCACAGTGTGGAGGACTTGGGAGAGCGGTGACCCCCAGGGCTGATTCTGTCGGGCCGGTGTAGCCAACGGGGCAGAACGCGACATGCTTTTCAAATCCGCACGTGGCGTTTCTTTAAGTGTTCGGTGTGCCCACCGCATGCCAGCCACGCCTCCACTCGCCTCTGAGTGTCCTATTTTTATATATTTTTCTAAATATATGTATATATTTAGTACATAGAACTTTTATTTTGTGACATACGTAAGGAAGATGGTTTAAAAAAAGATCACATTGAAAAAAATATAGTGATCAAAATTTTCATATACCAGCTGGTTCTTGGACAGGTCAGGGTGATCTTTCTTTCTCCATAACCAAGTGTTAATGATGTTGATCATTCGGACTACATTAGTGTATATGAAATAACTCTTTTTTGATGACACATCGCGAAATTGATGGTTAGTTTTTTTTTTAAAGAATTTCAGCCTTAATCTTGGATTCTTTTAAGTTAAAAGGAAGAACTCGAGGGACATTTAAATTCTATTAACTTGAAAACATTCAGAAGCTCCACCAAAATTTGTAGAAATAATTTCTGAAGAAACCAAAACAAAACAAAAACCTTCACAGTATTAAGCTTTGTATTGTCTTCTTTACTAAATATATCATTACATCAAAATATTAACAGTCTGACTAATGTTATTAATCATACATTTCTCAGGCTATCCATGAATGCAATCTTTTTAAAAAACTGAATATTTGTGTGAACATTTTGTCTCAGTCAGAGTCCAATAACTCTGAGGCTGGAAAATTAGTTTTATAATGGCTATATTGTGATGATAAAATGTTGTTCATGTTTTTCCATAGCACAGGGCCCAAATATTCTTTATAAAGAAAATCCAAAGCTGCAACAAAAATGGTTACTCTTTTTATTCTTCTTCTTAGGGGTATTAGAAATAATATTCTGTTTTTTATTCAGTGCCACATCACTACCATGACAGCCAACTGTGGTAAAGACAGGTTCTCACAAATTGGCATAGGGATGGGCAGTTCGTAGATACCAGTGGACTTACTTACAAACTATATTTGAATGTCAGTGATATGATCTCTCAAGTTACCAGCAAGTTCCCAAGCTTTTCATCGAGGAACCTATATTACTACATTACTATTTATTCACAACTAAAATGATTTGATGCTAACAATAATCTTTTGCTGCTTACCATTCATTATTTGGTAACTGTACTGGATTCTTAATGTACTTGTGTTTTATTTTAATGTGGATATATATGTCACCATTTGGAAAACAAATCTGTTATTCAAACCTGGTTAAAAACACCAGGAGACTGTTATAGATGCCAAACACTCTTTATTCGGGACATTGTAACATAACTGACAATATGTGTTGAGGTTAAAACTTGTTTGAGAACATATATTTTATTTACAGAAATATTATACACTGCTGGCATCACATATGAAAAGAAATAAAGTCAGCTGATAACTGCCTCCTATTTTTATTGTCTGTTACTTTATTTTCCTTTGTTCAGAATAATCAGTAGGCTTTATTTCTGATTCAGAGAACAATAACAAACTCTTTACAGTTCATAAACTCCCCTGACACTTTTTGGGTGGGGTTTATGGCATGTAGGAACAGGCAGGAATAGGAGCCCTTTGCCTGAGGACCTTCTGTGTGGAAGAAAGCACAGGCAGCTGAGCTGGGGGACGGGGAAACGAAGGGAAATGAGTCGCCTGCAGACTGGAATAGTTAGTTGTAGAAAGTGTATGGTTCTTTAAAGAATTAAATGCTGTGTTTTATTTTTAATTTAACTGAAATTTGAAAAGGTGAAGCATATCTTGGAAAAGATGACCAAACATGAAAAGTAGAGTCAACATAGCTGGAGAAGAACAGATGCTCTTTGCGAAAGTTAATACCTCTCCCTTGATAAACCAGCAGGAATCTACAGGAATATAACACACCCAGTTGGCAAACAGGGAGCCCTATTTGTTTAGCTGTATGTATATATGCTTAGTTATACCAACTAAGCTACAGAGTCAGAAAACTGAGACCAGATTAAGAGATGTGACTTCACTGCGAGACTTGGACTCCGAAAAAGAAGTCATTCTGCACGAGGGTCACATGTTTGATACTTGGAAGCGGTATTGATTGGGTGCAGAGAAAATGGGGCAAAAACCATCGCAGTTGGCTCCGAAGGACAGCAGAGAGATTCTCAGCGTCGGTGAGGTGGTCAGTGGAGCTATAGTGCATGCGGCTCAGAAACTGAAGGAGTACCTTGGATTTGAAGACCCTCTGAGCAATCTATGCCCAGCTGCAAACACGCTGAATGAGATCTTCTTAATCCACTTCATCACTTTCTGCCAAGAAAAGGGAGTTGATGGGTGGCTCACCACCACCAAGATGACCAAGCACCAAGCGTTACTGTTTGGGGCGGATTGGATTTGGACCTTCTGGGGATCCGATAAGCAAATAAGGCTCCAGCTGGCAGTACAGACTCTGCGGATGTCTTCTCTTCCTCCTGTGGAATCTAAGCCTTGTGAGCTCTCTAATTCAGAGTCCAGGGCAGAGGGGTCTTCCAGGAAAAGCAGATTTGCTAAGCTGGAAGAATTCTGTAACTTGATAGGAGAGGATTGTCTGGGCCTGTTTATCATCTTTGGTGTGCCAGGAAAGCCTGAAGACATCAGAGGAGTTGTCCTGGACAGTGTCAAAAGTCTGCCCGCAGAGAAGGCTGTGGCACAGTTTGTCCTGGAAACTGAAGATTGTGTCCCCATCAGAGAGCTGCTTGGAAACTGTCTGAGTAAGAAAGGCGGGCTGAGAGAGGTGGGCAACGTTTATATTAGCATCCTCTGAACTGGATTTGTGTGATGAGACTGGCCTGTAAGATGAAAAAGATATTTTATTCTAATAAGCAAGCTCATCCACTTGCATCACCTAAGCATGGGATTCCACCCCTCCACCCTCTACCCCACCCCCAGTGAATGAAAATGATCAACTGGGTCAAACGTATTAGTGCAATGATTAAGGAGAGAGAAAAACCCTGCCCATTTTATAAGGAAAAGTGACACATTAGCTTACCTTTTCATTTATTTACTCAACAATAAAAATGGGAGGAGAGGATAATAAAGTCACCCCAAAGTCCGATTTGCAAAAAACAACCACAGAAATGTCTTTGTTTGGAATAATAAGTCTAGCTCTTGAAAGTGTAAAATGTGTTTTTGCTGCAGTGGGTGGGAGGTGGGTAGGGTGAGGTGGTGCGTAACACTTAGAACAGGTGTAATTAATGTACAATACCAGTTTCAATCCAGGACTGCTAAGCAAACCTCACACCGCTTTCTTTGATTCCTGCCCTTCCACGTCACCCCAAACTGCTTTCTCTGTGCAGTTTTTTTTTTTTTATTTTAATCAGAATGTTTTATGTTCTTTTTAAACACACACACACACACACACACACACACACACGTGTCTAAAGCAAAAGCTGTATCAGGATCCAGCTGGGGCACAGGTCTGACTCCTCACTGGAGCATCTCATCAGCCTCCCATCAGTGGTCTACAACAGGCGTATTGCACCTGGTCTGGTGATGTCCTCGCAGGGGGGGTGGGGGAGGCATGTTGGCAAAGACAGCGAAGTCGGCCTCTCCAGGGGTCCAGGTTGATCACGTTGGGATATGTGGCATCAGCATGGCAGGAAAGCTCCAAGCCCCATGCCTCAGTTGTTTCTTAGAGTCTCTTGTGTCTCTGTTTCTTCAGGGTCATGGACAGAGACCCACTAGGAGCAAGATGAGGGCCAGTGCACCAGTGCGGCCAGAGACAGCTGTGCCGAGGCTGCTAAGTCCTTCAGGTGTGGTCTCTGGCTTCAGGGTGCGATGTTCTCTGAGCAGAGCCGTGCTGTGGGCTTGTCCAGGAATGCGTCGCTCGCTCTGGAGTGCTGAACCCCTGTTGGGATTCACTCTGGGATCTGCTTGAGTGTCAGCTTTACCTATGATTTAAACAGTAACCCATATAACAATCAGTAGTAGTGATGTTTAACATTCGTATAGCCTTTGCAGTAAGGATAGTGTATTCATATATAAAAACCATCACTGCTTACAATCCTGGGTGGGATTAGAACAGTAGTGTTGGGGAGGAAAATAATCCCCCCCCCCTTATTCCCCTAGAAGGTAGAAGCACAAAGTGCTTAGAAGTGTAAATGGAAGATAGATTCATTCCCACATGATTGCTAAATGCTCATTACAAGGCAGGCCTTGTTCTGTGCCCTGACAATCAAGCTGTGAAAAGAACCATGTCTCTATTTTGGGGGAGTTTCCCCTCTTAATGGTGGAAGGCAGAAAAAAATATATATATATGTACATATATTTTAAATGCATATTTAAGAAACATAACAGGGGTGCTGCAAAGAAAAATAAAGCACGGGTAAGGGGATAGAGAGAGAAGGGGCCCTCAATGAGGAGGGGACAATTAACCAGAAATCTGGATTGAATTAAGAGAGAGCGTCAGTGCAGATATCTGGCAGTGTTCCAGGCACAGGGAACTGCAAATGCAAAGGGCCTGAAAAGGAAGAGTGCTTGATATGTGTGAGGAGGAGGAGGAGGCGGCGGCAGAGGAGACTGGTGTGGATGGAGCAAAGTGAGCCAGGGGAAGAGAACCAGGAGGTGAGGTTGGAGAAGTGACCTGCAAACGCATCAAGGAGATCAGACTTGTAAGACTCTGCATTTTGTTCTGAGTGATATGGGGAGACAAATACCTTGGTCTGCCTGGCCCTTTAAGACCTCACGTGATTGCTGGGTGGAGAAGAGACTGTAGGGAGGAAGAGTAGAAGCAGAGCCCATGGGGACAGGTGGAAAGCTATTAAAGGAAACCAGGTGAGAAAAGGGTGGCCTGGAACAAGGTGGTAGAGGAGGAGGGGGAAAGAGGTCAGATTTAAGAATAGTTGAAAGTAAAAGCATACAGCACTTGCTAATGATTGGATAAGGGGTATGAAATATGTCACAATTAGAATGTTGTATTTCCAGACTTCTTAAACGTTATCAATATATGCAAAGGCAGAACTAAATTTGACTTGGACATTTCTTCATTCCAGGAAACCAAAAAATCAAGGGAAGCATAAGTCCTTTGCCTTTAGTAAGTGAACATGAATAGGCCCCAGGAGACATCTCTTGAAGTTGTTAAACAAGTATTCCTACTTTGTTCCTGAAAGGTTGTAAGATCCAATTCATGTTGTTTTTTTTTTGGCATATAGTGACCCCTGTCTGCAGCAATGCTGTGTAGAGTAAGCTATCAAGAAGTTGGTATCAGAAGTGGGTGTGAGTCTCAGCTCTCTTAAGAGCAAAGTCTACTGCTTAACTCTTTGATTTTTTTTTTTACCTGTAAAATGGGAATGACTTCAACTAATTCAAAGAAGACAATGCTTGTGACATTTTCTATACTATAGTGTAAACTTCCCAAGATTTTGATGTCTAGCATAAATTATAAGTATTCATGTTATAAACAGCTGGATGATATAAACCAAAGACTCACCATATTTTTTAAATTAAAAATGTGAAGCTTTTGCCCTGGTCAGTTTGGCTCAGTGGTTAGAGCATCGGCCTGCGGTCCGGAGAGACCCGGGTTCGGTTCCCGCTAAGGGCATGTGCCTCGGTTGCAGTTTGTCCCCGACCCTGGTTGGGTTGTGTGGGTGGCAGCCACTCGATGTGTCTCTTTCACGTCGATGTTTCTCTCTCTCTCTGTTCCTCTCTCTCCCTCCCACTCTACCTGAACAAAGAATGGAAAAATGTCCTCGGGTGAGGATGATAAAAAAAAAAAAAATGTGAAGCTTTTGCTGACTTAAAAAAATACTGTATTCTCTTATTTAAAAATCTGCATTCTGGTGTAAAAATTAAAGTACAGAAATGTGGAAAGTTAAGTCTTCAGGAGTCTCACCTCCACCCCCTCTAGTGTGCTGTTTATCCTTCTAGAACCTATCCTGCATATTAAAAATGTTTTATACAAATGGAATCATATGATCCCAAATGCCTTTTAACATTAAAAACTTAACTATATATTGTGGAGAATTTTCAACACAAATAAATTTATATCCACTAGGTTCTTTTTAAGGCTGACATCAATGGTTCTCAGTCCAGTCTGCATATTAGATTTACTTGGGGAAATTAGAACAAAAACAGAAACAATAAAATACCAATGCTCTAAACACATCTAGACCAATTGATCAGCATCTCAGAAGGAGGGGCCCCAAACAATTACTTTAGTATCTTCTGAGGTAATTCTAATGTTCAAATAGGATTAAGACCTATATGTCTAAGTAGTACTCTATATTGTATACACCATAATATATTTAAACAATACTGTTTTGATGGATATTTAGGTTGCAAAGTCCATCCACATACCTGGATATTTGCATATTGCTTACTTACCATGCTTGTGAATAGACACACTCTACTCATTTTCTTTTCTTTTTAAAAAAATCCTTACCCAAGGATATTTTTCCATTGATTTTCAGATAGAGTGGGGATAGGGGAAGAGAGAGAGGAACATCGGCATGAGAGAGACACATCGATTGGCTGCCTCTCACATAACCCCAATGAGGGCCGGGATTGAACCACAACCAAGGCAGGTGCCCTTGACTGGAATCGAACCCGCAACTCAGTCAGAAGGCCGACACACCAACCACTGAGCCAAACCGGCCAGGGCTCACTTACTTTTTATAAAGAAGTTTGTTTTGATTAAATAGCTCTGACAGAAAGTCATTGGATTAATCTAGGTTTTAAGTATAATAAAAACCCATTGTAAAGAAATCTTAATATTTAAAATTGTTCCCCAGAAGGATTGGCTCCATAATTAGGATCCCTTATACAAAACAAAAATGTGGGGGTCCTTGTTCAAAAACGTAAAAATTTCGCCCTGGCCAGTTTGGCTCAGCGGTTAGTGCGTCCGCCTGCGGTCCGGAGAGACCCGGGTTCGGTTCCCGCTAAGGGCACGTACCTCGGTTGCAGTTTGTCCCCCGCCCTGGTTGGTCGTGCGGGTGGCAGCCACTCGATGTGTCCCTTTCACATCGATGTTTCCCTCTCTCTCTTCCTCTCTCTCCTTCCCACTCTATCTGTACAAAGGATGGAAAAATGTCCTCGGGTGAGGGAAAAAAACAAAACAAAACAAAAACGTAAAAATTTCAAGATGACAGCAGAGCATTCAGCCAAGCATAGGGCTCTTCTACGTGCAAGTCACATGCCCATGAAACCAGTTTTATTTCTACAATGTTGGGTTGTTTGGTCATGAAGGCTGAAAAAAAGATTTTTATCATGAGTAAGTGATTGCACATGAAGATTTTTTTCCAACTGAAAAATTATGTAATTCTTAGTAATGTCTTTGTATACAATAGTACATGCCTTATTCTTTTTTGTTTGTTTGTTTTTAATCCTCACCCAAAGATATTTTTCCATTTATTATTTTCAGACAGAATGGGAGGGGGAGAGAGAGAGAGAAACATCAACATGAGAGAGACACATCGACTGGTTGCCTCCCACAGGACCCTGACTGGGCAAGGGACCAAACCGTAACTGAGGTACATGCCCTTGACTAGAATCAAACCCATAACTCTTTGGTCCACAGGCCTAGTCCAACCGCTGAGCCAAACCGGCCAGGACATACATGTATTACCCTTTATTTATTTTTTTATTTTAGTTTATTTTTAATCCTCACCTGAGGATATTTTTCTATTTATCTTCAGATAGAGTGGGAGGGAGAGAGAGAGAAACATCGACGTGAGAGGGACACATGGACTATTTGCCTCCCACATGACCCCGACCAGGGCCGGGGACAACCGTAACCAAGATATGTACCCTTGACCAGAATTGAACCCACAACTCGCTGGTTCACGGGCCAAAGCTCTACTACTGAGCCAAACCGGCAAGGGCATGTCTTATCCTTTACACTGCGTGAACCAGGTATTGTTAATATAGAATGAACCTTATTGTACATGATACCTAGGAAAACTCTAATCATATCTATCTACTTTTTTCTTAGGGAAAGAGTAAAACAAAAGACAGAAAGCATGGGAAGGTAGACTGAGAACCTAAGTCTTTTTTTTTTTTTTTTTAATCCTCACCGGAGGACATTTTTCCATTTTTTGTTCAGATAGAGTGGGAGGGAGAGAGAGAGAGAGAGAGAAACATCGACGTGAAAGGGACACATCGAGTGGCTGCCACCCGCACAACCCAACCAGGGCCGGGGACAAACTGCAACCGAGGTACGTGCCCTTAGCGGGAACCGAACCCAGGTCTCTCCAGACCGCAGGCCAACGCTCCAACCGCTGAGCCAAACCGGCCAGGGCTGAGGACCTAAGTCTTTTAACATCTTACTCAGAAATTGAGAATTCTCTGAATATAAACTAATTCTATAAGGATTCATATCTCTTTTGTCCCTAAATTTCCACGGTATAGGTCTTGCATTTTATTGTATTAAAATATAAAAGTTCGAGAGAGAGAAAGTGGCTACTGTACTGACTCTGAGCTTATTTCCAATGACCACCATTTACATCACGCCTTCCAAAATATAACAATCACAGTGGTCCTGCGGGAGATGTCATTGTTCCTATTTACCTTGAAATTGAAGCTCAGGGTTATTAGGTGGACTTGCCCAAGATCACAATAAAGCAGAGCCTGGATTCAAACTCCATGTTCATGTGACTAAAAGGTCATGCTTTTACTCTTAAAAATAGAGAAGAGGGAAAAACACCATGTGAATATAGAGGCAGAGATTGGAGTGATGTGTCTACAAGCCAAGGAATGCCATGGACTGCCAACAACCATCAGAAGCTAAGAGAGGGGCATAAACAGATTCTCTCTATGAATCTCCGAAGAAACCACCAACCCTGCCAACACCTGGATTTTGAAGTTCTAGCCTCTAGAACTAAGAGAAAATAAACTTCTGTTGTTTTAAGTCACCCAGTTTGTGGTACTTTGTTACAGTAGCTCTAGAAAACGAATACATCTAATATACCATACTTCTGCTTTGGAACAATAATGGAATCATTGAGATTATTACAAATACTTGTCTCTATCATGCTATTTATTCCTCTCACATACTGATGGATGCCCCTAGTGCATAGAATGCTCACAGGTAGAATACTGTGGGACACTTGCATAGTTCTGCTCTACCAGTTGTATGCTTACCAAGAGTCAGTTGAGTTTGTGCCCAGTTCTTGTTATTATAACTTTGTACTTTGATTAAATATTATACACACTGGTTGAAAAAATAAAAGATAATTTTAAGGGTTGTATGTTCATCCATCCTAGGGTAAAATATGAAGAGAACTCATTCAAGAATGTCCATTATATTCTAAGTCTTGATGAGTGTTGACTTTTTGTAACTCTAACCTATCTACAAACAAGCAAACGAAATCATTGAAAACAGTCGCATTCTACGTGCACAGGATACTCACTGTACACGAATACTGTACCCAGATGTTTGTCTATATTAACTGGAGTAGGCTCACGCAGCCCAGAAATGGTGAAACCAAGTTTAAAACTCAAGTATCCTTTTAACTACCAAGGGATACTGCCTCTCCCCTTCGAGTGTGTCACTTGCACTAGCTTAATACTTTCTTCAATCCAAGAAAGTACACAAAAGCAATTGCAAAGGAGCAGACCTAGGACATAGGAGGTCCCACCCAGCCCACACCTGCCCTCTGATCAGTATGATCATTATTTGCAATTGTCTTTGGGATGACTGCTTCGATTTTTTATTTTTTAAATCGCTTTGTTTCTTTTTCATTATCTTCTTTTCTGACTCTGTCCCGGATTCCCCAGGCCCACGTGTATCCGGCCTCTACACCCTAGGGGCGGGGCTCGGCGGGCGAGCGTGCGCAGTGGCGGCCTCAGACCCGCCCCCGAGCCGCGGGGTCGCGCTGGTCCTGCGACCGGCAGTGTCCGCAGCCATGGCGGCTGCCTGGCTCCCCGCGCGGCGGGCCCTGCAGCCTGGAGCCAGGACCCTGCGTGCCTTCGCCACCGCCGTGTCTCCGACCACTGTGGCCCGGAAACCGAGCCCGCGTGAGTGTCTGCCGCGTCGCCCCCGGGCTGTGGGGGAGGTGAGAGCGGAGTCTCGGGCCCGTGATGGCGCCGAGGGGAGGCCGCTCCCGGGGAGGCCGCTGCGTCCTCCGCCAGCCTGGCCTTGGCCCGCCTGGTAGGAAAGCCGTGCTCGTGGGTCTGTCCTCTGCGCGCGTGTCGCCCCGTTTCCCGCCGCAGACTTCGGCTCTGGGTCCGGGGGGCGCCGCGAGCCTGCGCGCTCCCCCGCGTGACCGGCGCCGTCGGGCTGCGTGCACGGTCGCGGGCGCAGGTCTCTCTCGAGTGCCTGGTGCTCGGTCATGTTTCTTGGGAGCTTGAACCGCGGATTTTCCCGAACGGTAAGAGAAATGTGCAGCTGTCCCGGAACAACCTGCAGCTCAGAATCCCAGGCTTCGCCATGCCATCTAATGGGATGACCTTTCAAACAGACACTGCAGTGACCTTCACTCAGATAAGGGGAATGCCCGGGCCCCTTCTAGCCCTCGAGGGGGCTAGTGCAAAAGACCTTCTGTTAACGCAGACTGTGCAGTGTTAGGTGCTGGGAAAGTCGCCGGAAGGAAGTCACAAGGGAGCATGGGGAGGAGCCCCCAAGAGTCGAGAAAAGCTCTGTCAAAGAGGAGGCGGGTCCAGGTACACCAGGTGCGATCCGTTTCTTGGAAGTTTGAACCGAGAAGGTCTGTAAGATCTCTAGTCTTCATAGTAACAGCCCAGTCTAGGCCACCATCTCTCGCTTCTACAACAGTTCCTTTCCTGATCCCTGTTTCCACTTTTGCTCCCCTACAATGAATTCTGACAACGGCCGGAGTGAAGTGATTAAACAGCAAACCTTATCTTGCCATTCCCTTGTTCGTAATCTACAAGTGGTTTCTCATTGCTTTGAGATAAATGATAAATTCCTTAATGTATCATAGTGGCTCTTCATAGTCTTGGCACATGTCTTTTTAATTTTTCATTCATTTATTCTACAAATACTTAACTCTTCACTGTGTGTTAGGCAGTATTCTAGATACCGGGATACCTCAAGGGTCCCTCCCCTCATGAAGTTTACATACTTTGGGGAAGTCAGATTATAAACAGATAAACGATGTCAGTACAATGTAAGGTAGTGATTAGTGCTATGAAGAAAAATAAAGTAAGATGTTGAGAACGGTGGATTGGAGGAGTAGTGGCTATAGGGTAGAATAAGATAGGCAGTCTGTCTGGAACAACCTCCTTGAGGAAGTGATATTTGAGCAGAGCCCAGAACCGTGCTGAGATTGGGGAAGAGCATTGTTGACACAGGGAACTGCTAGTGCAAAGGCCCAGAAATGGTAATAAGCTTATGGGTGTGATCAAGGAATAGAAAAGGCCAGCGTGGCTGGAGCTAGGCGAGGAAAGAGGAGATTAGTGTTTTTCTCTTGTTCTTCCTAATTTCTGGTACACAGTAACACTCAAACTTTTGAAGGGATAAATGAAATACTACTGAGGAATGAATAAGAATTTGTCAGATGAAGAAATGAAGTGGGGCAGGAGGAGAAAGGAAGCATATTCCAGGCAAGGAGAACATCAAGTTCAGAAGGACTGAAGGGCCTGGTACTGGAAGTTCAATGTAGCTGTGGGGCCTTATGAAGGAGGATGAAACTAGAGATGTGAAGAATGTAATGTGAAGTTCAGAGTCTCAGGATTCTTATATGTTATGCTAATGTCACAACTCTTGGACCTTAGTTTTCTTGGCTATAAATGACCCCTAAGTAAGGATGATGATAGTACTTACAGTTCTTGTGAAGAATCAGATTAAATGAAATAATGAAAAGCATTTAACAGTGTCTAGCATGTGAAAGTGCTCAATAAAAATAGCTATTTCTATTTTAGAATAGTAAAAGTTATTTAAAGAGGCATAAGATAATATTTTAAAAGACATATACTGTATGTAATCTGCCCTCCTTTACAGTTATGTGATTTATTGGAATGGCTATGATTTTTGTTGTTATCGTAGCATTGGCAGTTCTAATATATAATAGAGAAGGAAAAACTTAAGGGTTTTCTTTCATTTTTTGGTAGAAAGAATATTTCCAAATATGAGCAAGTATACTTAAAATTTGAACATTTCAAGCCATTTATCTTTAAAAACGCAACATACTTATTTCTAACTAGAAATTTTAATTTGGGAAAGTGAGTTTATTTGACTATGAGCTTTAAAATTTATTGAGAGTATTTTTTTTTAGATTATTTCACTTTATATTTTAATAACTGGAATGTTCTTACCCATTTCTGACTTTTCTTTTTTTTTTTTTATCCTCACCTGAGGACATTTTTCCATTTTTTGTTCAGGTAGAGTGGGAGGAAGAGAGAGGAACAGAGAGAGAGAGAGAAACATCGACGTGAAGGGACACATCGAGTGGCTGCCACCCGCACAACCGACCAGGGCCGGGGACAAACTGCAACCGAGGTACGCGCCCCTAGCGGGAACCGAACCTGGGTCTCTCAGGACCGCAGGCCGACGCTCTAACCGCTGAACCAAACCGGCCAGGACTCTGACTTTTCATTTTTATTGAGATGATTTTAGTCTCTGAGTTTACAGAAAATGAATTATTGTTTCTTTTTTGTTGTTGTTGCTTAATACCTTAAATTGTATTTGAATTATGGGATCATGACCAGTGTTGAACAACTCTGTGTTATAAAATTCTTGTAACTGTTGTGTTGTTGTTTAGGTACAACTGAAAGAACATCCAGATCTGAAAGGCCACCAAGAAGAAAGGTGAATAATTAACATACTCCAATATATGCTATCTTAATGGTTTCTGAAGTTCTAAAGTGCGGTAGATACTCACAATGAGGCAGGAGGGAACGTCCCAGGAAGGGCTCATAGGGGATGTTTACTTGGTGACTACCACAGTCTTCACTCTAGTCTTGGACTGGTCTTTGTCAGTACCCCAGAATGGATCAACTTTGAGAGGAAGACACATCTACATAGTCCCAGGAAACAGGTACATAAACCAGAATATAGAATTATTTTTGATGATGCTTGTAACAGTCATGCAGCCTGGGATTAATCTTACTAGTTCTCACTCTATGGGCATCTCTTTGGAGGAATCTAAATTATAAAGTCACTTGGTATGGAGTCAGAACAAAGACATATTAGTTGGAAGTTAAATGGTATCAAATTATAATTGTCTAGAGCAGTCATTTTCATAGGACTATTACCTGCTTCCGGGACATACTACATTAATTTAGATACTGCATAGATGTGTGTTGCCAAATTGTCTCTTTAAACCATGCTTTTGTATGCTGGCCATCCGCTTCTATTGAATATATTTTATATATATGTTGTCATTGTGATTGACTAAGCTATCATGTAGCTATTCCCAGGGCCTAGAAGATATATAATTTCTTATTATGTATTTATTCAATTAGCTTAACCTTACTTTACTCATTTACAAGTTCTCAGTGTCACTTCAGATACTGACTTTCTTCAAAGAAGTTTTTAAAATTATTTCAAAATATATTATTACTCACCCCCTTCATAAACAAAATGTAAAAAGTTTGCTAAAAGTCTAAGTAAATAAATAAGATAGAGCCCTGGCCGGTTTGGCTCAGCGGTTAGAGCATCGGCCTGCGGTCCGGAGAGACCCGGGTTCGGTTCCCGCTAAGGGCATGTACCTCAGTTGCAGTTTGTCCCCGGCCCTGGTTGGTCGTGCAGGTGGCAGCTACTCGATGTGTCTCTTTCACGTCGATGTTTCTCTCTCTCTCTCTCTCTCTTCCTCTCTCTCCCTCCCACTCTATCTGTGCAAAAAATGGAAAAATGTCCTCGGGTGAGGATAAAAAATAAATAAATAAGAGAGAGATGTTTTTAGTGAAGGGAATCCTTGCCCCAGAGGGTTTGAGGAAGCAGTACAGAAATATTTAGGTAGACTTGGTGGTTTTTTATTTGACCAGCAGCAGCTTTGTGGGATTTCACATAGGTTACAGTTTTGTTTCTCTTAATTGCATGTTTTATTTTGCTTTAAAATTAAAATATGTGTTCATATTTAAAATAATTAAGTTGCTTTATGTTTCTTAGGCACTACCTCCTAGGACTGAGAAAATGGCTGTTGACCAGGACTGGCCCAGTGTTTACCCAGTTGCAGCACCATTTAAACCCTCTGCAGTACCTCTTCCTGTTCGAATGGGTTATCCAGTAAAAAGGGGGGTGCCCATGGCGAAAGAGGGAAATCTAGAACTTTTAAAGGTAAGATAAGTTGCTGACTTATTGGCTAAGACTTATATCTAAATAAATGGTGATCCTGACCTGGCCAGTGTAGCTCAGTGGTTAGAGTGTTGGCCCACACCACAAAGGGTCTCCGTTCGATTCCTGGTCAAGGGCATGTACCTGGGTTTCAGGTTCCATCACTGGTCCTGATTGGGGTGCATGGGGAGGCAACCGATCAGTGTGTCTCTCTCATCGCAATGTTTCTCCCCCCCACCTTGCCACCTTCCTCTCTCCCTAAAAATTAATGGAAAAAATATCCTCAGGTGAGGATTAGTAAATAAATAAATAATGATCCCTCCCCCCCCCCCATACTTCTTGTATAGGAGCTTATTGTGTTTTAATTTAAAATTTTTCCCTGGTAATAATGGATATTATATTTTGATTATTTGTGTTAAAGAAGACTCAAAGAATCCTAGGCATTTAAGAATGTAATTAATTGGTCCTATGGCTTCCCTTTTGGCTTTTTCTTTTCTCTTGTATCTTTCAAATGGACCTAAGAAAAGTAAAGTAATCTAATTTGAGATTGAGAACTGTGAGGATGAATGTTCCACTTTTAAAACAGATTTTTAAACTCTCTGTCCAGAAAGGTAGAATATTATTATTATTATTGTCCTTAAACTTTATTGCTTGAAGCAAAATAGCTCATATTAAATGCCACAGTTGGTAGCATCAATAATGATTTATGAACTGGAGGTTTTTAAAGAAAATATAAATATGCGTAGGAATGCATATCTTAGATGGTTTCCTTTTATAAACAGTGGAATTATCATCAACAAACTGTTTTCCATTAAATGAGTGTCTTCTTGAAATACAAAGAAAATTTTGATAAAAGGTGATGGTAAAAAATGAGATGGTAATATGGAGAAGGGTTATCTGCTGCTGGAGGCAGAGGTAAATGAAATGGGAATGTTTTAAGAAACATAAGAAAACAAACATTGAGGGAACTGATTTTTTCTTCAAATGAAAGAGGAAAAGTGAACTTAGTTGAAAGAAAGGGTCTTTGGAAAATATGGGATGAGAGAGGATAGCGGTCAATATGTTTGTAATAATGCTAGTGGTTGTGAATGGTATTTTAATAAACATAGAAATCCAAACATTTAATGCATGTAATCCCTTTTAAGAATCACCTATATGCTTAGTCCAGTGAAGTTTTTTTCCTAGTGAGTGTCACTGGATACGTTTATTAACTGAGCTAATAACATGCAAAGTGCATAGAACAGTGTCTACATAAATGTTATGTAGGCATTAGCTGTTATTTTATTCCTTTTATGATTTTAAGATTATATTTTATGTTTCAAAAATAAAAGTATAGAAAAATGAAGCCACCTTACTCCATAGTGTCAATTTTCATTGCCTATTTTCTCTTGATTAAAATAAACATTGCCTGATCAACACTTAGAATTCTAGGCATAATGTTTGGAGTAACTTTCGGCTCATTCAAATTTTTCTAAATCATTCTATTGAACTAATTTTTTTCTTAAATTGCTTAACAGTATTCAAGAAATATCTAATAAATGTAATTATTTATTTGAAGGAATCAAATCTCTGACCTTTCCTGAACTTCCCATTGGCCCTGTGAATGATGAGGTAGCCTCTTAATATAGCATCATATTTATATTCTCAACTTCATTAAATTGTTCCCCTAAGATTTGCTAGCTTCATTTATTTGTTCAGTTCTACAATGTCTGTTAACTACAAAGTGGAAAGTGTATCATAGTGCTATGTAATCCAGGGGAGTTAGGATGATTAAACAATGATCTGTGTCCTTAAATGCTTTCAGTTCTATAAGAGAATATATGCACCTGTAGGTTCGTAGCAGGAAGAATGCTTTAAAAATCATGTTTATTTTTCCTAGTGTTGTCATGTTAAGATACTTGGTACTGAATCTGTATTTCAAGGAATTTTTTTCTTGAATTCACAACACCAGTGACAGAATTAATACTGTAAAAACTACCACATTTTATTTAAGATAAGGCTTGTTGGGCCTATGATTTAGCTGTATGAACAAATGGTCTTTTTCATGTTTTTAAGATAGTTGGCTAATTTATCCTTTAAATTTCTCTACTTTAGATCCCTAATTTTCTGCATTTGACTCCTGTAGCAATTAAAAAGCATTGTGAAACTCTTAAAGGTAAGTGGTTATTTTATTATATAATTGACTTTGAACATAAAATTAAGAATCTCATTTCTAATGATAAAGGGGTCAATTTATCAAGAGGATATAATGTTTGTAAATATTTATGCACCCAACACTGGAGCACCTAAATATGTAAAGCAATATTAACAGAACTGAAGGGAGTAATAGACAGCAATACAATAATAGTGGGGGACTTCATTACCCCACATTCGACAATGGCTAGATCATCCAGACAAAAAATAAGGAAACATTGGACTTAAACTACACGTTAGGCCAGATGAACTTGATGTTTATAGAGCACTCCTTTCAGCAGCAGCATAATACACTTTGTCCTCAAATGCACATGAAAAATTCTCTAAGATAGATCATGTTAGGCCACAAAACTAGTCTTAATACCTTAAGACTGAAATCATATCAAACATCTTTTTTGACCATAGTGGTATGAAACTAGAAATCAATTACAAGAAGAAAACTGGAAAAGTCATAACTACATGGAGATTAAACAGCATGCCCTGAAGAAATAGTGGGTCAAAGAAGAAATAAAAAAATATCTTGAGACAAATGAAAATGAAAACATACCATACCAAGACTTAAGAGGTCTAGCAAAAGCAGTTCTAAGAGGGAAGTTTATAACAATAAACACCTACATTAAGAAAGAAGAAAGATCTTAAATCTAACTTTATACCTTAAGGAACTAGAGAAAGAAACACTAAGCCCCAAGTTAGTAGAAGGAAGGAAATAACAAAGATCAGAGTGGAAGTAAATGAACTGGAGACTAAAAAAGACAATAGAAAAGATAAATGAAAGAAGAGCTGGTCTTTGAAAAGATAGACAAAATACACAGACCTTTAGCTAGACTTACAAAGAACAAAAGAGCAGGGCTCAAGTAAAATTATAAATGAAAGTAGAGACATTTTAACTGATAACACAGACATACAAAGGATCATAAAATACTGTGAATAATTAATACACCAACAAATTTGAAAATGTTGAAGAAATGAATAAATTCCTGGGATGGAATTTACAACCTACCATGAGTGAATCATGATGAAATAGAAAATCTGAACAGACTGATTACTAGTAAGGACATTGAATCAGAAATCAAAACCCTTCCAACAAAGAAAAATCCAGAACCAGATGGCTACACTGGTGAATTCTACAAAACATTTAAAGAAGAATTAATGCCAGTTCTTCTTGAACTCTTCTAAAGAATAGAAGACGTGAGAACACTTTCAGATCCATTTTACAGGAACATCATTGCCCTGACACCAAAGCCAGACAACACTGCAAGAAAGATAATCCAAGCCAATATCTCTGATGAAGATAGATGCAAAAGTCCTCAACAAAATATTAGCACACTGAATTCAACAGCCCATTAAAAGGATCACACATCATGGTTAAGTGGGATTTATTCCAGGGATGGAAGGATGGTTCAGCATCTGCAAATCAGTGTGATACACCACATTAACAAAATAAAGGATAAAAATTATATAATCATTTCATTAGATGCAGGAAAAGCATTTGACTAAATCTAGCATTCTTTGATGAGACAATTCAACAAACTATATACCTCAACACAATAAAGACCATATATGACAAGCCCACACACAGCTTGTCATATACTCAGTGGTAAAAAGCTGCAAGGACAAGTAACTTTTATTCAACATAGAAGTCATAGGCAAGAGCACTTAGGCAAGAAAAAGAAAAGACATCCAAATTGTAAAAGAAGGGGTAAAATTGTCTCTGATTGTAGAAGACATTATATTGTATATAGAAAACCTTAAAGACTTCACCAAAAAACTATTCGAACTAATAAATTCAGTAAAGTTGCAGGATACAAAATCAATATACAAAAATCAGTTGTGTTTTTATGTACTAACAATGAACTGTCAGAAAGATAAATTAAGAAAACAGTCTCATTTACCTCAAAATGAATAAAATACTTAAAGAAGTAAAAGATCTATACACCAAAAACTGTAAGACATTAATGAAAGAAATTGAAGGAGATACAAGTAAATGGAAAGATAGTCTGTGCTCATGAATTGGAAGAATTGATATTGTTAAAATGCCCATACTACCCAAAGCCATCTATAGATTCAGTGAATCCCTATAAAAATTTTATAAAATCCCTATATAAAAATGCCAGTGGCATTTTTCACAGAAATAGGAAAAAAAAGAAAAGAAACAATTCTAAAATTTGTGTGGAACCTCCATAGACCCTGAATAACCAAAGCAATCTTAACAAGAACAAAGGTGGTGACATCACACTTTCTGATTTCAAATTTCATTACAAAGCTATCATAATTAAAACTGTGTTATTGGCATAAAAAACAGATCATTGAAACAGAGTAAAGAACCCAGGAATAAACCATCTCATGTATGGTCGATTCATTTATGACAAAGAGGACAGAAATATACAATGGGGAAAGGATAGTCTCTCTAATAAATGATGTTAGGAAAACTGGATAACTACATGCAAAGGGATAAAACTGGATCCCTATCTTACACCTAACAGGAAAATCAACTCAAAATGGATTCAAGACTTGAATGTAACACCTAAACTGTAAACCCTTAGAAGAAAATGTGGGGTCAGGGGCAGGGTAAGCTCCTAGATACTGTTTTTGGCAATGATTTTTTTTGTATTTGACACCAAAAGCAAAGGCAAAAGTGAACAAGTGGGACTACATCAAATTAGAAAGCTTCTGCAGAGCAGAGGAGACTCATCAACAAAATGAAAAGGCAGCCTACAAAATTGGGAGGAAATACTTGTAAATCCTATATTTGATAAGGGATTAATACCTTATATATAATATATAAAGAAGTCATACAACTCATAGCAAAAAAACAAGTAACAATTTAAAAATGGACAGAGGACCTGAGTAGACGTTTTTCAAAGAGGATATACAAATGTTTAAAGGTGTTTAACATCACTAATCATCAGGGAACTGCAAATCAATATAAAACGAGTTATCTCCTTGCACCTATTAGAACGGCTGTCAGCAAAAAGGTAAGAGATAGGTGCTGGTGAGGATGTGGAGGAAAGGGAATTATTTTGCTCTATTGGTGGGAATGTAACTTAGTACAGAGTTTATGCAAAACAGTATGGAAGTTCCTCAAGGAATTAGAACTATCATGATTCAGCAATCACACTTCAGGGTATTTATTCGAAGCAAATGAAATCATTCTCTCTAAGAGATATCTACACTCCCATGTTCATTGCAGCATAATTCACAATAGCCAAGATATGGAATGATGGGATATTATTCAACTGAGAAAGAAGGGCATCCTGTCATTTGTGACAACATGGATGGGCTCTGAAGGCATTATGCTGTGTGAAATAAGTCAAAGGCAGACAAATACTGTATAATAACACTTTTATGTGTAATCTAAAAAATCAAACTCAGAAACAGATGAGAATGGTGGCTTCCAGAGGCAGGTGGGTCTGTAGGATAGAGGGGAAAGGGAGCTATTGGTCAAAGGGTACAGTCTACCAGTTATTAGATGAATAAGTTTTAGGACTCTAATACACAGCATCGTGATTATAGTTAATAAAACTGTACTATATCCCTGAAATTTGCTAAATGAGTAGATCTTAAATGTCCTCACCGCAAAAAAGAAATGGTAATTCTACGATGTGTTACAGGTGTTTCCTAAGGTATGGTGGTAATCATATTACAATATATAAGTGTACCAAATCAGCATGTTGTACAACTTAAACTTCTGCAATGTTATGTGTTAATTAGATCTCAAAAGAGCTGGGAGGAAATCTTATTTCTAATGTACTGTATAGCCTTATACTCTGAATCATTGCTGGTTTCTTCTTTATTTTTAAGAAGGATCTTTGAATTGTTTTCAGTGAATTGTTAGATGTCATATATGCAAAAAACTTTTTTTTGAAGACCACTGTACAAGGTGCTATGAATAATAAAATCATAAATCATAGTCTTTGCTGAAGTAGGTTAGGGACTGCCTGTTGACTTATGGAAAGCACATACATAAAGAGACTGAAGAAAAAATTTTGAGTGTTGCCAATAGATGGAAATCAATGTGATTTAAACCGATGATGTAGAGGATGCTGAGTAGTTGAATAGTCAGTAGGGTCAATAATGGATACTTAGCAGGGAAGAATTATCTTGAAGATGTTTAAAAATTTAAAGAAATTTGAAGTGATATATACATGTAGTAACATCAAATAGAAAAGTTGGTAATGAAAGGCAATAGTCTCATGCTTCTCCTTGCCCACCCTGGCTTTTCATTCTAGAAGTGTTCTCTTAATCATTATTTAGATCTGATAATAGCTTCCAAAGAGAGAGAGAGAGAGAGAGAGAAAGAGAGAGAGAATTCTCTGTATATGCAATATTTAATATATACATATGTACAGAGTGTGTATATATGATACTCTATATATAGTGTGCAGATATGTAATGAAGTAATCTCCTGAGTATGATTATACTTCCAGTTCTGGATTTACTGATTTTGAACAATAGCTATTGATTCCTAGATGTAAACATAGATTTCAGGCACTTATCCTCCACATGCCTAGATCAAAGGGCAAAGGACATTTTTTTTGCTCATGGTTTTATGTATAAATTGTCTCATAATTTGTACATATTCCAATTTAATTTCTGATCTCATTTGCATTGGACTATATACCGAATAAGCAAATATGAATTGGTTTAGGTTCACAGCTATTTGCGATTGAATGTGTAGTTTAAGAGTTAGTACTTCTGGATCAAGTATGAATTTCATTTTGATTTAAAGATGATGTATAAATGCTCAATATACTTGATGAGACTTTTCAGGAAAGAAAATGAAATTTAGAAATACTTTACAGGTAGCTTGGTTATGCAGGAAAGAAAAATAAGATAGTAAACATGATTATAATAAAAATTTAGCTTTTGGGAGAGCTGTCCATTCAAAAGTATTAGGAAGAAGAAGAAATAAGGAGGTCTTGAAAAGTAGGAATAATTATCTTACTCTTGAAATGAGGGAAGAAAGAAAATCTCTGTCTCCTTTCATTTATATAGTCTTCTGTTTTGGGACATTAGGATGCTTTTCTATCCCTTTAGGTTATATGTTTCTGTATTTATTAGTGCCTGACACTGATCACTGTTACAAGTTTGTACTCCATTGGAGCAAATTGTATGTCACTTTTGGAATCCTTTGTAAATTCAGTTGACGAATGCATTACACTGATAAATTCTGTGGGTTTTTTTTGGTACGTGCCCCTAGCGGGAACCGAACCTGGACTCTGGTTCGCAGGCCAATGCTCCAGCCACTGATCCAAACCGGCCAGGGCATAAATTCCATTTTTTTTAACTTTATTTTTATTTATTTATTTATTTGTTTATCCTCACCCAAGGACACTTTTTTCCATTTTTTTGTTCAGATAGAGTGGGAGGAAGAGAGAGAGAGAGAGAAACATTGACGTGAAAGGGACACATCGAGTGGGTGCCACCTGCACGACCAACCAGGGCCAGGGACAAATTGCAACCGAGGTACGTGCCCTTAGTGGGAACCGAACCTGGGTCTCCCTGGACCACAGACTGACGCTCTAACCGCTGAGCCAAACAGGCCAGGGCTAAACTTTATTTTTTATTTATTTTTTATCCTCACCCGAGGACATTTATTTATCCTTTGTTCAGACAGAGTGGGAGGGAGAGAGAGAAACATCAACGTGAAAGGGACACATGGAGTGGCTGCCACTCGCACAACCCAACCAGGGCCGTGGACAAACTGCAACCGAGGTTACCTGCCCCTAGCAGGAACCGAACCCGGGTCTCTCTGGACCGCAGGCTGATGCTCTAACAGCTGAGCAAAACCAGCCAGGGCTAAACTTTATTTTTAAATGTACATTTATAATCTAGAAACTGGTCGTTGTAATGAGGTGTTTCTAAAATGCTTTATAGTTTTTAAATGTAAAGCTTTCATGTAGCACATTCAGAAGAGTAGTGTTATAATTTGCAGTGCTTGAGTGTTTTAATTTTTCCTTAAGTTTGCCTTTACACCTCTGCCAGCTTCTGGATTTAGATTGCATCTTCCAAATAACTCAAGGGCTTTTCGAATATTTCTTCTCAGTTTTCTTTCAAAGTAGGTCAGTTTAGATTTTATATCTAACTTGCAGATGGAAAATCTGAAGCACAGGAAAGTTAGGTAATTTACCAAAATTTTAATGATCAGTGGCAGAAGTTAAGTAAAAACCAAGGTCTTCTGAAATCTAGTCATTACTCTACCTATCAGATGAATAAAGGCTAATAGAGGTCTATTAGGTACTTTCCAGTTGGCTGTATTCTTTTAAACATGTAATCAGGTCATTTAATATAAAGGCCGTAATTATCATCTGGTGATTGAAATGACTTATTCAAAATTTAAAAAAAAGATTCAGTACAAACTCAGAAACTCATAAAATTCCCCAAACTAGTCTCTCTTATAAAGTTCTTGCTTGGCAGTGTTGCATCTTATAGTGTAGGATGTTGGAATTAGTCCATGATAGGAATGAAATTACCTCAGTAACCTTGCTTTGTTCGTTTTGTTTAAATGTTAAAGTGTTCTTAATTGCAGAGGTATTTCTTTCCCTTCCAGGTGTCTGGATATTGATCTGTCTTAAACAGGATTTTTAGGGAATGGTGTGAGCTGCATATTAATTTGCTAACATATAGTTAGTCCCAGATCTTGGAAAGTGTCTCTAACTCAGAGTGACATTTTGCTGACTCTGATATTATAGCCTAAATGGGAGCTAAATATAATACCTACTATAAGAAAATTGTGAGCTCGGGGAAAATGTTACTGGCAAAGTACTTTTCTCTGTTCCTTATGTCATCACCTAGAAGAATTCCCATGTCTGCCTGTGATTGTGACCAGCCTCTCCTGCTTTTTTGGAGAAAGTAGGGATCCCTGAAGTCTAATACGTTTGTCCTAAGTAACCCACTACTTATAGCTATTCTTAGAATGAGGCCTTTTAAGGAATGAGATTTCCAGAGGGGAACTGTATGGAACCGGAAGTTTCCGTCACAACCTGAGAGCCCTCTATCTAACTTGAAAGGAATAGGGCAAAATGAAATCAGCTACCTACCTGTGGAGCCCCTCAATACTTTTAGCTATGAGAAGCTGAGAGCTATTATTTTCTTTCTAAGTACCCCTTTGTCCCCCAACTGAAGCCTGAGTTGACACCTCTGGGCTGTGGAAATAGGTAGTAGGCCATGTTCCACTGCTTAGAATCTCTTCCTATCGTGGCCCAGGTCTCAGACCTGTCGTGCCTCCTCTGTAGGCTAGCTGTCTTGCCTGAATATGAGGACAAGTCTGTACCTCTTAACATTGAGTCCCAGTGGCTCAGAATTCACATAGAAGAAACTTGGATTAATATGAGGATCCGTTTAAGGACGATCTAGGCTTTTGTACCTGTTTATTTTGAGGCCCTATTCAACTCAGCTTCTGAAAGACTGTTGACTATTGACCACATATGAGGTCATTTCTCTTAAGATCCTCAACCAAGGATATGTTTTTATTGATTTTAGAGTGAGAGGAAGAGATAGTAACATCGATATGAGAAACATCGATCTGTTGCCTTCTATATGCACCCCAACTGGGGATAGAAAACATAACCTAGGTATGTGCCCTGACTGGGAATCGAACCCAAAACCTTTTGGTGTGTGGGACGATGCTCCAACTGACTGAGCCACTTGTCCAGGGCTCTCTTAGAACTTTTTCAGAGCTTCTTTCAGTTCCCTTCAGCTAATCTTTAGTAACCTTCATTTGGGAGTGAATAATATTATCTGTTGCCTTTTCAAAAACCGTAGTGCTCTGGGCACTATGAACTGTTTGGTTTTAATTGGCGAAGAATTAAACTTTCCCATAACAGGTATGTGCAAAGCTATAATAAACTTTCATCAAGTCACAGTTCCCTTTTTTGTTGTTGTTAGTCCTCACCCAAGGATATATTTTACATTTTATTTTATTTTTTTAAGAGAGAGTGGAAGGGATGGGATGGGGGATCGAGACACAGAAACACCAATGTGAGAGAAACACATTGATTGGTTGCCTCCTGCACACTCCGCACCTGGGGCCAGGGAATGAACCTGCAACCCAGGTATGTGTCCTTGACCAGGAATCGAACCCGTTATCCTTCAGTGCATGGGCCAGCACTAACCTGTGAGCCACACTGGTCGGGGCACAGTTCCCTCTTACCTGAACATACTGCTCCCCACTGAACCTGAACTATTCAGTCATTCTCTTAATTAAATTCCCTAATAGGATTCACCTGAGAAGAAAAGGGATGAGGATTGATGATATGTCTGTAAAGTGCAGAGTCGAATGTGTTCTTCCATTTCATGTAACCTGAGAATGATCTCTCAATAATTTGATTTTGTCTGGCAGCATACATTACAATGATATAATTGAGATAATTTTTTTAATTCTTAGATTTCTGCACTGAGTGGCCAGCTGCACTAGACAGTGATGAAAAATGTGAGAAGCATTTTCCAATTGAAATCGACACAGCTGATTATGTTTCATCAGGACCATCTATTCGAAACCCCAAAGCACGAGTAGTAACTTTAAGGGTAAGAGAGAGTTTTTAAAAAATAAGAATTATAATACATTACTTAAAAATAGCATTTTATATGTATTATAAAACTGATATATATTTATTATTGAAAATTCAGACAATATAATAGTGTTTTGAAGTATAAAATAAAATTACTGTAATTCCACTACTCATAAATAACCACTATTGACTATAGATATAGAAGCTCAGTTTAGTATATATGCAATCCTTCTTTTGTATATAAATGGGATGATACTGTATTTGATTAGTTATCTGCTGTTTTTCATTTAGTGATATGAACTTAAAATTTCCCAAAGATATTAAATGTTCTTTAATATTATATTTAATAGCTGCATAAGTTAGCATATAAATGAAGGTTTGTTTTGTGCCAAGACAGTGTTTGAAGCTGGGTGCAGTGTTGATCAGACAAGGTCCTTTTTCTGAGACCAAAGTGGGAGATACAAACAAATAATTCCACAACATAGATCTAAATTAGTTTATTTACATTATCCATATTATGGGACCTTTAGGTTTTCTGTTTTTTTTTAAATTTATATTATAAAAGTGTTTTTACTATATATTATAAATTCATGTAGGAAATGTAACAAATACAACACCAGCAGTTTGTGAGAAAGCCTGTTTTCCTGTACCCTCAACCTAGAAATTATTATTATTGTCTACCAGTTTTATAGGTAAAAATATGTATCTTATATTTAAAATTTGTGTCTTTGAATTCTAATAAGGGTAAGAATTTATTCCTTTGCTTAATGCTTTGTTTTGGTCATTTGTCCATTTTGAAGGTGTATTGATTTCTTATACTCGTTTTGCTTTAATAACAGCTTTATTGAGATATAATTCACATACTATGGAATTCCCCTTTTAAAGTGTACAACTTAGTGGTTTTTAGTATATTCACAGAATTGTGCAACCACTGCTTAACTCCAGGAATTTTCATCACCATAAAAAGAAACCCCAATATCCATTATCAGTCACTCCCCAATATTCCCCCTTTTCCCCACCCACAAGCCCCGTCAACTACTAATCTGTCTGTCTCTGTGGCTTTGCCTGTTCTTGACATTTCATATAAATGAATCATACAATATGAATACTTGCACTCAGCATAATGTTTTTTTTTTTTCCCTCACCCGAGGACATTTTCCATTTTTTGTTCAGATAGAGCAGGAGGGAGAGAGAGGAAGAGAGAGAGAAACATCGATGCGAAGGGACACATTGAGTGGCTGCCACCCACACGACCAACCAGGGCCGGGGACAAACTGCAACCGAGGTACGTGCCCTTAGCGGGAACCGAACCCGGGTCTCTCTGTACTGCAGGCCGACGCTCCAACCGCTGAGCCAAACCGGCCAGGGCTCAGCATAATGCTTTTAATGTCTCACCTTTGTAGCATGTATCAGTTCTTCATTTTTTCTTATTGCTAAATAATATTCCATTTTATGACTATACCATATGCTTATTTATCCACACATCAGTTGAATTTTGGGTCATTTCCACTTTTTGGCTGTCATAGTAATGCTATTATGAACATTCATGTACACATTTGTATGGACATATGCTTTCAGTTCTGTTGGGTAGTACAATTGCTAGGTCATATGGTAAGTCCATGTTTAACATTTTGAGGAACTGTCAAACTGTTTTACAAAGCAGCTGCTATTTTAAAGTTTCACCAAAAATGTTTGAGGGTTCCAATTTCTCAACATCCTCACTGGTGATTGTTATTGTTAGACCTTTTAGTTTTCACCATTCTTTAGACTTCTTAGTTTCACCATTCTAGTGGATGTGAGGTGGTATCTCATGGTGATTTTGGTTTACATTTTCCTAATGACTAATATGTTGAGCATGTGCTTATTGACTGTATATCTTCTTTGGAGAAATGTTTGTTTAAATCTTTTGCCCATCTTTTAATTGAATAATTTATGTTCTCATTGTTCAGTTGTGTTATTTATATATTCTGCATACCAGTTCCTTACCAGATGTATGTCTTTTAGATTATTTTCTCCCATTCCGTGGTTTGTCATCTCACATTCTTGATGGTTTCTTTTTAAGCACAGAGTTTCAGTTTTGATGATGTCTAGTATATGTATTTTTTTTTGTTTTTTTGTCTCATGCTTTTGCTTCTGTATGTTAGAAACCATTGTGTAATTCAGACCCATGAAGATTTAGTCTTATGTTTTCTTCTAAGAGTTTTATAGTTTTGTCTCTTACATTTAGGTCTGTGATTTACTTTACTAATTTTTGTGGATGGTGTAATGTAGGGGTCCAACTTCTTTTTTTTGCATGTGCATATTCATCTGTCTCAGCACTATTTGTAAAAGGACTATTTTTTCCTCATTGAATTATATTGCTACCCTTGTCAAAAATGGTATAGTTCTTTTTTAACTATTTACTTGGTTACTTGGCCAAATTCTGTTTTTTAACCGTTTTTTATGAATAATTTTAAATGTTTGGAGACGTAGAGAGAGTAGTATAATAAATACACATGGTACCTTGATATAATAATAAGTATTTTGACAAATTTAAAATATTGAGTGCTTCATGCTTCATGTACATACATGTGTATGTATTTGTGGTTTTTGTTTAAGTGTTTCTTTAAAATTACTAATTTCTGATATTTTACACTAAAATATTTCAGTGTTACCTCTATAAATTAAAGAGATTTTCTTACATAATTCCAATGTAATTAATACAGCTAAACAAAAGTTTGAATAAGTTCTTAATGTCATCTAAAATATCTACTCCAGCCCTGGCCGGTTTGGCTCAGCAGTTAGAGTATGGGCCTGTGGATGAAAGAGTCCTGGGTTAGATTCTGGTCAAGGGCATTAACAAGTGGTTCAGTCCCAGGTCGAGGTGGTGCAGGAGGCAACCAACCAATCAGTGTGTCCCTTTCACGGCAATGTCTCTCTCTCTCTCTCTCTCTACCCCCCTCTTTGGCCTATGGGAACTGTTTTAAGTTGGTTCCTATGTTCTTTATTATAATTCAATTAGCATGTGAAATTTCCCCTGCATTCTGGCACAACAAGATGGCCCAATCTCACTTTAGGTATTTCTTATCCCAGACCTGGTTTTAGCTATTTCTCCAGGGAACTCTATGATGCCTTTTAGTGGATATTAGTGTTTGGAGACCAAAATCTGAATGCTAAGACTTTTTAGTTGACTCTTAATTTCTCAGGAAATAAATGATAAATAATGGTATTTTTAGTTCTCTTCTTTAAATATCTAGAGTTTAATTTTTGTGTGTGTGTTTTGCACTAGATAAAATTTCTAAAATAATGTTTCTGTAGTTCCTTGTGCTGTTCTACACTTTAATGGGCATGTCTATGGTGTTTGGTCTCTGAGTATGAAATTGCTTTTCTCATATTGCGATAATAATAGCCTTTCTTATGTTAATGATGTATCCTGTTTCTAGTTTACCAGCATGTTTAGAATGATCTCTTTTGAATTACTGAAGTAATGAATTATAATAATAGGTTTTCAATTAGTGAACCACTTCTGAACCCTGATCAGTTTATGGTAGATCATTCTTTCACTCTACCGCTGATTTGCTTTGTTAGTATTTGTTTAGAATCATTTGTGCTTATCTCACGTGCTTTGGGAAACGCCTGCCCTCACTCACCGGCCGCACCTGCAGTTGCAGCTGCAAGTCTCTGCCCTGGTAGCTTCTGAGTTAGTACTTGAAGCCACCCGAGTTTCCTTTGTTCAAGGAGCCTTGATACACATGACACATCTTTCTCACATAGTAGTCGTGGGGCATTTACCTGATGTACTTTCTTATGAAACTTTTTATTAGAATAGTTTTAGATTTACAGAAAAGTTTCAAGGAAAGTCAGAGTTCCCCTGTATTTCACACCAAATTTCTCCTGTTATTAACATCTTATATTACTATGGTACATTTGATACAACTAATTAGTCAATTTTGATACATTATTAAAGTCCATATTTAATTTGGATTTCTTTACTTTTTATCTAAAGTTCTTTTTCTGTTCAGAGTCCCATCCAAGGTACTACATTGCATTTAGTTATTGTGTCTCTTTAGGATCCTGTTGGTTGTAATGGCTTCTCAGAATTTTCTTGTTTTTAATTACTTTGACAGTTTTGAAAAGTGCTAGTATTATATTTTCTGGAATGACCTTCCATTTAGATGTGTTAAGTTTTTTTCTCATGGTTAGACTAGTATATGGTTTGGGGAAGAAAACCTCAGAAAAAAGTGCCATTCTCATCACATCACAGCAAGGGTATAGGCTCCTGTCATGTCTTAGCCTAGATGACCTGGCTGAGGTAGTATTTGCCTGTTTTCTCCACTGTAAAAAGACTTTTTTCTTCCTTTCTATACTGTATCCTTTCAAAGGAAGTCACTGCACAGCCCACACTTAAGGAGTTGGGAGTTATATTCCACCTTCTTGAGGGAAAAATACCAGATAAATTATTTGGAATTCTTCTATGTGGGAGATGTATCCATTTTCCATTTGTTTGTTTATTTATTCATTTATTTATATAGTATGGGCTCATGGATATTTATTTTACCCTTTCAGTTATAGTCAATCCAGTAATACGTTGTTCATTCTTTGCTCAAGTTGTTCTGGCTTTGGCCATTGAAGGAAGCCTCTTTCACTTGGCTCCTCTGTTTCTTTGCCATGTCCCATCATTTGTTTTTTAAAGACTAGTGTGGTTTTTTGGCACCACAAAATGCTCCAGCTCATCTTACATATTCCCTCTCCCAGGTTTATCCAGGGAACCCTGACTAATGTACTTTTGATTGGTCTGTCTTGGGGTTTGACTGCCCACCTCTTTGAGGTGTCTTCAGGACCCTCAAAACATTAGTTTTGTTCATCATGTAGTCTGTATTTTAAATCAGAGCATTCTAAGTATAGCAGAAATCTAGTTAAAAATCTCTGCAACCATTTTTACAGTATATGCTGACAAAGAGACAAACTTTTTCCTAGAATTTTTTTTAGTGATATAGCTATGATTAATTTGTAATTTTCTGTTTTTGCTAGGTTTAGGTATCAGGGTCATGCCATCTTTATGAAATAAGTTTATGGAGCTTTTTAGCCTTTTTTATTCCATAGAGTAATTTAAATGTCATAGCAGTATAGTTATGTATTTAGAGAGAGTGAAAATATTTTATAATCACAGGAAACAATTGTGCTTGCTGTATGAATTTTAGAACATCTAGCTAAGAAAAGAATTTAAAATTCTGCTGTGCTGACATCATTTATTCTGCTGACAGGTTAATTTGAATATAAAGTGCCTATGGAGTGATAATGCCTGATACATTTTTAAGAACTTAATAAATGTTGCCTCTTGTTAATAATGATAACACCAACAATAATAACCAGTTGTTGAGCTGTGTTATATGATAAAAGAATCTCTGAACTCAGAGTCAGAAAACCTAGATTTCACCTTACTTTCGTGAGCCTTAGTCTTCAGTACTAGAATAGACATCTGAAGTCCCTTCTAGTTTTAAGTTCGATTATTTTATTTCACGTAAAAACCTCATTGCTTTATTTCAAGTATGCTGCCAGGTATCGCATACAGCATACTGCGGTCCCTTCTTGTCTTTCTTTGGTCTCGGGCCACCATGTGACACCTCCATTGCTCCCTTGTACCCGTCCTGTCCTCCTGACTCATGTCCGCCCATCTGGACTCATTTCACTACCCACTGACTGCTGGGGCTCAGTGTGGTGTCCTGAATGGTGTCATGGGGTTCAAGGCATGACTTCAGGTAATCAAATATTATAAAATGTTATTCAGAGATACCCAAATTTTTAAATTCAGAGAAAGAACGATGATACATTTTCCTTGATAGTCTAAAAGAAGGTCAGAATTAAAACCAACTTAATAATTGTGTAGGACATTACTTTAAAAGTGCTTTCTTCTATTTAATCTAATTTATTCCTGACAAAAATCCTGTGGATTCTTTCTGTTTTATAAATCAAGAAACAGGAAGATCAAATGAGTTGTTTAAGGTCAGTTAACCAGTAAGTAGCAAATCTAGAAATCAAATGCAATTCTTGTCTTTAGTGTGATACCAGAGTTCTTTAACTAACTGCACTATACTTATAAATAGAGAAACGATTGCACACATTTAAACATTGCTCAGTTTATGTAGCTTTTTTAAATACGGGCATTTGAAGATACACATGTAATAACCACAACTTCCTATGATTTTAAATGTCGACATTGTTTTGGGGATAATGTTAATAGTACAATATCGATTCTTTATAATATAGCAACTTGAAAAAAGCCTAAGGATTCTTTTGAATTTTGGAAAAAAAGAATGATGATGGATGCACTCAACTTCAAAAGCAGGTCATTGTCCAGGCTCAGCAGCCAGCTCTGCAGTGCCTCTGAGTGCTAGCAGGGGGCGTGAGCGCACCACTCGGCTGTGTCTGAGGTACCTGTGAGTTTCTGGCATAAACTCCATAGAAGTTTTGAGCATTAAAATGTTAATGTAAATGAATTTTAAGCAGTTTTTACAATAATGATCAGCATTGCTGCCATTTTTGGACTACTTGCATAAAACGCTAGAACACAAATTTTTTAAATGGTACATTTTAAAATTTATTGTTAAACATCATAATTTCATTGAAGGGAGTTTTAAAAGGAAAACTCTACATTCTCACAATACTAATGTAAAAACTATTCATTTCTTTCTACTGCATCTATGCATATGTGCATATATTTTCATAATTATGATCATAATGTAGGTCCATTTTATGATTTTCTTATAAATATCCTTATCGTTAATAATCAGAGTTATCATAACATTGCTTATTTTATAACCTGGTTGTTGATACATATTCTTTCCAGGGGACTATGGTAATTCACATTGTCTTCAACATGCAGCCATCTATTGGATTGATATTTAATAGTCATTGTTCTTACTTACATTTTTTTTTCCCCCTCACCTGAGACAATTTTTGCATTTATCTTCAGATAGAGCGGGAGGGAAAGAGGGTAGAAGAGAGAGAGAAACATTGGTGTGAGAGACACATTGAGTGGTTGCCACCCACACAACCCCAGCTGGGGCGGGGGACAAACCGCTACCAGGGTATGTGCCCTGAGCAGGAACTGAACCCAGGACTCTCAGGTCCGCGGGCCAGTGCTCTAACTGTTGAGCCAAACCAGTCAGGGCACTAGTTATGTTTTTTAAGAATGCATTTATGTGTGTGTGTGTGTGTGTGTGTGTGTGTATTTATATACGTTTTTATTGATTTATTTAGAGAGCAAGGAAGGGAGAGAGAGATGGAAACATTGGTGTGAGAGAGAAATATTGATCGGCTGCCTTCTGTACAACCCCGTACTGGGGAGTGAGCCTGAAACCCTGTCATGTGCCCTGACCAGGAATTGAACTGGGACCTCTCAGACCATGTGACGATGCTCAGTCCACTGAGCCACACCAGCTGGGCAAGAGCACATTTATATTTATTTACTTGTTTTCTCTAGTTCAAATAAAATCCACAGTACTTAAAAAAACAAACAAACAGTAATATCCTCCCTTGTTTTCACTTGTGTATTCATTCGCAGATATGTCTTGCATGCTTTTTAAGTGCTAGGCCATTGCCAAGAACAAGACAGACATCATTCTTAACCTCAAGAGTTTGCTGTCTAGTGGAAAAAAGGAAAAATAAATAAGCTCTTCTGCTGTGGTGTCTTAAGGGAAGTACAGCGTTATTGAAGCTAGAGAGAAATGGATGGGATTTCAAAATCTTATTTAGCCTTTTTTTCTTCATGCAGTTACAACTCTTTCTTATTCTTAATGCTCTCCATGGAAAAATAATCTGTGGTTTACCTTATTTAACTGCATTCTCGTGTCTAACTTATTTTCCTGTGTCAAGCCTATTCATCTCGAGATAATACATTCAGCCATGCCATAATTCTCTGCAGATTAACTAGTGTGTTCATTTTGTCTATCATTTTTCAAAATATGTTTCAAGGAAAACTAATTCCATTAACTCCCTTGAAAAGTGGAATCTGAGGTCAGATAAATTTGGAAATCATTACAGAACAGCCCTGCATCTTGAAATTTTAGACTGTTTATTAGCATATTATCTCTAAGAAATCTTGCTGTAGAGAGCCCAGGTTTACTCCTTATTTCCTGAATGCATTCAACAGACATAGCCTTTTTAAAGAAATAGTTCTTCTTAGCAGCCTACGGGATTAGATTGTCATTTTGAGAAATATTCAGCTATATTATTTCAAATGTTTTGATCCTTTGATGCTATATTTCAGCCTCAGTGGGGGAAAAGGAGAAATATCTGTAACAAAAATAAGTTAAATAAATGAAATAAAATAAAGACCCCCTAAACTAGATGGAATGACATGGGTTTCATAATTGCATAGTAGAAATTTCTTAAACTCCATATGTTTTCTCAGTTTATTCCTATTTTCCAGCTTTACAAATACTAATTAATGCTACTCATTAACTCTTAGTTAATGCTACTCATAAGCTTCCTAATTTTATTCATTTAAGAGACGTGCCATTGATTCTTTCAGGAAAGGTACTAATGCCCAGAACTTTCAGAGAACGCCAAACACTTTGCTCCCCCCCTTTTTTCATGAGGAAGATCAGGCTTCTTAATGCACACCAGCTAACTCTGGTTAGCAAGGAGTTTGAAAAAGTTTCCTTTTTTTCATTTTAGCATTAATTTAAATAATATTACTACTGTTTTTTTCATTAAACAAAGTATATGAAATAATCTTTTTCAAATAATTTTTTTCTTGTGTTTTTAAGGTTAAACTTTCCAGTTTGAATTTAGATGATCATGCAAAGAAGAAACTTATTAAACTTGTAGGAGAGCGATACTGCAAGGCCACAGATGTGCTTACCATCAAAACAGACAGGTAAAGAAAGATGGTTCCTCCGATGGCACCACGCCGCTTCACCGCCCTTCCACCCCTGGCAGTCCTTTTTAAAGAGACGACATTGGAAATGAGGATGCCCCCTATATCAGCTTATGTTAGCCTTATTAGGTCAAGAGAAGTTGTCTAATTTATATTATTAATATCCTCACACTAGCCTCCTATTGCTGTAATCTTAATATACATAGAGAGGCTTACCTTCATGGGTTAAATTATTGTTGTGATTTTAACCTTGATTTTAATATATCTATGTGTATAAAACTCAAGGAAGATGTTAGACAAAAAGAAAAGTATGATTTGCTAGTGATTAATATATAAACAGGCTTTTACAAAGTCAAAGTGTATAAAAATCTTGTAGTTCACAATTAAAATTATTAAATTAACTGGAATTTAATTTAGCAAGGCACTTGTATAAATAAGAATTTTTGTGCTAGTGTAGAAGTTCATAAAAGCAATGTTAAATTTATCTTATGAATTTATAAAGTAAGTCATTTGAGATAAAGAAAGATTATTATGTTTTTTACTAAATGGTTACTTTATTTCCAGAATTATACTTTGATTGTTTTTAAATTATGTCAAACTATAAAACACCTGCCTTTAGAGAAAAGCAAGTGGGCAGCTGTCCTGCCTCCCTCCCTAGCTAGGTCTCCCTCCCAGCTAGGTCTCACACCGCCTAGGGGTGGAGTACCTGACACAGGGCAGCAGTGGGGGTGGGGGAAGCTCGCGAGCCATGGCTTCAGGCTGTTACTGCTGGAAGGAAAAACAGATGTGCAATATGTTAGTTATGTTCTTTTTGCTCTCTTTAGCAAGTGTGAAATAATGTTGTTTTTAGTTAGTGCAACTTAACAAATACCTTTCAAATGTTATTGTTTGAAATTTTATAAGTGTCTGATAATGTTGCTCTTTTTTTTAAGTTTACAAGTGTCAGTCTGTGTATTTGTTGTATGGTAACAACTACTTAGAGTTGAAAACTCTTAAACCCGACTACAATTAAGCAGACTATAATTAAAGGCATTTGTCATATGATGGTTTTATTTTACATTTAAAGGAATTGGAAGTAATTGTTTCCTTTTCTGTATTATTTTATTAATTTAAAAACTAAACATGCCATCTCATATTTATGTAAAATTTTACCTAATATTAGGTCATTCATTAATTCAATTTTTTAAATGTTTTTATTGATTTTTTTTAGACAGAGAGGAAGGGAGAGAGAGACTGAAACATCGATGTGAAAGAGAAACATTGATAAGCTGCCTCCTGCACGGCCCCCTACTGCGGATCAAACCCAATACCCGGGCATGTGCCCTGATCAGGAATCGAACCAGGACCTCTCAGTCTATGGGATGATGCTCAATCACTGGCCAGGCAGTTTAGCTCATTTTTAAAAGAATTGGCTCTGGGCAAAGCAAGATGAACATTGAGGTTAGCATCTATCATCAGTCTATATCTGACTTTTTTGGTGAAGATTTTCTATTGCTTTTTAGAGAGAAACATCGATGTCATCAATTGGCTGCCTCCTATACACCCCCTACCAGGGATGGAGGTCGCAACATGGGCATGTGCCCTGATTAGGAATTCAGCCAGCAATCTTTTAGTGCAAGGGGTGATGTACAACCAATTGAGCCACACTGGCCAGGGCTTTATCTCTACTTTTTAAGTGAACTCAGTATATATGCTCACATTGTCCAGAAGACTTTTAGCTCTGAGATTGTGAAGGGCACTTGGATTAGACACAATCATATTAAAAATAATGTAAAGCTATTATCAGATACAAATAACTGCATTAGATTTTAAAAGCAAAGGGATACTCTAAATAAAAATTTTTTAGAAGTTTTCAGTATCTTTAAGTAGCGAATTACATAGACTATTCTTATTCTAAGAACAGAATTTTCCTAAAGCAGAAGAAATACCTGAATATAAGTAATCCTTTGCATTTGGTATTTATATATTTTACAAATAATTCTGTGTTCTGAATTTTTTGAGTTTTCACTTCCTCCCTCTCTCTCTTTTGAAGGTGCCCTTTAAAGAGACAGAATTATGATTATGCAGTGTATCTGCTAACAGTTTTATACCATGAGTCTTGGGTAAGTGATTGTGAATGTTTAATCATTTTGTCCATATAAATTAGGTGATGTTTTAACCTTTTGAAACAGTCTGTGTGACAAGTACTCAGTTGTACGTTTAATGAAGCACTGGATACACTAAGGATGTATGAAATGTGATAGATAACTTGACTGACATTGAAAGTGAGGATCTTGAAATAGATTATGTAGTTCATCTCAGGACCTTACAGAAACCAGATGACTAAAATGCTTTTAAAATTCAGTTTCTGACTGGTTGGAAAATTTAGAATTAAAATGCGTGCTAACCTTGAAGATCAGGGATCAAAAAATGTATCTGTTATAATCTTTTTATTAAATACACTGAGAAATTAAGGAGAGATTAAGTACTTTGCCCAATTTCAGAGTTTACTACCTGAGAAGACCTTAGGCCTGAACTGAAGCTTCATAGTTTCATATTCTTTCCATGGTATCATATTATTTAGCTTTGTTGAACTTTGACTTCTATTATAAAATAGTAGGAAAGAAGACATGAAATTAAACCTGAATGTTAGCTGCTAGTTTGCTATCTTTTCAAACGTAACAATTGACTGATTGAAAACTTACCTCACAACTGGTTTTCACTGGGCTTGCCTCATATATTCATCTGCGAAGGAAACTTTTTTAAAAACTACAGATGCTTGAACCCTAAAGAATCAAAATCTCTAGCAGTGAGACTCAGGCTTTGTTTTGTTTTAAAGTCCCCACAGGTGATTCTGATGCTCAGCTCTGATTGTGAATAAGATCCCTAGTTGTTGTTTTTTTATAATTCTCACCCGAGGATGCCTTTCCATTTATCTTCAGATAGAGTGGGATGGAGGGAGGGAAGGAGGGGGAAGAAAGAGAGAGAGAAACATTGATGTGAGAGGGACACATCAACTCCCTGCCTCCCACATGATCTTGATCAGGGCAGGGGATGAACTACAACCAAGGTACATGCCCTTGACTGGAATCAAACCAGCAACTCATTGGTCTGCGGGCTGATGCTCTAACCGCTGAGCAACACTGGCCAGGGCAAGATTCCCAGTTTTTAAGTGTTGTTAATAAATAAACATATTAGAGGGTTGGTATATATCTTTTAAGATGGTTTTTAAAAATATGTATTTAGTATCAGAGCTGAGGGTACAGATGGAAATTTGAGTGAGGTAAAAAAAAAAAAAAAAATGGAGGTTTATCTGTCATACAGACATAAGTAGATTTTTTTTTTGACCTGATGTGGTAGGCTATGGCAGCTGTTCTAGATTCCTGAGTGGGATGATAATACAATGACGGTGATACCTCTCATGTTACTTTGCCTTCAGGCAAGAGTTCATTTTACTTCTGATGTTCACGTACTTAAACAGCTTAAAGAAAAGTGTGTGTTCTTTCCCACCCAGTGGCTGAAGTCATGAACCTGAGCATTATACTCTTTTCTTCCTCCTCCTCTCCCCTGATATCTAATTAGTCACTAGGTCTTTTCAGTTTTATCCTTTAAATACCTGTTAAAACTATTTTCTCCTCTTTAACCCTACTGCTACTACCCTAGTCTGGGTCTTCATCTTTTACCTGAAAAACTGTAATAGCCTTATTGATTTCCTGTATCATCCATCTTCCACGTTACTGTTACAGTAATTATTCAAAAAATTGTGTCATATTTCTTTATAAAGTCTTTCAGTGGTTCCCCATTACCTAGAATTGAATCTAAACTCCTCAGCCTGTCTGTTCATAGTCATGTGCCACCTCATTATCAGCTACTCAGGAAATGTAGGTTATATGTTTTATACTTACATTGAACATATAATGTAGCCATAATGAACATAATGTATTCTTTCATAACTTTTCATATGCTGTTCTCTTATGATGTCTTTTCAAAATATCAGCTTTGCAAATTCATATGAATCCTTTAATACACCTCAGATGTTACCTCTCAGATGCTTTCTATCCATCCTTTCCCCCCTCCCTCCTTTAGTTGGCATTCCCTTTATTACTTTTATGCAATTGTCTGTATTGCATGGCTGCCTAACTGCATTCAACTGTCATCACTGAGGGCAAGGATTGTACATGTTCTTCATCTTCATATTTCTGGCATCTAGTACATGTCTGGCGTATCAGCAATCATTAAGTTTTTAAAAAATGTATCTGAATTGAATTGAATTTCTTGACATATTAAGGTAAAATTTTAGCTGTGGTGTAGCTCAGTGTATTGAGTGTCCAGGGAGGGACTCAGCCCAGGGACTGAGAGGTTCTGGTTCAATTCCCAGTCAGGGCGCTTGTCCAGGCTGTGGACTCGATCCCCAGTAGGGGGCGTGCAGGAGGCAGCTGCTCTTTCACACACTTTCCATCCTTCTCCCTTCCTTTCTCTCTAAAAAAAATTAATAAAATATATTTAAACAAATTTTAGCTGTGGTAACTGAAAGAATTGGCAGTAACTTTTTATTCATTATGCATATTTATCTGTTTTTTATGATTTTCAAAGAACTTAGGGTTTTAATGGTTAAACTCTTTTCCCTCAAATAGCACAAAGCCTTACTTGTAATCATGAGAAGTGGAATATTACTGTGATTCATATCCTAGGCAAAGGGAGTTGTAAATAAGATGGTGGAAGGTGACACATTTGTGTGCTTAGTGGAACAGATATTTCATTGCCTTTCTGTTACGTCAGAATACACTGACTATTACCTGAATTAGCTATTATTATGTTTTCATTGTATTGAATTTATATTTGCAAGGTGAAGAAAGAAGATAGGTTCAAATTAAATGATTCTTTTGTTCTTTTTATATTATTTTTTCCCATGTCTCTGTGTCCCTCGGGACCTGTTGTTCTGCCACTAACAAGCAGTTGATTTGGGGCTCACTGTCGAGTTGCCCTGGGCTCAGTTTCCCGGTCTGTAAAACATGGTATAACAGGGTTACCTCATGGGACTGCTGTGAAAGTTCCGGGAGTTCCTGTATGAAAGGAGCTTAGACTAGCAAGTATTCTAATAGCTGTTCTGGCTCATCCCATGCCACTGAGCGGACGGAGCTTTTCCTTCCTCTAGGCGGGGGTGGGGACGTCCGGCCCGTGGGCCATCATAGGCCCTCGAAATCAATGCCAGCAAGCATCACACACCTCACCAAATTAGCCTGACCAAATATAGCAGGCTAATCTTTAAGTCCATAATTTTGTATGGCCCAAGAATGATGTTATAAATATCCAAATGGCCCTTAGGAGAAAAAAGGTAAACCACCCCTGCCAGGCCTTTATGGACTATTCTACTGGGATCACAATCTTCATCTGACTGGCTTCTCCTCAACTCCACGTCTCCTACTAGACTGGCAGTTGCAGGTCAGCGCGGTTCTGGCGTAGTAGTTGTGCAGTCAGTGTTTGCTGAGTGAATGAATGAGTGAAAGAATCGAGCCAGCTGTGGAAAGAACAGGATCATGTGGAGTGGAAGGTTGCTCCCTCTGAGAGGGTAACTGTAGTCAGAGCAGGTTCTCTCACTGTCGGCGGGAAGGAAAGAGAGACTGTATGCTATGTGTGTGTGTGTGTGCGCGCGCGCGCATAATAGCCACCCTCATAAATTAAGTGGGGAAATTATAAATATTCAGTGGTTGAAGTATTTATTCATTTATTTATTTATTTATTTAATTTTTTAAATCCTCACCTGAGGATATATATTTTTTTTATTTTATTTTTTTTAATCCTCACCCAAAGATATTTTTTCATTGATTTTCAGATAGAGTGGGAGGTGGGGAGACACATTGGTTGGTTGCCTCCCGCACAACTCCGACCAGGGCTAGGGACTGAACCGCAACCAAGGTACATGCCCTTGACTGGAATCAAACCCGAGACTCTTTGGTTCATAGGTCAACATTCTAACTGCTGAGCCAAACTGGCCAGGGCAACATTGCTTGATTTTTCACACAATGTTACAATTTTTTTTTCCAAGTGGATTTCTTTCTTTTTTCTTATTTTATTTTTTCCTTCATTGATTTTACGAAGAGAGGAAATGAGAGCGAGAGAGAGAAACATCGATAAGAGAAAGCATTGATTGGCCGGCTCCTGCATGCCCCGCACTGGGGTTTGGGCCCACAACCTGGGCATGTGTCCTGACCGGGAATCAAACCTGCAACCTCTTGGTGCATGGGTGGACACTCAACCACTGAGCCACACCGGCCGGACACATCTTCATTTAAATCATAAGGCTGAATGATATTGCTGTGAAACCTACCAGTGTCCCATAGAATAGCATGGTAATAATTTTTCTAAGAAAAAACAACTGGTAACAGAAATTATTTCCATTATAGGATCAGAAAAGAAAGATAATACCAAAACAAAATTCCAGAATATATGAAGTCATTATGACTGAAGATCATGTATTACATATGTACTTCATATTTTTAATTTTATTATAATGATTGGTTTTTCCTGTCATCCCCACAGGCATGTTACAAAGTTAAATACAGTCTCCACTTACATTTAACCACAGAAATGTGAACTGTTGGTGTGTTAGAGTTTAGGGACTAGAAAGCTGCAAAAAAATGAGTTTTCTTTATGTTTTGGAAAGCAGTATACATCATAAGTGAAATCAGAATCGGAGTGGAAACGGAGTGCTCGCGTACAGAGCGTGCGGCCCTGGAGCTGCTGGTGCGGAGCAGGGGTAAATCCAGTGTGCACGCAGAGTGTCGGCCAGGCGCCCCACCTGCAAACCCGCAAACCCCAGCTTGGCCTTTGTGTGACAGTGCTCAGAACTCAGAACTCGTTTTTTCTTTTCAGAAAACGGAGGACTGGGAGGAAAATAAGACTGAAGCAGACATGGAAGAGTATATATGGACAAATAGCTCCTCAGAAAAAAATATCCTGGCAACACTTCTCCAGATTCAAGCTGCAGAGAAAAACCTGGACGTAGATAAGGAACAGCTCCTTGGCACTAAAGAGGTTGAGGATTACAAGAAGTCTGTTGTTAGTCTTAAGAATGAGGGGGACAATGAAAATACCCTTTCTCAGTACAAAGAATCAGTGAAGAGACTATTAAATTTAACGTGAATTATGTAGGAAAATGTGCTTGATTCATTAATTTTATGATTTACGTGTAATTGTTATCTAATTTGATATAAAGTTGAAAATGTTAAAAATATTGTTTTACTTCAGAGTTAAAATTATTCCTTTCATACTAATGGACAATGGCAATGATTATTCACAGATTTCCTTATTATGCTCTGGGGCAATTAGACTAATTAGATCTCTGATTTCTGATTCTCAAGTGTTTTGATTTAATTTCTACCGTAACAAGTTTAGAATTTAAATATGGATAGATAGATTTTGTCACCTGCTACATTTGTTTCCCTACACATTAGCACTTGATTGGATGCTTCTGAATTATTTTGGTTATTTGGGAAGCTAGGCCCAGAACCCAGTCCCCCACTGCAACTCCGTGTTCTGTTTGCATGACTGCCAGCTACCCAATGCGTTTTTGTAGATGCCAGTTATGATTAGAAACACGTCCTAGGGAGTATTTTCTAACCTAAAAAGTTAGTTCCATCCCTTTATTTTGGGGTAACTTTATATTGATTCAATTCTGTTTAGCATTTTACTTTCTATTTTCTGGGGCTTATTTCTCCAAACCCAAGCTTGCAGGGAAGTGGAAATGGAGATAACTGGTATTCATCTGTTGATTCTTCCATTAGAGCCTCCACAGTTCAGAAAAGAGATGAGGTGTAAGGACCTGGAGTTTCAGCAGAGTGAACGACAGAACGAGAACCGCCCTGAGAAGCATTCTGTTCCATTTAGCTGTCAATTCAGGACTTTTAAGTGTATCTGGAAGGCATTTCTTACCACTTCCAAGTGTTAATTTAAAATTAAAATAAAGGCATTATTGAGTTTATTTACCTAAGACTCATTTTGCCTGACAGAAATAGAGTTCATAAATAAAAGCCGAAAAGAATTCAAAACAGTTGCCCAAAAGATTGATATAAACTGAAGCTATGATTTGGTACTGCAAGCCTGAGTTGGTAGGTTAGTAGGGCTTTGCATACAGAAAGGAGAGAGGTATGCTGTATTTCATTGGATGAAAATAGTGAATGAAAAGCAAGGTAGATAAAACTGAATTTTTAGATCAGGTTTAAAGCATACATAAGTGTGTTGAAATATTGTATTTTTAGAGACTTGAAGAGAGAAGGAAGAGAGCTGCGGAAGCAGGCCTGAAGAAGGACACATTTCGAAGGACCATGTGCAGAGGTGGTAGATTAGGATCATCAGTCCTGTAGTAACGACAGTGCCAGTGAAAGCAGGGGGCTCAGGATGTGGGGAAAAGGCTTTGACCTTTCCCGAAGGTCTGGCCTGTCCCTTCAGCTTCTGGGAGGTAATCTGTGTCATACCTCATAGAAGTGTCTTTGTTTAGGGCTGAGCTGTTCACAGTGAATTTTAGGGTGGGGCTGGCCACACCTGATCATCTTAGGCAACCCCGAAAAACCATGTGATTTTGGATAAAGAGGAGCTTTGAGTCACCTGGTAAATCAGTCCATCTAGCAGCTGAGATCCACCGCAGGTAATCAGTCAGTCATACCTATATAATGGAGCCTCACTAAAAACGTGGAACACTGAGGTTCAGGCAAACTTTACTGTGACAATAGTTTGGGCATGTGGTCAGACACTGGAGCTGAGAGAGTCACCATCCTGTCTCCATGGGGGGAGGGCGCCGGAAGCTGGGAGTCATGAACCTCCCTGGACGTCATCTATGTGCTTCTGCCCTTGACTGATTGTGATCTGTATACTTTCCTGTGAGAAACCACAGCAGTGGGTATGATCGCTCCCATTGAGTTCTGCGAATTCTAGTCAATTATCAAACATGAGGGAAGGTTTGGGACCCCTGCCACACCCCGAACTTAGAGTTGGAGTCAGAAGTGAGGGTGGCCCTGTACAGGACTGTGCCCTTTAACCTTTGCAGTTTGGCTAACTGACCTGAAGGCTCTGAGGCTGAGGCTTGACTCTAGGGTGGCACCATCACAGAGCTGTAAGGTTAATGCGAAACCACCTCAAAAGGGAGCACTTGCTCCCCCGGCCAGTTTGGCTCAGTGGTTAGAGTGTCAGCCCTCAGACCCAAGGGTCTCAGGATCGATTCCTGGTCAAGGGCACGTACCTCTACCTGGTTTGCAGGTTCATTCCCTAGGATTAATAACAAGTAATAATTGCTATCTTTGTAATTTTAGGCATAATTCAACAGCACTGTCAGATCATTGTTCTTTAAACTATTAAGTGATCCAATATATACAATGAACATTATCGTACTCATCCTTATAATCAGGGTTCTAGGGGACACTTCGCTGTATTGATAGGCAGTCACTTCGACTTGAAACTCTTAAGTTACATAGCTCCAAAGTTGCTTAAACATGGAGGCAAATAAATACGTCATACCTGTTTTCTTAATTGTAGGGTGTTTTAGTTCTTTCTTGGCATATTTTCTTTCCAATATTGGGAAGTATTTCATAATACTGAACAATTAAAGACTTAAAAAAAAAAAAGTGACTACCTACAATGTTGGAGAAATTCCATTATTGTGGTTATTTCCCAAATGGATGGAACAACTTTCACTTTAGTTGTTGACTAGGCCCTGATATCTTAGTTTCTTTTTCTTTTATTTATTTTATTTTAGTTTTTTAGCCTCACCAAAGGATATTTTTCCATTTATCTTCAGGTAGAGAGAAAGGAAAAGAAAGGGAGAGAGAGAGAAATATGGACATGAGAGGGACACATGGACTGGTTGCCTCCTGCATGACTCTGACCAGGGCCAGGGACGAACCGCAACCCAGGTACATGCCCTTGGCTGAAATCGAACCTGGGACTCATTGGTCCGTGGGCTGCCGCTCTGCCGCTGAGCCAAACCGGCCAGGGCTATTTATTTATTTATTTTTAAAATATTTGTTCTTTAATGAATTTAGAGAAAGGAAGGGAGAGGGAGAGAGAGAGGAACATCGATTAGCTGACTCCTGCATGCTCCTCACTGGGGATTGGGCCAACAACCTGGGCATGTGCCCTAACCGGGAATTGAACTGGTGACTTCTTGGTGCATGCATGGGTCGACGCTCAACCAGTGAGCCACACCGGCTAGGCAGTTTCTTTTTATTTTTTAAAAATATTTTTTAATATGTTTTCACTGATTTTTTTTGGAGAGAAAAGAAGGGAGAGAGAGAGAAGCATCATGTGAAAGAGACATTGATCAGCTGCCTCCTGCATGCACTCCCACCAGGGATTGTGCCTGCATGTGCCTGACCAGGAATCAAACCTGGGACCTCTCAGTCCATGGGATGGCGCTCAGTCCCCTGAGCCACGCCGGCCGGGCTGAAGGTTTTAAATTCTGTTCAGGAGCCCTCATTGGTCCCTTTGACTTCCCCTGAGGCCCTGGTTTCCAGGCCCAGTTGTGTTTGCTTCTTGGCCGACTCTGGCCTGGTGGCCTCTCCAGCCTAAGTTGACGCAATTTATCTGATGGTCAAAGGCAGGGACGGTAGAAGAGGAGTATGAGCCTGTTTTCTTACAAAGATAAATACAGTTTCCCCAAGTTATGGCCATTTCTATAAAACAATATCAATTTTAAGGAATGAGTAAAATTCTGAGAAACCCCAAGGAAGAAAATACTTTTTTTCCCTAGCAGCTCTAGTTTGTTGGGGAGCTAAAATAATTTTTATACATTTGAAAGAAAACCAATCTTAAAGGAATGTATGTAGAAATAAATTTTAAAGACAGCTTTCCAAATTATTTAAATATAACGTTAGGATAATTGAAAATCTTCCTATCCCCCCTAAATAGCAGGTTTTCCCCCCTATTGTATTAAGGAAATTGAACAAATTTATGATATCAATAGCGAGTTCAGGCAAAATGATGAAACTTTGTAATTCAGACTTATTTATGGTTAATATTCTGAGGGAACAGTACTATTTTATTAACCTTATAAGATTTTCTTTTCTACATTCTTTGTGCTTATAGTTGTCTTAATATCTGTTGTCATGTTAAAAAAGAGTTTCAGGGATGAGATTAAGGGCCTACAGTTTAAGATCATTAGCAACTTAAATGACAGTTTTCTACATTTATGATTCTAAGATTAGGGGGCAAATCTGGTATAAGAAGTGGACGGAGCTGAAATACCTAGTGCTAATATTTGCACCTGGGAACACAGTGTATACAAAGGGGATATAAACTAAAGCTCCCAACCTTTATTCAGCAAAAGTCAATGTAAAAACTCAAGATCTCCATGCCACAATTATTGAAAGGCATGTCATCTTCAGAAAATGAAGATGGATTAAGGATTGAGAAGAATTAATCAATGGAACATAGAAACAAACCAGGAAGCATTTGCTCACGGGTCAGTAACTAATAATTTATAGTGCTCTTTTGCCCAAACCACTATAAGATTTTATTAACATGTAACAATAATTTGACCTTGATGGGAGACAAATAAGATGTTACAGTATTCTCCTCCCTGTATCTTTTTTCCATGCTCATTAGGAAAATGGAAGCTTTTAGTCTCAGTGACTTTGAACAGATTGCCTGGTAAATCCTGGCTTCTCTACTTACTAGCTGTGTGACTTTAGGCAAAGTACTTAGTCTCTCTTCTCAGTTCCCTCATCTGTATAAAGCGGTGACAGCAGTATAAGCGTTGTTAGTATACCTAACCACAGAGCTGTGGGGGTCCAGAGAGTTAAGACCTGTACAGCACGGAGAACCACCTCTCACATGATGCTGAACAACTAACTGCAGAGGTCAGGATTTTGGAACTTTGGCAAAGAGTACACTACTCAGAAAGATGGAAACAAAAAGGCATTTATGTTTATCAAGCATTAGCATTTTTTAGACATTGGTGGGAGAGGGCATCCTAAGCAATTTTTTCTTTTTAAACCAAACTGCCCTTGCAGAAAACTAAAAATGATACTCTTGAAAGCTTACAGACTCAGAACTTTTACTGTTAGGAGTTCTCCTTCAGAATCTTACGTTTTTTCATTTGCCTGGATCCTGACTTTCTCTGTCCTGGTTTGTACTGGCCCTGATTCTTCCTATAATATCCAGATGCCAGGATGACGATACAGCAGCAAAGAAAGATGACAGAGGCACACAGGGCCACAGGCACCAGCCACGTGTCTGAAGTCACAGACGCCCCGTCCGGTGTTTTGTCTTCGTTCTCAGATGTGTCGTTTCTGCTGTTGTACGCGTTGGTTTTGTTCAGTAACTGTTTGCTGCTGTTGAGTGGGGATGGAATGGGCCTATGAGAAAGCTTTGTGTCTGTGGGCACAGAGGAAGGAGAAACAGTCTTGTTATCTGGATTGTTGAAATCAGCACTGGGTGACACCTTATTTACCTCCGTGGCAATGGACTCATTCAGGGAAATGAATCTTGCCCAAGAATCTGTGGTTAATTCCTTGGAATAACTGGTACTGCTTGTGTTTACAACCAAATCTTGGTGTGTGGTTAATGATGGGGCCTCTGTGGATGGCAGCATGTGGTTTATCATGGTGGTTTGTTGTTGATCTAAATTCATAGCTTTTAGATTTCTTAGTCTGTCCCATCTATTAGATGAAGAACGGGTATTTAGATATGTGGAAGGTGATTGTCCAAAAACCAGCAAATCTGGATCTATACCTGAAAGATAAATAAGGCACCATTCATTTTATTTTAATTTTAAAAGAAAGGACCATGAAGGACAGTTTAGAGAAGTCTCACGTTTTGCTGCTATGCGTTATTGAACTAAGAATTGCTTACTTCTGAAAGGCTTAGAAACATACCGGCCACATCTGAATTTCTCCTGACTTTCTAGGACACTTTCTGTATGGACAGATTTGGCTACATCATGGAGAGTACTTCCTCTCTGCCAGGGCTTTAGGGGCAACAAGAGTGAGTGTGAGTGCAAGAGCTACAGAAGCTAACTATTTGAGATAGATGGCATTTTAAAATAAAGACACAAAACAGGGCCTTAGCAGTGTAACTCTTCAAAATCACGAGTAAAGCCCTAAATCTCATCCCTTTCCAGTGCCTAAGGGTCCTGACGTGGTTTTCAGTATTTTCTCAGTTCTTGTAAACTAACTTCTGTTCCTCTGACATCAGACATGGGCAAATGTTGCTTTGGCTTTAAAGGGGAAGCTGAAACTCTCGGCAGCTTTCCAGTGCTCGCTGAGAGCACTCCCCCCCCTTCCCCAGACGGACCAACATCCACTTCCTTCCCTTCCTTTCTGACCTTGGGTTTGCCTTCTGTCACCTTGTTTCCATCCTAACCATTCTGTCAAGATTATGCTTCTGAGGTAGCTGGTCATCTCCCCTGTCCTGATCACTTGTGTCTCGTTGCTTTGGCTGCCCTTGTGTTTGATACTCCGGCCACCCCCTTTTCTGAAATTCCTCTTCCCTGACTCCCAGGACCCTGGAGGGCCTGCCTCTTGTTTATTTTTCTTTCCTTTGTTGGTTCTCTTCTTAATCCCGACTGGTTGTGCAGTTTGCACAATCTTTAGTTCTTGGTCCTCTGCTGTATTTTCTCTTCCTGTCACACCCACTCCTAAGAGACATTCTCAGCAACGGTCACCGCTCCACGGACGGCACTGGAGTCCACACCCCAGGTCTCCCCTCTCTCTCGAGCTCCGATCTCATTTCCCCTGTGTTCTACCGGAGGTAGACGCGCCACAGCATCACTGGACATGCCCAAAGACACCATCAATTGTCTGCCTCCTCGTCTGTGCAGTGGCATTGCCCTTCCATTGTCACTCGTGGTGTCTTTGATCCCTCTCTTCCTCTACCCAAAAAGTCACTACTGCTATCCGATTCTTTCCCAATGTGCTGGTAACCATCCCTCCACTTTGTTGCACCTCCCATGACCTTGTCCAGACCTACTGACTCCCTGACTACGTTTTCTAACCTGCATCCTGCTCTAATTCTCCCAGACACATTTTTAATGATGGCAGTTTATCGTTAAAGACCTTTGTTGGTTTCTAACACTCCTCTGTCCACAGCCTTCTGGTTACCTGGCCTACCCTACCTTCCTCATATTTTCAGTGCCATCTCCAATGTGCCCTTCTTGTAGCCAGACAGGTTTTCTTACTTTCCCATGACGCAGAACGCCTTGTCTGGCCTGTTCCTGGAAGCCTCTGAATTATCAAGCTTGCTTGAGTCTCCTCTTCTTTTGAGCCTTTGTACTTGAGGCAGAATCACACATTATTGTATGTAATGATGTCTTTCTCTGATTGTAAGACTTGTTGCACCAACTACATTATAAGGAACTTGAAGGCAGATACATGCTGCAGTCTAATGCAACGTTGAGCTCAGCCTGGAGCATCAGCTGTTCAATAGGTACATGTCACTAAGTTTCCACCTTTGAATATTGATGATAAAACCCTGTTCTTTCATGTTTACTAATTTGCACCCCGAGATTATTATATACATGGGCAAAGGACACTTAAACATGTTATTTTCTAAAAGAAACATACTGGTTAGCTTGGGGCCAATGATATGCAAGCGTTGGTGCAGTCCCTGTCCCTGACGTCCACCTTTGTAGAGTTGTGTATGCAGTGTCCACAGACCCCGAAACTGCCAGTTAGCTTTTCAAAAATGTCTCAGTGGTATCCGTAGCCACGGCAGTAGAAATGCCTACTTTGGCTCTTGCTGAGGGCACTGGTGAAAAATGAAATACGTTTAACCTCTTGTTAAATCTCTTTATTTGTTATCATCTGGAATAAACCCATCACTGCTGAACTTATCATTGCTGCACATGTCAAACTAATGGGAATTTCCATTTAGTTTTCTGTCCTGGATGCTAAAATCTTTTCTACCCCAAATGCCCATTCAGAAGCAGAGTTCACTGAAAAGTAACGAGCTAGGGATTTATCCATGGCTCTTGCCAGCCAGTTTCTAGGCTATATCCCTCTACTAGAATATCACCAACATTCTTCAAAAACAGACCAACGACAGAAATCATTACCATCTGTGATGTTGTACAGAATGGCACTGGTTCCAGGCTCTAAGATGCAGCTCTCCAGTGTCGGGCAGTGGATGTGGAGGCAGTTGACATTGTCGTGAATAGGGTCGTGGTAGAAGACGGCCACGTTACAGGCAACTGAAAGGGAAACAGCCAAGCACCTCTGTGGGTGGTCCTGACTTCTGCCGGTTTGATGCGCTCTGATAACATGCTTCTTTCAAGAACACTGGGCTACATTGCAGGGCCACAGACCTCTCACAGAGCATTAGGAATTACAGTAACCACCCTTTGAAAAGAAAATGCCTACTGATTTCTTTTAAGTAATCTTTATACATTCCATCCCACGGGATTACCTAGACTCATTTCCCAGTCCCAGTATTTTATGTTCAGGAAACCTGGGGGGATGCATCAGATTTCTACATGCAGTGCCCTCTCAGAATGACTGGATTTCACCAGAGAAAGAAGTAGAAAAATGAAAGGACAACTACTGCAAAAGAAGAGGGAATAACAGAAAGGGCAAACATGGTAATGATTACATTACTGGGAGAGGCCAGATGGGGGAGAGGCAGCTGGCCTTGACCCTGACTGCAGGTGTGCTCTGGCCCCAACTGGCAAAACCGCGTCCGATGAACAGCCTAATCAGTGTCCTTCAGGGAGGAAAGGAGTAGAAGGGGAAGGATGTTAGCATCTGGATTTTAGTGGTTAGGAGTACATTTCTTGCTCATCCTACCTCCCTTTTTCTAAGTAGGTTTGCTCCTTAAAATATAGTGTGTTATTTCTGGAAAACCTTAAGTCATACTTGCTAAATGCGGATCTTCCATCTATTCTCCCAAAAGTGCGTATTTCGCTGCTGCAGTGTGGTGGGAACTACTTGACGGGGAATACCCATTGGCCAAATGGTATCAACTTCTGTAATTCAATAAGATTACAGAGTGATGGCCTATTATCAGCAGACCTCAGGGATGCCTAGAGCTGCTGTGGAATGCTGTTGCCGACCCTGCACTTCTCTGTAAGCTGACCTGCAGGGAGTTGCCTCTCCCCCATGACTTCTGGGACACCGCATGTTTCTTTCTACACACTGTACTTCTCCAGGGAGAGAGAGTAGGACGCAAGTCAATAATACATTATAGATTACAAACACATTCCCTGAGGCTGTGCCGTAAAATCTAGGGAAAGGAATAAAAAATATTCCGTTTTAGACATTAAATTTCTGATAAGGAAGTTGATGCTGTAGGGAACAGCTTTTAAAAAGTATTTTACATTCCTCTTCATGTACATTTTGGAGTGCTCCTCTGAGCAGGTTGGCCAGTGCAGGATTGTGGCATTTTTAAGTTCTGGCTTCCAGCTGAAAACTGGGAGGTGTGTTTGTACCCCTTCTTCTGGAGAATGAACGTCAGCTTGGAAGCTACAGAGGCTCTGAAATCAAGGAACTCTACTGGATGCGTATAGAATCCTGAAAGTCCAGAGGCCACAGCTCCCTGGTATCGAGAGGTAAACTGATGCCCTGAGAAAATGCTGAGCCAGTCCTGCACCCTCCCCCCACCACCGCCCCTCAGTGAAGATGTTGGTAATTAGAAGCATCTCTAAGATGAAAATCTGGATTGGCTATCTTTTCAAAAAGATTTCTCTTTAATAAATTAAATGCTCTCCTCTGTGCCTGATTAAATTCTGAGGACTCTGCCTGTGACAGCATCTCACACTGTGGTCTTCTGACAGTTGAGACTCTCCAAGTAGCTCCAATTCGCATCCCAGAAATCTTACCTGCGTAACTGAACAGGGGGCATTGACAATACCCCAGAATCAAACTATGGAGAGAAAGTGTGGAACAACCAAAAGAATGATTTTAAAGTGTGTTGCTTTGTTGTTTCTTTCTAAGCTTTAAAATCCCAGAAGAATGGAAAATAAAGAAGTCTTTAGACAATTGTAACTTGAAATTCTGCAACAATGAAATATTTCCCTAAGTACAGGCTTTAGTCATGTTCTATGGATGATGTTAAACTCTAATTCTGGATTTCAGACAAAATGTCTATTAGGATAGTTTGAAAATTAATCTCTCTCTTACCTCTTCCTCCTCCTACTCCTTCTTCTTCTTCTTCTTCTTCTTTTTTTTTTTTTTTGCTATTTAACATATATCTCCCTATTTGTTTCAAATATGAGTCACACATCCCACATTTGCTCAACACAAGCAAGTGCATTTAAAATTTTTGAGATACCAATATCACCAAAAGATCTTTGAAAATAAAATTATTATAAACATTATTGAAATTAAATATGCTGCATTTTGGGCTATAGAAATATTGCTAGTTGACACTTGGAGAAATATTCTCATTTAGCACTTGAGTGAAGAAAAGAGGATTCTCCATTACCTGCAGGTTCCATAGCATTCGGGGTCATTACTAGATTTGCACACCAAGCCTACACTGTCTCAATTGCAAAGTCAATCTCAATGGCTCTCCCTCTTACTTCCTTCCCCTCATCTCAGGGCATCCTCCCTAGTTGTTTTCAACTGTTCACTCAACCCTCTGCCGGCCTAGGACTCCTTACTTAGGTCTTCATTTTGGAAGTTTCCTCTTATTATTGCTCAGGGATATTATTGATACTTACCATCCTTCCTAAGACAGCAGCTCCTACTGCATTTCTGGCCAGTGTTTTCAGAATAATACTTCAAGAACTGAGCTCCCATCTTCTGAGACTCCTCCAGGTCAACCAGAAGTCCCGGGAAGCGACGGATCCAGCAGTCTCTATAAAAAATAGTGGGTGAGCAGAGAGAGGCTGAGGTCCACACCATGCTGAGCAGCACTATTGCGTCTGCTGCCACCACTGCCACGTGCATTTCCCTGGCGAGATGACTCAGCACTAAGTCTGATTTCCAGGCAGAAGCAGGAGCTGACCATCAGGGTTGAGGACAGTTTCTGGACTTCGGGGATGTTGCTAAAGAACAGCTTCTAGAGGGTCACTTTCTAGAAAAATGTGGCTGTTCTTTGACTGCATATTGGTTTTTCTTTTGTTTCTTCCCAGTTGAATCCCAGGTCAACATTTGACTTGCTGGCATTAATTCTGAACACTTTCCATGCCATTTCATGTCCTTTAGCCTCTTAAAGATGTGGGTTCTCTCCTCTTCTTTTCTTTTTTCTCTGAAAGTGAATCGTCACAAACACCTTTTACTAAGTAAATATAAAGGCAAGTGGAAATCTTAGCTGAGAGCCTTTCGGAGGACAACAATAGTTCAGTCACTTGACGTCAGATAAAGGAAGGATCCATTTCACCAGGAACAAGACAGCGTTTTGTAAGGGCACTTCTGCGCGGTTTGTAAGGCTACAGACCCCCCCCCCCCCAGTTATCTCTTTTTCTCCTTTGAATTTAAATCCTAGTATTCAGGTTCACTAGAAAACCAGTTTGTGCACTAGTATAAAATGTTTGTCTTCTCAAAAAAAAAAAAAAATCTTGAAAGTAAATGAACACTGAAAATAAAATAAAAATTAAGAGTTTAATTTTGCTGTGATTTTGAAAACACTGAATATGGATCCTGATCACTCCTCAGGGCCAGGCTTTTTTTTTTTTTTTTTGGCCAAGGCCAACCAAAAGCTTTCTTAAAAGAAGACTACAAAAAGTGTAATTTGCAGTGAAAATTGTGAAGAAGTTCAAATTGGGGGTTGTCTAATTTGTTTTTCGATATTCATGTCCGGAAGTTAGAAAGCCTTCTTGGTGGAGCTCATACATAAGTTCATAGAGTCTCAGATGGAAGCAGAAGGAGTTGCAGAGAAATGTGCATTAGGAAAATGGTGAAATGTTTTTACATTTCTACATATAAATAAAATGATGTCAATTGCAATGCTAAACATTTGAAAATATATTAAAGGCAGTGAAAATGACCTTACTTTCATGAAGATGGTATGTTTTAGGTCCCATAATATTCAAGATGACATTAGTTCAAAGCACAAAATTATTGCTTTTTTGAATCCATTTTTATAGAAAGCATTAGTGGTAATCAGCTTCTGGTATAAAGTACTATACTTCCTCTTTTCTTATTCAAGTAAACTTTTCCTGTCCTATGATCTGTATTTCTTTCTAACTTTTGCACAATGACTTGACACAATAATGTTAAAAGTCTTTGAACTTTCATCTCTGTACCTGTCCCCTAATAGCATAATTATCACATCTTTTGATTTATAGAAACATAAATATTAATAATTGATAATAAAGAGGAAAATATCCAAAAGACTGAATAACTTTAAAAACAAAACATTCACTTTCTTCCAAGCAAAAATTATGTATTAACTCCTAACTTTGCATAAGCCACATAAAATACACCAAGAATGATAACTATTTTATTCTAATGAACTCATAGAAAGTTAGTTTCAGTTGCTTACCTGCAAACAATCTGACTGTTCCATTTGTTCTGAGGGGAGAGAGAAAAAAGGTTTCCTAATGGCAAAGCAAGGAACAGGTGAACAAAAAGTCACTCCCTGTTTTCCTAGGAGATTGCATAGCTATTTTGATCAGTTCATGCCCTGGGGACATAAACCAGAAAGTCTACTTTCTAACCTTCTAACCTCCACATCTTTCAGTCACCTTAAATGTAGTTTCTTTTGTGTAATGTATAATTCCTTGAAGTTCTCATGTTCCCTGCAGGGATAATGAAACAATCCACAATTGTTTAATCCTTCTGCTATCAAATGATGTTCAAGTGAAGGTCAAAGTTGCATTTTAAAGAATCTACAAATTCCAATGTAAAAGCCTGCTTTAAATTTTTTAAAACAATTTTTTGGGGTGATTGCATGAACATTGAGTCTTGAAACGAGTAACTTCTTAAAGCCAGGAGAAGTATTTTGAAAAGGATAGCTAGAACACGGCCTGCAGGGGCAGAGGGAGGAATACACAGCAGACTGAGATATGAGGCCCATAAATATCTAGTCTCAAAACTTGTCCATGTGAAATGAAACTGCAGAAACCAGAAAGCAACTACTACTCTGAATAAAATGTTGCTAAACAGCTTTTGTACACATTATATAAAATACCCAGAATCATTGCACTATTGCAATGCGGTGATATATTGTACTTATTTCCAGTTGGCACTCTTGAGAGGGGTTTGAAAATTAGATTTCTGCCTTAAAAGCCACTCATCTTTCCCAAGAGCCTGATTCAGTAGCTCTTGCGTGGGAAACAAAATTCTTATTTTTATAAGTAAGTGCCCAGGTGATTTCCTAAGATGTTTGAAAAACACTGATACAGGTGACTGAAATAAATGGAACTTTTGTCTATGTGTAGATGTTCAACCTGGTTTAAATAGAGCCATTTTAAAGAACCGTGCTATTTTTAACTCATTTAAATTGCCCCATATGCTTTAATAAAAGGAAAATTTGATGTTGCTTGTTAAAAAACAAAAAAAGTTATTTTAGGAATATTGGAAGGATTAAAAAAATAAAGAAATAATTGTTAAGTGGTAGTGAAGTAATAGCATAGGTTTACTAAATTCAAAAGATATTTAAAAAACAGTCAATATTTCATCCTTATTTTAAAGATGCTAATTGTATTTTTACTTAACATATTTATTTCATCACTTGATGAAATTGATGTAAATTACTTAAAAGATATTGGGCCTGAAAAAAGTAAATGTCATTAATTTTCTTAAAATTTTTTGCTTTTATTAAATTGATATACATTTATTTAAAAGATCCAAACCATATAGAACAGATACACATACACAATTTTATGTAAGTGGTTTCTTAGTGTTGTAGAACCTGTGCTGTTTTTTAACCCACTATAAATTTGTATTTTTTAGTATCTCTAAAAAAAGATGTCTCTGCATCAAAAGTTGTAATAGCTCTGATATTTAATTCTCCATATGTATGAACATTTATGCTACACCGCAGCTTCCCCAGCAGTAAAAGAGTATAAAGATAGTATTGTAGTCCATGTGAAGCCTACCAGTGCCTGGTACATAACTAACATTGCAACATTCAGTAGCTGCAATTATTATACATTGTTTCTAATTTTTTAGTACTAAAAGCAACATTATGATAAATATCTTGTACTTAAACTTTTTTCCATCCTAGGTCAAAAGGTATATTTTCCATAAGTTCTTAAAGAACTATCCTAACTCTTTGTGACCATTATTTTACTCTTTTGTAACAGCGGTCGCGATGCAAAGTGCGTGAAGTGAATTCTAGTTGCCATACAGGCCAGTCTGTTATGCAGTGATCAGTCAGATCTATTAATTTATGCCTACAGGTGTATATATTAGCAATATTTTAATGAAGTTTATAAATACTATTTTATGTCTTTTATAAATAAAGGAATTTATATTGCTCTTCTAGTGTAAAAGAAAGCTTACTGTGTGTTTTTAAAGTTACTTCCAGTCCTAAATGATGTTATCGTGTCGGGGCCAGAAAGCTCACAGGATTGGTGCCCAGTGTTGTCAAACTAACACCCCAGATTCCCTGTCAGAGTGGATCCTGCTCTGATAATATTACTGTGTGCGAATTGCCTTTCTAAAGCACATCATTCTTTGAGCGTGATTTTTTTTTTTTGGCCTGAAAATACCAGTCTGAGGCATATCTATGACGGTTGGTAAACAAAAGCACCATTGGAGAAAGATTCTAAAGGGACCAAGGAGAAACTAAGAGCCTGTTCTTCTTGGCTTACCACGAAGTCTGGCATTGTCCTGATGGAGGCACGAATAAATCCCAGGTCCAAGTCTCTTTGACACAGAGGGCACCTCCCAGCCCAAGTGCCCCAGCTAATGCCTAACACTGGACATGGCACTTTATCTTCCCAAAGAGGTTGCTAAATTCATGGTCACTCACCCCCAAAGAACCTTAGAATGTTTCAACTGCACCCTCGTTGAGAACAAGCATAGAGGTCCATGTAAGAATGAAGTTTTATCAGTAATGATAAAGACCAGGTGAAACAAGGTGAGAAGCTAGAAGTTTTTTCATGGAATCTAAGAGGCAAGTCAAATCCATCTTTATTTCCTTCATTTTTCCCAGGGAGGCCAGAATCTACTAGAATTTTTTTCTGTCTTTAAAATTTAAGTTCCTTATTCATGGTATTATAAAGAAAATGTCAGATGCCACTCCTTTACTATGAAGCAGCTAAGATACACAGAAAGAAGCACAAATGTAACCAATGTGTTGAAAGAAATTATTTTACAGATACGACTCTCTTCTCTGGTTTTTGACTTCCCCCATTTAAGAGAAAATGTTAATCAGCGGAGGTATCTTCTCTTGGAATCAGGGGACGGGAACTTATGAAGGTGTTATTTAACAACTTGTCACTCAAGAATAAAGCTGGCACTTGTAATAATAAAAACAAAGTGCGAACACACATTCTCTTCAAGTTAAGGACTATTGTAGTTGAATCTTAAATCTTAGTCTGGGAAAGTTTTCAAGGGTGTTTTGTAAGATAAAAGAGTGAACCTACCGCTCCTTCCCAATCCTTTCCCTCGCCAGGATTAATTTATATCTCATGGCAACGCAAGGGCCTTCTATTATTGGGGTGAGCTTTCTTTTTTACAGTGTGACAAGATAGGGAAGAAGTGGTCCTTCCTTAAGTAGTCTCCAGAGTGGGGGTGGGGAGAAAGGGGAAGGAAGGATAAGAGGGTGGCAAGAAAACCACCTCTCTAGGCAAATACGAGCAAAAGTGGCCAGACCTTCTGCCCAAACATACCATTTCCTAATGGCTAGTCTAACCAAGCCGAAATAGGGAAAGCAATGACTTTCCTTTATGCTAGAAAGTATTTTAAAAGAAGGGATGCGATCTAACTTTAGTTGAGTTGTACTTCTTTCTTTTAATAGCATACATTGGATAACGGGCGGCAGCAGCACATACACG